GAGGAAGCTTTTACAAGTTGTAAATACTTCGTGTGGCTGGTGACTTTGAGGCCACACCAGAAAGCAGAAGAAAACATGAGTTCTGGAATAAGCAAGGAATAAGGTAAGTCGGCATAGCAGTAAAAATGTAATTTTCAAATATTCCATTAAATCCAATTAAGCAAGAACCTTAGCAAATTTATCACGTGATTTGATTGAAAAGCTATTCCACCTGATAGTAACCAACCTAGTTACTATTAGCAGTTTGGGTTCCAATTAGCTACATGACCATAAGCCTTCATGCTTCCAAACGTGTGGTTGCCCAGCAGTATTACTTGCTCTTATTTAGATTTGGGGGTACATATATTGCAATCACTTGGGAAGTCAAAGCAGGGGAGGAATCAACAGATTCCTGAATCTAGAAAACAAACAAACAAACAAAATGATTAGGATCTCTAAAAGTGACATTGGCATATGGTTTATCAACTTTTCTCTTCTGTCAGTGTTTCTCTTGTGTCAAACTAGACCACATTTTAATGTGAGGTTGTGTCCTCTGCAACCCTGATTAAAACATAGATCCAACAGGTCAGAAACAGTCTAGAGGGTCTTTGAATAGATTTTTTTTCAGTTCGTATCTGTAGGCGTTCCATTAAGCACTCAGCAATCCTCACCCACAGACAGAGTGTGTCACAGGCAGTGTACTAAGGTTTCAAATGTAATCAACTGTTGCCAGCGTTTTCTACTTTGAACAAAAAAGCAAAGACTTCTGTAGCGTTTTGAATAAGAATGACCCCCTATAGGCTCACATGTTTGAATACATAGTTACCAGGGAGTGGAAATCTTTGAAATGATTAGAAGGATCAGGAAGTGTGATCTATTGGAGGAAGTAAGTCATGGGGAGGGAAGATGGGGCTGGGGGGGGGGTGCGGGTTCTGAAGTGTCAAAATCCCATGCTTTGTCTCTGTCTCTTCCACCCTCCCCTCTTCTGTCTGCTAGCCTGTGTGTGGGTCAGATGCAGTTTTCAGCTCCTTCTCCAGCACCATGCAAGCCCCATGCCCCCACCATGATGATGAACTAAACCTCTGAAACTGTAAAAGTTGCCTTGGCCATGGTGTCTCATTCACAGCAATAGAACATTGGCTAAGACAACTTCAGTAGATGTGTGTGATGTAAACATAGTATCTAAATGCATTGATGGCTCCTGTCATGGACTGGAAGATAGTTTCTGGTCTTCTATCTTAGATATCTTTTCTTCTGTACATGTATACACAAAAGACTTGGGTAACAGGAAAGCTACAAGGACTGATGTGGGATCTAATTAACACTGGCAATGAGAGAGATTGGGATAATATTTCTCCCATGAGATGATACCAAATCTGAGTCTTGCAGAAGTGGGAAAACAGATAAGGGCTGGACTTTGGCAGTGGAAGTCACTGGTCTAAAGATGCTGTGTTTCTAAGCTGTCTAGTTGATAACACTAACGATGATAAGAAAGAAGTAACATTCTTACAGCAAAACTGAGGAGGCTGGCGCTGGTCTCAAAGCACCACTTATATGAGGCTGCTCAGTTTTTACAGCAGGCTTGTGCAGTGGGCACTGTTACTATTGTCATTGTATAGATGGTGAAGATGAGGCAATGTGATCCTACAGCTAGAGGCTGGCAGTTGGGATTCCAACATGCCCAACCTAGCTTCTAACTACTAATTTATACTACTCAAAGAGACAGACAAAAACAAAAACAAAAAAAAAAAAAAAAAAAAAACTGAAGGAAGGGCTACAAGACTAAGCGACGCACACCTGTGATCCTGGTACTTGGGACTCCGAAGCAGGAGGATCTTGAGACTCTGTTTTAAAAAAAAAATAAACAAAACAAAAAGCAAACAAACAAAAAACCCAGAGGCAGTGGGAGGAGAAGGATGGTGGGGAAAGAAAAGAGGAGGAAGAAGAATTGGAAGGAGAAAGAAAAGAAGGAAGAGGAGGAGAGGGAAGAAGAGGAGGATGGAGAGGAATAGCAGCAGCTGTAAGCTCACAGGACCTGAGATGCACAGGGTACCTACTACACGGAAGTCATGTACTGAGTAAAACCATGGTTTTAGGGTGAAGAACAAACTTCCTCCTTTTACTCTTCTTTTGGAGATAAAGCCTTGTTACCCAATATCAAGCTCGATATTGAATTTAAGCTGGCCTCGAATTCACTATCTTCTGCCTCATCCTCTCTATTACTAGAAAAAAACAAAAAGTACCACCATGCCTTTCTTGAAGACCTAACTACTGACTCCCAAGGCCTTCCTGTCCAGGACCCAGTCTAGACCTTTGTCTCTGTCATACTTCTCTTAATCTCTACCTTGGGCCAGTGCTTCCTAATGCTTCTGGAGCTACATCACATCCTCCAATATATTCTCCTTTTATGTTGAAATCCGGAAAAGCCAGACTGTGTCTGTGCTCAGCCAAGCAAATATGAAACACTAAAGGACCTCAACAGCTTATTCATTATCCCCAGGGGGCCTCCTGGCCACAGGGATACAATCACTGAACAGTCTTCACCCCAGGTAATGGGCCACTAGCAGAGGATCCCGACAAGCAGCTTCCAGCATTGTCCAGACCCAGTCGTCCACTGCAGTACCCAAAGAGGACAAGAACAGTGTCATTTAAAATGGGGAATGCTCTAGAATCGGCCAAGCTTCCTGATCTCAGCGGTGTTGGATTTCTTCTACCTTTCGGGCACTATAATTCTAAACCTCCTGACTCAGTAGGGAAGATGTCACAGTTGTTAAGGGAACAAAGTCCAGGTCTGTGGTTGTAAGTATGTCATTCATCATTCAACTTCACTGAGCATCTGTCTGGTTTAATAATAGTTTAGTTATAGAAATGTATGACACCATGCAGGAACATACTTAGCACACAGTACTTAGAGAAGTGTTTAGCACAGAGCTCTCAATAAAAGTTTATTATTATTAACTATAAAGGAAGAAAATAAGAACTTGTGGGGAAAACTAGAAAGTATTTAGAGATGCACAGGGGGGAAAAACAAAGTTTACATGTCCAAATTTATGCTGGGGTATAAAGTTTCATGTTTTAAACACACACTCATGTTTTGAGACAACTGTTGAAGACTCTCACACTGTAGCCTTGGCTGGCCTGGACATGACACTCCTCCTGCCTCAGTCTCTTGAGTGCTATGTATGAGCCACTGTGCCTTGCATGATGCTTTGCAGTCTATAACAACAACAATAACAGGTACCTTTTCTCTTTCTTCTTCAAAGATGCCATTAACAATTGAGACTTCTATGTGAAATGGGAATGAGAAGGGTTAGACTCCCAGGCTGCCTGCTTTAGTGGCCTGAGACCATAATGAAAGAGTCATATTTAGTTAGAGAGCTGACTATGAAAATTGTATTCTAGGAAGGCCACAAGGTGGCCAGGGCTTGTGGGCACATATGCTTTTGGGGTAGGGGGATTTTCTTCCTTGTATATTTGATTGGTCTGTGTTAAATCTTTATATTTAAAATAAAAAAATTCCCCCATAACTACATAACCACAAAAGAGGAAGAAAAGAAAATGAAAGAAAATCAAGATATGTAGACCCATTATTAGTTATTTTGTTTTAAAGATACTTTTCCATGTAGTTTTTCTCTAGGAAGAAGCACAGAGTTTGGGGCAGGTTTAGGGACAACTACCTCAAGGCCTTCTTACCCCGACTACAGAAAGGTTGCTCAGCTGCCAGCTTAGCCAGAGTCCACCAGTGCTGGTGTCCTGTGCACACCAGACCATCCCTAGAGTTGGCAGTTCCTCCAGTCACAGGCAGGAATCCCACACGGAGCTTGCATTTGGGAACTGGCGCCCACTCTGAACCACACCCAGCATAGGAAATTCTGCCAGTCCCCTCCGTGCTGTGCGACTTTGCTCCCTTTGAGGCTCAGCAAATACCATGTGTCCCTGGGCCAGAATTCAAGTCTGATTCATCTTGGTGTGCTCCGCACTTGGCAAGGGGTCTGGTGCCCGGAGGTAGCTCAGGAAATAAAGTCAGCTAACCTCAGGCCAATTTAAGACACCACCTTCTCACTCACTCCTTCCTATGCCCTCCAAGTGGGAATCTCTCCTTTTTGTTTTCCTGGCAGCTTTTCTTTGTCTTTGGGTCTGTTCTGAAAGACAACCCTTAGACAAGGACTACTTTTACGACAAGCGAGTTCTTGGTAAAGACTTTTCTTTAATTCCGGGTAAGGAATAATAAACAAGATGGTAAACAGAAGCAGGTATTTTGGAAAAGGTGGAGGAATCATTTTTCAAGGCTAAACCTCAAGAAAAGGCAGCTTCTAAGGAAACAGGTGTAGAAATGTGTGTGTGTGTGCGCCTCCATGCCCACTTATAACCTTTATTAATACAAGACACTTCTTAACAATCAAGCATTGAAAAGGCTTTCAGACATGGATAAGACCCCAGGCTAAGGAACAAAGCTAAAGCGACCATGTCTGGCAACTTCTGGGGGTGGAGGGGGACATGTCAGGGGCCTTGTCCCCAGAGACACCTCACTTGGGAAGATGCACCACCCTCTTGAGCCCAAGCTCAGCTCCCATGTACAGTGTTGCCACTTAAACACTGCCCAGGGTCCACACCCTGTCACTCCAGGCTTCTCTAGGCAGCCCCAGGACAAGGTCACAACACCACATTTTTCTTGTTTTTAAAACACCCAGCGTGCTACAAACATCTGACAGGCACCTGACCTCAGCAGGGGGGATCGGTGCTTTTATTGCCCCAAGTTCTCAGCACTCCCCTCATCCCCCCTCCTCCCCCCGGCCAGGGCCCTTGTCAAGTCTCAGGCTCTGGAGCAGAAAGAGAAGATCAGGGACCCCAAGCAGATGCGGCCTCGCCCTGAGAACAAGTTTCCTTCCACCGGGCTGGCCACTTCCGAGACGACAGGGCAGGGGCCCTGCGTGGACCTAGTCTTGCATCTCATGGTCTTGTCCCCGGAATCCCTACGACCCGACCGCGGACAGGTGCTCCGGGCGGGAGACCCCACTTACCCCACGACTGAAATCATCATGGCAGCCACCACCAAGTAGTTGGTCTGGTAATAGAGCAGATTGCTCACTACACGGTTGTTCCATTTGGAAATGTCCCTGAAGTCTGGCCGGGCGAAGCGATCAGAGCCTGGAAAGAAATCGTCCCAGGCACGGAGCGGAGCGAGAGCCACTTCCATGTTCCTCGGTTTAGCGTGCTTCGCCTCCGGAATCTGGAGGCGGCGACAGCAGCAACCCAGCTGGGTGAAAGATGACAGCGGCTCCCTTGGATTGGCTCTGCGGTTAGAGCACCGCAGGGCCCAGGAAATTAGGTTCGGGCGGGTGAGTTTGCCTGTGTGTGATTGGTTGGAAGTGGATAGTGTCAGAAGACAAGGGCCTTCTTCTGCTGAGCAAAACACCAAATGTAGAACAGAGTACTGACAGAAAGTAACCAGCGGAAATCCCCTACCTAAAAGTGGTGTAATTTCTCTCTCTGGCAGTGTGAATATAAACCGCCTTGTTTTAGAAACCTTTTTGTGAGTGTCCAACATAGGACTGTGTGTTTTCTGCCTTGGAGCGAGAAAAAAAGGCAGCTGTTCCGATGTCAATCTAAGTGGAATGACGACCTCAGTGTTACTTGAAGTCCAGTATTGCTAAGCTCCCCACATATTCATGCAATTCTCATGAGTCACTTTGTGTGAAGTCGGACTGGAAAAAAAGGGAGTGAGGGTTGAATGGCTGATTGTGACTTCGCCTTTCTCTTTGCTCTCCACTTGTATTGTCTTGGGACAAAATTACTGAACTACCGTGCCATTCTACTAGACAGATGATCACATAGGTACGATGGCTTCATTTCTGGCTGAGTGCGCTCTTAACAGTTTCAAAGCAAACGCCTGCTTGCAGTGGTCCATGTTTCTGGGCAGAATCATGGACTCCACACCAAAAAAACTTTCCAGTATTAAACCAACACTGAAATATTGGTTTATTCCAGTATTAAACCAATAACATTTACTTAAGAAAACAATGTCTTTTTTAAAAGGGCTTATTTTATTTTTTAAAAAAAATCTGTGTGAATGGGGTGACCTTGGAGTCCAGAAAAAGCCATTGGACCCCCTGGGGATGGAGTTACAGTGGTTTTAACCGCCTAGTGAGGGTGCTGGGAACTGAACTCAGGTACTCTGCAGGAACCCTACAGGACCTTAACTAAGCCTTCTCTCAGGCCAAGTACAGATCTTGATAGACGAGGAGACATTTTCATTCTATCCCAAAGCTTATATTGGTTATCACCATTTTTCTCCAAGGGCTCATGTTTTGTTTTTTCCCCAGGTAAGGTATTTGCTGGGAGGATAACTCCCTAACTGCCCTTCCCTCTTTTAAATCTCACCATGTATATAGCCCTAGCTGGCCTGGAACTCTTTGTGTAGACCAGACTGGCCTTGAACTAACAAGAGATCCACCAGCATCAGCTACCCAAGTGCTGGGACTAAAGGTATGTGCCACCACTCCAATAAGCCTTTTATATCAAATAGCATGAGAACAAAGTACAATGCTCTTCATACCCATTAGGACCCTCTTTGGATGCTTTGGCTTTTGTTTAAAATGCAATAGTGTTTACACACAAACCCTATACTTCAGAGCAGCTCCAGGTTCTGATTATACCCACTGCCACTTGAGTGAGACACAAATAACTGTTACTTAGTTAATAATGGCAAGAAGAAAATCTGTACATGTTCATGAAAAATAAAACATACACAATTTTGCACGTGGTTGGCTTAGTCTGTGGTTGGTAGTGGATGGAAAAATAGATAATGGCTATATTTTACTTAGTTCCTAGGGTGGAAGGCCGACTTTTTAAATTACTATTATTATCCTCTCATACACTATATTCTGACCACAGTCTTTCTCCATGCCTCATAGTCTGTCCTCCCCTCCCCCCATCACTACCTCCCCTCTCTCCCAGATCCACTCCTCCTCTTTTTCCCTTCTGAAAACAGCAGGTGTCCTAGAGATATGAACCAAACGTGGTATAACAAGTTACAATAAGACTGGGCACAAACACTCATATCAAGGCTGGTTGAGGCAACCCAGTAGGAGGAAAGGGGTCCCCAAAGCAGGCAAACATAAAAAGAAAGAAGAGAGTTAGAGATATTTAATTCAGTGATCAACACTTGCCTAGCATAGAACAACACTGGTCCTGTGTTCAGTCCCCATTGTTGTAACAAAAACAAAACAAAAAGCTAGTATAATCCTGATGTTTCTAGTGTCTTAACCTGTTTTCTATACTTTTATAGTAAACATCTACTGACTTTTCCCCATCATGTTGCCATTGATCATTGTGGCTCTGTCTGAATAGATAGGAAGGGAGGAAAGTGTTGAGACTGTTTAGTGCCATGCCAACAGATATTCTTGGTCCTCTCCAAGCTCTGTGAAAGCACTGTGGGGGCATGAAAAGGGGAAGCTCCTGCCCTACTCGGCCTTTGGAGGACCTGCAGTGCAGGAAATACTCGACCATGAGACAGCGAGAAGAGTGTGAAATAGAGTTGTGCCAGGCCCCTGTTCAGTTACAGGAAATCAGAGGGTGTGGAGGAATTCCTGGAGCATAAGAATTTAAAGAGGCAGCAGTGTGGGCAACCTGATCTTAGTTCAGTGGCAGGGAGGGAGCACGGAGAGCAACAGCTGTCAGAGAAATCTGTGGGCTTTGGGAACCACAAGGAAGAGCTTTCTGCTTCAGCTCCTCAGAACTTCATGAACAAAGCTGTCCAAAATGTATTAGTAACAATATTGCTATTCCATCACAGGCAATCATACTCAATAAACATTAGTTGGTTATATTTTTATTTGTTGTCTTAAGCCTCCAAAGACAGTCTAGCACAGTGGTGCAAGCCTCTGTCCTCAGCTCCTTGGAAGACTGAGGCGGGGGACTGTAAGTGTGTTTGGATTATTTAGTGAGACTGTTTCAAAATAAAAAGAAAATGGATATGGATGTAGCTCAGTGGTAGTTTTTTTCTGGCATGCATACTTCCCTAGGTTTATTTTCCCTCATCCCTACAAATAAAAGAGAAGTAGAATCCAAAAGAGTCTAGTTTTTTGTTTGTGTTTCTGTTTATAGCATAAGATTTCTCTTTAAAATATGAGTATAATATTGAATATGCTTCTGTCTCTGGTTGGATTATCACACACACACACACACACACACACACACACACACACACACACACGTTTGTAAATGAGAATGACCATTGAATCAACTTTACTCTAATCTCTGTTTAAAAGCTATTAATAGCAGCTCTTGGTCACTGTTTTTTTTTGGGGGGGGGAGTAAGTGTAAGTAGAGTAATTGTAGAAATCGCTTACAACAAATGCTGGAGAGACACACTAGTTAAGAGTGCGGGCTCTCCTTCCAGAGGACCACTGGTCAATTCCCAGCACCACATCAAGTGACATACAGTTACCTGCAACTCCAGCTCCAGGGGATCTGGAGTTTTCTTTTTGGTCTGTGGGCATACACATGATATACATAAACATGAATAAAAGATGTTTTAAGAAGTCTCTTGGGGATTTTCCACAGGAACTTAAGTTTTTGTAAGAATCACCCTGAGTATTCTTCTGTCTGGTGATAGACTGTAGCAGATATTGAATAGCTTATGACATGCTCCATTGTAAATGAAATGAATCCACTGAAGAGTTTGCTCACACGCCACTATTACTGTCAGAATGTGTAAATAGAGATGGCAATTTATAATCAGATGATCCTAATGGATGTCTGGTGTCAGCCATCAAAATGGTGACACATGATGCCACTCAAGATACAACGATGCAGGATTAAGACCTCTATAGGCTTCTTTTGGGTGTTTTGTCTGCATGTACATCTGTACCACTTGTGTGCTGTGTGCCCATAGAGGTATGGGCTATTGTGAGCTACCGTGTGGGTACTGGGAATTGAATTCAAGTCCCCTGGAAGAGCAGCAATGCTCCTAACTGCTATCTCTGCAGATTTGTTTTGTAGCCATTTCTGTCCTATCTCTATTGCTCTGTAGCTTCCTCTGTGACATAGGTGATCAATCTCCATTGGTTTTCATTTTCTGAGGAGAGCAAGGTATTTGTTGACATGAATCAAAGGCCTAGCCCACAGAAAACCCATCTTGATCAGACATGATTTTATTTTACTGAGGTCCATGTGTGGAACTGTCTGGGAAAGAAAAAGATGTCTGTGTTGATCTTGAGACATGTGACCTAGGAAGAAGTGGGTGTCTTCTGGTGTGGCCCATGGCTTCTATTTTCCCATTCCCTGCCTGGCTCTGCCTGATTTATTTACTTATTTGTTTGTTTATTTATTTTGTAGCTCAATGCTTGCTATTGATGAACATAGCTGGGGGATCATAACAGACAAGACTTCCTTAAGAATCAATGGAGAACAGGACAAAGAGTAGATTAAATGACATAATCCTATTTTAATGTGTACTCTGAAAGCTTTATCTGCTGCACTTTATTGGTTTCTGAACATCACGTTCACTAAACCACCTATTGTAAGACTAAAAAATGCTGGCATTTATAACACTCAAGTAATTCTGATCAAGGACTGTATGTAAGAAGCACTCAAGATTTCACTAAATTGGTAAATATTGTTTTTCTCACTTTACAAACAAGGGTCTCATTGTTGGTAGCTGTGTGGTAAGGGTTCAAATTCAGTTCAGCCTCTCTATTAAATTTCTATCTCATCACAGGAAAGGAGATGTTTGTGTAGATACATATTCGAAACATACGAACATAATTATTTTTCCCTCTCTTGTCTACCAGACTCATTTGCATACAATATGTGACTATAAAGAAAAGAGTCAAAAACTTCATTGGTATTTATTACCATCTTTAGGCAATGGATTATACAATAAGTCTATATTTTCTATACCTATCATTTATCAATCATTCATTTATCTATCCAATATATATTTGGATATATTTATGTATAACAGAATAGTTTTCTGACAGAATGGTGTAACACTAAAATATTAATATGGATTTTCACAAAGAAAATAAGACTCTCCATCCTACTTCTATTTAGAAGATGCAAAGTCAAAGATTTTGCATCTTCCTGACTTATGGAAAAACGGAAGTTCCTTTCATCATTTTCCCAGAAGTACATAAAGCACTGGCATATTGGGGTGGTTCTTTTAGTGTTTATATAGAATATATCAACATTTTATTTATTTATCAACATATAAGTGTATAAATAAATAAGTTCATGCGGCATGGCAACATTATAGAGCACATAACATTACTTAAGTAGATACAGTTAATCAAGATTTTAATTACAGTGTGACATGCTTAAAAAGCCCAAGGGAGCCTTAGATGCCAACTTACTCAAGGTTACATACACTCTGGTTCAGTTAGTTCCTCCCCCTCCCTCGCCCCGAAAAACCCTGCCCCGCCTCCCTTCCCCTGAAGACCCGCCCCCTCCTCGCCTGCCCGGCTGTTCTCCTCCTTAACAGCCCCCCCCCCCCCGCCCCGAATGTGAGCTCCGGCGCCGGCTCCGCCCACTCATTTCCTTACCCGCAGCTCCTCCCTTTCGCGCTGGACCCGCCCTCCCCTCCTTTCATTTACTTGCAGCCCCGCCCCTCTCGGGCGGGCCTACCCGCCGCGAGGACCTCTGGGAAGAGGCGGGGAACAATATGGCGGATGGCGAGGAGCCGTAAGTATCGGGCTTTTGCCGGAGCGCCTGGTTAGGCTGGGTTGTGAGAGAGCGCGCTAGTGGACGGTCACCGCTGCCACCTGGGGGTCCCTCAACCCCCGCCCCGTCCCCTCGTCCCCCATACCCGTGCGGCGCCCTCGTGGAGCTTGATGCTGACCCTTCTTTTATTCTCTCTTTCTTTTAGGGAGAAGAAAAGAAGGAGAATAGAGGAGCTGCTGGCTGAGAAGTTAGTGCTGCCGGGAGGCCGGGGTCCTCTCCGGAGACCCCCGCCTCCCCTCAACCCCAGGCCTAGGGGACCAGCCGCAGCGGGCCCGGGGGGACTGGGAGGGGGGCACCCGGAGCAGGCCGCGCGGCCTCACCCCTGACCCCGTCCCCATCCCGGGCCAGCGGCCGGCCGCTCCCTGGCTCTGCTCCTGCAAAAGCCACCCGGTGTCCCCCCTTCCTCCAACCCAAGTAGTCAGAGCTGGGACCTTGTGACAAGTGAATCCAATTTAAATCTAAATGTGCACGAGGCCCGTTTTGGGTCCTTGGTAGACACTGAGACAATACCACACATTATAAACTTTTTGTGAACACTGTGCATCAAGAATTATGTTAAAACTTGTCAGTTTTGCAAAGTAATTGCATAGTCTTAAAGCCTCTGTCGAACCCAGCACTTGCTCCCTCATTTACCACACAACCTGAATCAGATAACTAGTTTTTTGATGCCCTAGATTTATAGTTCTTTTCATATGGCCAATCCTACATGATTCCCCTCCCTCCATGGAAGGGGAAAAAATACTACTGTAGTGGGTGTGGTGAATTAATTTCTGTGTCACTTCTCAGTAGTATTTTGCCTTTTTCATGCTTCCCCCCTCTCCATGGTTGAATTTCAGCAGTTCACATTCCTTCCCACCTTCTAATTTCCTACTTTTTTTTTTTTTTGCATGAAATAACAAAGTCTGAATGCTTGCTATATACCAAGCGCAGTCCTAAGTCCTCTGTAATTATCTCTTTATCTCATGACCATCAGAAATAGTTGCAATCTACAGTTGAGGTTTCTGACAGTAATTTTCTCAAGGTTAGGATTTGCTTAGTTGTGAAATGAAACCCAACTATGCATCAGAACCTCCTCTTGCTATGCAGTTCATGTTGGTCCTAGTAAAAATTTGATACCACTGTCACTAATATATTTGAAGGTAGAAATTGCAGTTACAGGAAAGTTAGTTACCACAACCAGACATGAATCTGTGATTATAAAGTACAATTTTTTTTTTTTTTTTTTAAAGAGGAGTCCCACTTTACTTAGTTGAATATTCTCAAAGATTTCTGGATGATAATGCCTATCCATGGCATACTTTTAACCTAAACATTTTATTTTGTGTGTTTAGTGACAATAAATGTACCTCGTTATTAACAGAGGGCTTTAAAAAAAAAGTACTGGGACCTCTCTAAGGAAAGAAATGAATTGATTTTATCCAAAATGATCAGTGGATCATACCTTTACAGCTTGGGAAGAGCCATTGATAGTATTAGATTTGAAGCACCAGAGTTCTGAAAGTTCCCCTCACCCTCTGGATCTGTTATTTCCCTATCCAAGTGTATTGAAGGAACAGATAGGGAAGTTCACAGTGACTGTAAATACCAAATGTAGGGAAGTCCTTTCCTCACTGAGACACTAGTGTTCCAGCTTTGATCTTTGGGTGCTGAGGAAGCTAGAAGCACAGAGTCTGACTTATTTTATCAAGTAGGTGAAAAGTGCTTTTCCATAACAGACAAGCCAAAAATTGGAAAAGTCTAACCACAACTCAGTTTTCCTTTTATTTGAGCAGGTCTGGTGTGGTTACCTTTACATCTGGGGAGACCTAATAGTTGTGGGTGTGGCTTTTTCATACTGATCTTTGCAGCTGAATTTACTGTGTTCTATGCAGAATGGCTGTTGATGGTGGGTGTGGGGACACTGGAGACTGGGAAGGTCGCTGGAACCATGTAAAGAAGTTCCTCGAGCGATCTGGACCCTTCACACACCCCGATTTCGAACCAAGCACTGAAGTGAGAAACGTTTATTTTTAAATAACTGCTCTAATAGTTTTACATTTCAAAAATAATAAAATGCTACCTTTCTAATTTGCTATTATAATTTGGGTAACTAAAATATGGATAACTAAAATTGTTTTGTGAAATTAAGTTACCTTGTGAGTATTGAACTAAATCTTTACAACTATTTTATGTAAATGACTAGTAATGCATTTTTTAATTTTTCATGTAACTTTAAAATTTTCAAGAGTAGAATACTTGATGACTTAATATTCTGGTATGCTTAAAATTCTAGTTTAAAATAATTTCTAAGACACATTTTCCCTTTTGTATCCCTACTATGGTAAATTAATTCTTGTAAGACTAAGGTAAGCTTACTTAGGGAAATTTTTACTTAGCATTGACTATAATTAACTGAATGTCAAAAATGTGCTTTCAATATAATAGATATATATTTTGAACTGTATCTGGCTTAAAGCAAATTAATTAGATAAAATTTGTTTTTACAAAGTAGGAAAAAAGTATCCACTATAGTGTGTTTTATGTCCTTTGTGTCCACGAAGAAGTTTTGAAATAGAAAAGCTACTCATAAACTTGTTGTGTAAGTCTTGAATTGAGCTCAGTAGCTTGTGTGGATTAATCAATCGCTTTACTCCTCTAGTGGTGAACACAATACTTACTTAGTATTCTTTCTGTGGATAATACCGTTACATAATGCATCATATTTTCTTGTACTTTGAAAGTGTTTTACACAATAGATTAAGATTGTCACTTCTTTAAGTTGAATAATATTTCTAAGTTGTATTCCTGCTGATCTGGAATTGCCTGATTTTGTCAAGTTCTATACATTTCGTTCCTTGTTCAAAGGAAGCTGTAACTGCTCTTATCTAATTTTTGTTAGATCTTCAAACACTGGTGGCCCTTTATCTTCTGGTTTGACATTTAATTTTTTTTTTTTTTTTTTTTTTTTCTGTTTTTAGAAATCAGTGAAGTAACTGACATTTTCCCTACAATTTGGAAAAAAAAAATAAAGGATGGGAGAAGGAAAATAGAGAATATTGTAGTAAAGTAGTTATATGACCAATGAAATGATAAACCAACCCTTGCAAAAAAAGATAAAAATAACTAGGAATAGTTTTTAAATTTTTTAAAAATTTATTTTTCTTTTATGTGTATGAGGAGTTTTACCTTCATGTATATATTGTATGTGCACTGTATGTGCCAAGTACCCATGAAGGTCAGAAGAGGCCATTTGGACCTCTAGAACTTGAGTTATGGGTGGTTGTGAGCCACCACATACATGCTGGAAACCAAACCTGGATCCTCTGCAGGAGCAACAAGTGCTCTTATCTGCTGAGGCATCCAGCCCTACAGGTAGTTTTTCCTGTTAGATGTAGGCTTTTAATTTCATACATTAAAAATACATTTTAAGTGTTAAATAGAAACTTTGAAATCATTAGAATTTCAAAATTTGTAATTAAGTCTCCTTTCATAATTTGAAATAATTGATGTCAGGTGTGTTGCATATGGATAGTTGCCCTTTTTTATGTCTACATTAACAACTGTTGTGTGGTTTGTAGCCTTATTCATGGTTCCTGTGGTGATCGCCTACATTTTAATATGCCTTTCCATTCTTTGCAGTCGCTGCAGTTCTTATTAGATACATGTAAAGTTCTAGTGATTGGAGCTGGTGGCTTAGGATGTGAGCTCCTGAAAAACCTGGTAATATATCATACATAAAATACTGTTCTCTTAGAGATGAGTAAGGCCTTTTGCTTTTCTGTCATGAGGAGTGTCTTCATTTCATGATTATTAATTTTTCCCTAAAACATTTCCTGGATAAGTTTAGCAGGTCAAATTTTATACAGTAATAAAAATACATATTACTTTGGAACTCTAGAAGTCCTTAAAGTCATTTGTTTCTTCTCTGCTCTTTTGTTTTTGTTTGTTTGGTTGCTGCTTCTTTTTGCCTAGTGCTAATTTCATTTCATTGAAGTAAATAACAGAATAGTTCATTATTTTATGTGTAATTTCAAGTAACTTGTTATTTCTTTTGCTTTTCTTAATAACCCAGTTAGGTGGGGTTTTGTGTCATTTTACTCAAATGAACACATTGAGCTACAGCAAAATTAAAAGTCTCATTCTTTTTCCTGGATTACAGTGAGGTTCCTAAAATCTAATTCAGGACATCAGTTCTTTAAGATGGTTGTTTTTGATGACCATATGATGATAGTAAATGCCTAAAATTTGGGGCAGCTGAGCCTTTATTCTTTTTATGTTTGCTTGTTTGTTTTTGTGTTTGGAGACAGGGTTTCTCTGTGTTGCTTTGGAGCCTGTCCTGGAACTCACTCTGTGGCTGGCTTTAAACTCACAGAGATCCTCCTCCTGCCTCTGCCTCCCAAGTGCTGGGATTAAAGGCATGCACCACCAATGCCTGGCCTCAGCTGAGTTTTTATAAAACTGTTTCTGTATACTGTTTAGAAATACATAGATGTGATGTAATTGCTTTCATAGAGTTATCTCTCTTTTTTTAAGATTTATTTATTTATTATGTATGCAGTGTTCTGCCTGTAGTATGAAAATCTAAAATCTGTAGAAGGCTAAGGGTTTGTGGAGTTGGCCATTGTTTTTTGTTTATGCATTAGGCATGTACATGTTCCTTAAAGCTTAACTTTTTCAGTTTGAAGCCATGATTTACTGTTGCAGTCTATACTGACTTTTAAATTGCTGTCATTAAAGATTAGATCTGAAGATTATTCCTCAAGCAACTTTAGGGAGTAGTTCTTCTATTACTTTCCTATATATTGATCTATATATTTCCTATATTCTCATACACAGAATGCCTTTTACTTTATTATTTGTTACTTGTTTTAGATGTAAGCATAGAAGATATGGGCGGTTTTTTTTTTTTTTTTTTTTTTTTTTCCTTTTCCTTTTCTTTTCACTAACTGCACGCCCCCTAAAGGCTCATTCTAAAAAAAAAAAAAGAAAAGGAGAGACTATGACATAATGTCACTGATTAACCAAATGTTTATTGAGTCTCCTCTTGTAAATGCCAAGCACTTTTTTAGGCGATAAAGACTCAAATGGAGCAACATAAACAAGTGATCATTTATGGAACTCAAATTTTTCTTGGGGGAGGGGGAGAGAGAGGAAGGGAGATGGATGGATGGATAGATAGATAGATAGAGAGATAGATAGATAGAGAGATAGATAGATAGATAAAGAATGTCAGGTGGTAGTAAATGCATGAAGAAAGGAAGGGTGAGGATAGACAGCCTGGTGGTGAGGGGATGGGTTTTCAAAAAGTGGTTTGAGTAAGGAAGGGTTGAATAGTGTGCTAGAACATTGAGAAGGAAGGTTCCAGGCAGGGGGACAGCAGATGAAAATCGATAGACGTTGTGAGTTTTCTCTTGGTTATAGATGATTTAAATCTGAGTGCTTGTGCATCTTTGGCTTTTGACAAGATTCTTGAAGTTTTTTATTTTCTTGTTTGTTTTGTTTTGTTTTTTGAGGCAGGGTTTTTCTGTATTGCTTTGGAGCCTGTCCTGGAACTCACTTTGTAGACCAGGCTGGCCTCGAACTCACAGAGATCCTCTTGCCTCTGCCTCTTGAGTGCTGGGACTAAAGGTGTGTACCACCAACACCCAGCAAGATTCTTGAATTTTTTAATGCCTTTTACAGACTTTTTAAGCCAAAGAATACAATTATGTAGAATTTATTACTATAAACATATGGATTTAGGACATAGATTTTTTGAAAATCTGTTATGTTTTAAAAGAAAGGAAACTCATGCCTAATTAAATTGCTTTTCTTTCCACAGGCCTTGTCTGGTTTTAGACAGATTCATGTTATAGATATGGACACTATAGATGTTTCCAATCTAAATAGGCAGTTTTTATTTAGGTAAGTTTTGATATTTTAAAAATTCTGATATTTAAAATTTTGTACATTGCAATTTAATAACTATTGAGGGTTTAACATGGATTTTACAAAAACAGGAAGAACTACTTTTATACTTTCGGTAGATACTCGAAACTGTATCCTGAGTATTCAGGTGATGATTGTTTTATAAGCACATTTGTGCCTTTTCCATTCTGACAAGTTTTTAATGTATTACTGCTTTGGAATAGACTTAGGCGATCAGTTATTGATAATAAGACACACCTTTTAACTTGTAACTAACATGATTGCAATAGTAGTGATGCTTACAGAGCTAATTAATTTGCATGATGCCAGGAAGGGTGACTTGCCATTTTATTTATGACAATATCTTAATTACAGCAGTTGACAGTCCCCTGGTCCTGGAAATTTCATAATAGTCTTCACTAAAACCACACTGGAGTTCTTTTGTGTGAGACTTTTAAAAAAACAAAAACACATTTAGCAGAATCTTGGCATTCCACTGTTTCCCTCTTCTATATGTGAAGAGCTGTCTGAAGAGTGCTTGAATGTGGTATTCAAACCAAGATTTCTAATTTATAGTACTTTTCTATGCAAGTAAGGGTAGAGAATAAAATTGTTGGCAGCTGCAAATAGGAAAGGAATAATTCTTTATATTCTTTATTGGAGAAGAGAAAAATTGACCCGATTAAATGTTTTCTTTTAAATTCTAATTTTAAATAAAATAAAAATTTGATTTGTTATTTTTACTTTTTAAAAAATGTATCCACTGTCCTGTATGAAGGGTGTAAAGAGTAAGGGTTCAATGTCTAGGAGTACATGTGTGTTATAGGAAGTTGTAGTGAAGCACTTACTCTTATGTGAGTGATAACTCATTTCCATGAGAATCATGAGGAAATAGTAAAAAGGAAATACATGCTTGAAGAGACACTTTGTGTCTTTTGGTACTTAATGTCTGGTTATTATCAAAGAGGGATGCTTCCACACTTTAGTTTCTTGAAAATGTTAATAATGTCTTTGAACTTTATTCTTTCTTTTAAAACATGTTTTAAGAAGCTGGGCCCAGTGGTATCTACTTGTAATCCTAGCACTCAGGTAGCTGAGACAGGAGGATCTGGTCCAGCCTGGGCTGTGTAGTAATATCTGTCTCAAAGAAGAAAGAACAAGCCCCACAGTGCTTAGGGACCTCTTATACTCACTTAGTAGCATAACCAAGATAGAGATGTTACCTATATCTTCCTTACATATAGTGAATCTTTTTGTGTATATTTTACTAAGACCAGAATATAAACACAGTGAAGCAGGCATGTTGGCTCCAGTTGTAATTTTAGCATTTGGAAGGCTGAAGCAGGAATTGCTTAGAGTTTGAGGTTATCTTGCTGGGCTATATAGTAACCCTGAGGCTAGTCCAAGCAAACCAAACCATTTAGATTCTGGGATTCAGGCAGTGTACTTGGATGGCTGTAAGTCTAGGATATTTTTATGTTAGGAAATGTCATGGTTGGAAGTGGCCACTAAATGTGCTGTTATTATGGTTTTCCTGGGGAAGGGGGCACCCTACTATTCAATAGTTTATATTTTCAGCTAAGAAATACAATTAGACTTGTCATATTTATTTGGACTATCAGCAAGGGTTTAGTAACTATGCATTTAATTCATTACTGATATACAAATATTTAGGGGTTAATGGAGAGTTGGCGCATCAGTTAAGAACATACTGTGTCTTTGGTGGACTTAGGTTCAGTTCTCAGCACCTATATCTGGTGGTTCACACCTGCCTCTATTTCCAGCTCCAGAGATTATGAGGACTCCAGCCTCCATAGATAGGCATCTGCAGTCATATGTATATACTCACACAGATACACATGCATACATATATTTTAAAATAATAAAAATAGGTAGTGAAAATATTTTTAAGTATGTTATAAATAAACTTCATTTTTATGTTTGGAAGCTAATTATATAGACCATCTAAGTTCTTATTATAGATGATAACTTAGACTTTTTTTTTTTTTAAGACAGGGTTTCTCTATAGCTTTGGCTGTCCTGGAACTAGCTCTGTGAATCAGGCTGGCCTGGGACTCAAAGAGATCTGCCTGCCTCTGCCTCCTGAGTGTTGGGATTAAAGGTGTACATCACCACTGCCCAGCTATGGGTGTCAATTTAATGTAATGTTTTCTGTAGGCCTAAAGATGTTGGAAGACCCAAGGCTGAAGTTGCCGCAGAATTCCTAAATGACAGAGTTCCTAACTGCAATGTTGTCCCGTATCCTTTCAACAGAAGAGTACTTCTCTAGACTTTTATACTCATAATTGTGAGCATTAACAACAACAAATCAACTCATTTCTAATCCTCACCCATTCAGAACTCTATTCCCTTTGAATGCTGGGCAAGCAGGGATCTAAGGCACATTGGGAAGTAGGTTGAAAAAGAAAGGGAGAGGTGGAGGCGTGGCAACAGTGAGACAGGAGGCTGCCTAAGACGTTCTCTCCTGGATGGATGTCTATAAAACAGGTCTCCCAGGTCTCAACAGTGGGGCTAGATGGAATGGGACTACCCTCCCTCTTTTAATTGTTTACTTACAGAGGGGCCTATTTTTCCATTTTTAAACATCAAAATAGCATGCATTCACCAGAAGCTGTAAAAGGCGTACAGTGAAGCTGCACCTCTTTGTGTTGCTATTGAAAACACAATGTATTATTTAGAGTAGTATCACTTGGATTAAAAAAAGTAAACATTTTTCACAGGATCATGATCTTTTGTTTTTTGTTTTTTGAGACAGACTTTCTGTGTAGCCTTGGTTGTCCTGTATAGATCAGACTGGCCTCTGTCTCATAGTACTGAGATTAAAAGTGTATAGTTCTGCTTTTCAAATGTTAGGTGCTATGATTGACTCATTCTCACAGGTAGTGAAAGGGAATTCGTGAGTAGCCTGCAAGTACACAGTGACAAGGAATAGTTGCTGATTGGGTAAGAAGAGACCTACAGTTGAATGTTGTGAGGGGCAGGAAGTATTCATACTTTACTTCGAGATTCCCCAAGCCTCTTCAAACCTAACAAACCCAATTTTACTAGCAACTGAAAAAGCTGTCAAAATTCTCTGTATTGTTTTTATATAAGGCTTCCAATACTTTGGCATTTTTGGTAGTCTGTTTTTTATTGAAAAGAATTTTTTTTTTTACACAATATATTTTGATCATGTTTTCCCCCTCAACTCCCAGATCCTTCTACCTCCCTACCACCCACCTTATGTTCTTTCTCTCTCTCTCTAAAAAAAAAAAAAAAAATCCCAAAGCCCAGGGAATGAACACGTACACCCCCAACTAAAATGTAAACCAAACAAGCAAAAGACCAATAACGCAAAAAAGGCCAAAATAAAGCAAAATGAAACAAGAAGTTCACAAAGATTCCATAACTCTTTGATTTTTTTTAAAAATACATTTGTGTGGGGTGGGGGTGGGGGAGAGAGAGAGACCTATTTTCACTTTTACACTGGCATATACACACATGTATAAGTAAAATAATTTAAAGTAGTTTTGTCTGAAAGTAGGATTGTGATCATTTTATCCGATTTTTTTTGAATTCCACATTGATCACCTGTTTTGAATAAGCAGTTTGTTCCTTATGGCATTGTTAAAATCACTGCAGAAATTTGAAACTTGGTATCTTAAGTTCCTTTACTTGGATTCAGACATTTCAACAAGATTCAAGATTTTAACGACACTTTCTACCGACGTAAGTGCTCACTTGAAATTAAATCTCGTGGTTGGTTTCTCTCTGTTGATTTTGAGTAAGCTTGTTGACTAACTCACTATGCATCACTGTCCTGACTCAAGCTGCTCACTTGAATAAGAATTATTGGAAGTTTAAGAGACTGGGAAGATTCTAATATCTTATAAGTGAATTACTCTGTATAACTGCCTTTATTTAAATTGGTAAACTGTTCAAAGCAGTTTTGGAGATAAAGCAAAGCTGGGTGGAAGGTAGAGAGCTCCCAGCATCTTCCGTCCACAATGATTGGATGCAGCCTTTGAGCTGGTGCTAGACCACTCTTAGAGTAGTGCATTTGTGAACACTAGACTGAGTGGATGTGGTGGGGCCAGCACTAAGGAGGCTGAGGCAAGAGGATAGGAAATTTGAGACCAGCCTAGGACTACTTGTGAGACTGTATCAAAAATTAAATGTGGATTTTTTTTTTTTCGTAGAGTTTCATATTATTGTATGTGGCCTGGACTCTATCATAGCCAGAAGATGGATAAATGGAATGCTGGTAAACACTTCTAAAGATCTTTGCTGTTGCTTTTGACAATCAGAATTGTCATATTTTTGTAAAATAAGAATTTGTTTTAAATTAAGTAGATATGCATCACTGTTGTTGCATGTTGTTGGTTTTTAGTGAGAACATTTATTGTTAAGAATATAATTCCTTCATTCTGATGTGTTGCTGCTGTGTCCCAAACTTACTCCTAGAATTTGTTGGAAGCATGCTGCTGTTTTTATTTGTTTGTTTTCCTATACCCCTTTTTAAACACTTTAAAACATTTTCTTAGATATCTCTTCTAAATTATGAAGATGGGGTGTTGGATCCAAGCTCTATTGTCCCATTGATAGATGGGGGGACAGAAGGCTTTAAAGGAAATGCCCGGGTGATTTTGCCTGGAATGACTGCTTGTGTTGAATGCACTCTGGAACTTTATCCACCTCAGGTAATCAGAAAAGCACCTGCATTTCTTTCTTAGTATTTTGGGTTGTAATTAGTGCTGATTATTACATCTAGTCATTGTTTGGGGTCTGTATTGGGGATCAACATATATTTAAAGATATGCTGAGACCTGGGGGTATAGGTTAGTATTTACCATAATGAGAGTGCAGGCTCGAACTTGCACACTTCAGCATCAAAACAAAAGGAACATTTAAAAGAAAATTTGCTAATAATAAAGTGTGACAGTCTACCGTGAGAGAAGACACTATATATCAGGTCTTGTGTTTTTATGGTTTTATTTTAATTATTATGTGTATGTGTGTAAGTGTAGGTATGCAATGTTTCTGGAGGCCAGAGGTGACGGATCTCACTGCAGATGGAATTATGGGTGCTGGGAACCGAACTCAGATCTTTTGAAAGAGGAGTATATACTCTTAACCATCTTTCTAGACCCTTAATTTTTTATTTAAGAGAAATTACAAAGTTATTTGTTGGGATAAGTTATATTCTGTCTGTTTTCTCTGTATACCTGCCCTTAATCCATGATTCTAGCTGCCTATAGGCTGGGAATATTAAGCAGGAACTCCAGAAATAAATGATGTATAAGATTAAAATCCCCCCTCCCTTTTAAGTTGTATCCATTTCTGGATAATGTGAATTTTGAGTCATCTTATTCCTTTGGAGTATACTTGAGTTTTTCTTAGATTTAATTATGTTTACTTCTGTGCATGTGCCAGTGCATATGTGTGTACATGGGTGTTGGTGCTCTGAGAAGCTGGAAGCATTGGGTCCCCTGGTGCTGGAGATTCAGGAGGTTGTGAGTCACCTGATGTGGGTGCTAGGACCCTAACGGCTCCTCTGCAAGAGTGGTTAACATTCTTTCTCTAGTCCCTGGAGTCTTCCTTATTAATACTTTTTAAAAAATCTATTGTGCCTAATTTATGTGTTAAACTTTATCTTAAAGTGTGTGTATTTAGGGTTCAGACATTTGTTGGGGTTGTAGGACGTACCTTTCATGAACGAGGAAGGCTCACTGTAATTATTTCAGAGATGAAAAATACTAGAAAAGGGGCTGGTGAGATGACTAGGCAGATGAAGGCACCGAGCTCACTCCTAGCACTCCATGGTGGAAGAAGAGAGCTGAAAGTTTCCTTCTGACTTTTACATGTGCATTGCAGTATGTGCTCCCACACACATACATGCAAAATAAATCTAATAAAAGTTGAAAAGTAGGTCGGGCAGTGGTGGCTCATGCTTTCAATCCCAGCACTGGGGAGTCAGAGGCAGGCGAATCTCTATGGTCTACAAGATCTAGTTCCAGGACAGGCTCCAAAGCCACAGAGAAACCCTGTCTTGAAAAACCAAAAAAAAAAAAAAGATTTTTTTTTTTTTTTTTTTTTTTGAAAAATAGGATTAAGAAATCTTTTCAAACATGGGTTTCTTTAATTACATATTCATTATAAAGAATAGTTGCAATTTTGATTTATAAGTGTTAGCAGCCCTGAGTATTAATTTAATTGATTTAACTGATTGTGCTTTTGTGTTGTGATTATATCTTCACATTAAACACAGGTAAAACTAAATCATTCACATTTCAGCATTTATTTAATATTTTCTCATTGGGAACAGAACTTGAGTGAATATGATCTAAAAATGTAGGGCAATTTGTCTTTCTTTTATAGGCAGCTCAACCTAAACAGACTCTTTCTTGTGCCTCCTATTAGTTTAGCAGTTTTAATGCTCCATAGTGTTTTGTTTATTTAAATCAAGAGCTGACATAAAATTTTATGAAGTAACCAGACCTGGAAGTTGTATTTAAAATAACTCCTTGTTTAAATTTTACTAAGAAAGATAAACTGTGTGTTTAGGTCAATTTTCCCATGTGCACCATTGCATCTATGCCCAGGCTCCCAGAACACTGTATCGAGTATGTAAGGATGTTGCAGTGGCCCAAAGAGCAGCCTTTTGGAGGTAATTTAATAATCTAAACGTAGCGAGTATTTTATATATTACTTATTTTAAAATTTCATTTAAAAATTGCCTTATGGTTATATATGTCTGTTTCCCCACCACCAGATGGAGTTTCATTAGATGGAGATGACCCTGAACATATTCAATGGATTTTCCAAAAGTCTGTAGAGAGAGCATCACAATATAATATTAGAGGTGTTACCTATAGACTCACTCAAGGTGAGTAGTAAACTGTCATGATTGTGTGATTGTTGGGAGTGGTTAGACATCTCCATCCATTTGAAGTTTATTAGGGAACTCTGGGAGCAATGGTCTCCCAGTTATCCAAGGTAGGAGGGAACTAAGCTCAGCAGAATGCACCACTCAGGGATTGAATGGTATCACTGACTCATATTTACATACAGTTGATAGAAGCCTTATCTTCAAAGTCTGTTTACTTCATCTTTCACTGAAGAATTCATTCCCTACTGGGAACAGTCAAAACACTGTTATTCCATATGTTGAGCAGAAATCTGTGTGAGTTTTGTTCAGTATCGTACACAATCTAGTTCCTTTTATTTTTTTAAATTTTTATGTTAAGAGTGTTTGGCCTACTTGTACGTATGTGCATTTCATGCATATCTGGTGCCTGCAGAGGACAGAACAGGGCATTGGATCCTCTGGAGTTGGAGTTACAGAAAAATGTGAGCTGTGTGTGCATGCTAGGAACTGAACCGGGGTCTTCTGGGAGGACAATAAGTGCTCTTAACTATGAGCTATCTCTCCAGTTCCCAACCCCCCTTTTAATAATAGTTTCTAACAACTGAGCAAAGTAATCACATTTTCTCTACATTAGTAATTTTTACCATTCTTAAGTCTTCCTGATTACTTAGTGTCACAGACTTCAAGTCTCCATGTTATTATTCCCTGACCATCATCCAGTTATCCATCCTCCTTGGATCTGCTAAGACTTTTAGTGCAGCATTCTAGGGTTAGCCTTACCTCTGAAGATGTGTGCAGTCTGAAAGGAGAAATGACATTTTACTGTCATTTGTTGTTATCATTGATGTTCTATTTCCATTTGTTTGTTTTTTGTTTTGTTTTGTTTTTTGAGACAGGGTTTCTCTGTATTGCTTTGGAGCCTGTCCTGGAACTTACTCTATAGACCAGGCTGGCCTTGAACTCACAGAGATCCGCCTGCCTCTGCCTCCAAGTGCTGGGACTAAAGACATGTGCCACCAATGCCTGGCCCTATTTCCATTCCTTAATGTTGCTATTCATTGAAATCTACATATCTTTTTGGCAATGCAGTTGTTAAGCCTTCTCGTCCCCTCCCCCTTCACTGAATTGTTATTCTAGAGTTTTTGTTAAATTTTTTATTGGTTCTTGAGATCAACCTAAGGCTTTAGCAGCCTTTTAGATTTGTCTCAGTCTATTAACAGGTCTTCTTGAGTCTCCCAGACTTCTTCACTGTCTTCACAAAGAAGCCATAAAAGATCTTTCCAGATGCTCTACAAAAGCCTGGTGTTCTGTCTTTCCGTTTTCTGAGAGCTAGGTCAGTCAGTCACCAAGTGTGTCTCCTCTAGCATAGGCTCACAATTAGCAGTCCTGCTCACTTTAGTGACCAGTGTCCAGTCCAGTTACAGTTCATCCCTTCCAGAGTTTTGCTGAATTCTTCAGAAAGCGCTTTGTATTCTTTTTGAGAATTTGTCATTTCTCTTCTGTGGTTATTTTCTTTTATTGACTCACATTCTTTGTATTGTCACATGAAAATTCAGTTCATGCCTGCTGCCTATTTTCTCATCTTTCTCTACACCATCCTGCTCTGTACTCTTCTTCCTGGAATGCTGGAAACACCTTTCCTTGCTTCCTCACCCTCCAGGATCCTGTGCTTGCTTCTAGAGCAAGCAATTCAAGTGCAGTTAGGAGACAAGCTTTCTTTTATTCTGTGGGACACAGTTTGTTCATTGCTTACATAAGTATGGAAGTGCAAATCTTACTCAAAATAGAGCTGTGTTTCATTTTGTGTGTAAAAGATATACTTTTTTTAAAAGTGTTGTTTTAGCCTTTAATCCCAGCATTTGGGAGGCAGAGCCAGGTGGGTCTCTATGAGTTCAAGGCCAGCCTGTTCTACAAGAGTGAGTTCCAGGACAGCCAGGACTGTTTTTCAGAGAAACCCTGTCTCAAAAAACAAAAAACAAACAAACAAAAAAAAAAATTATTGTGATATAACTTATGTCAAGAATAATATTTTTTTATACTTACTGAGGCATTTCAGAATCTAGTATAGTGTATCGATGCTAAGACTAATGTGGGCTGGGTATATGTGGGCCCAACCCATTCCTACATTTATTAGAGGTAATGTTGTGGATATGACATTTAATTTCTCAGTCTTGGCTTTCCTTCTTTTTAGAACATGACTAATATCACCTTGTCAGTAACACTGAATAATATTTACTGTTCATACTTTCACACTGTACCTGGAGTATAAGGAAGCACTGTTATTATTGCCTTACTGCTTTGTCATTATATAAAACTATAGTATTGCTTAAGAGTTTAAACATACTACAGAATGGGAATGTGAAAGAAGGTAGTTCATGTTTAAGCTTTTCAGGTTTTTTTATTTGTTTTGTTTTTCAGATAGCATTTTTCTGAGTAACCCAGAGTGGCTTCAAACTCATGGTTCTTCTGCCCCAGCTTTCCAAGTGCTGGCAAGAGGCACATGTCACTGAGCCTGGCTATACCCAACTTCATTTCTTGACTTGAAAGCCTGAAAAATCAAGTTTCAGAAAATGGCATTTAACAATTGGACTTTAAGAGATTTAATTATATTACTTTAACTTAAGATGACTGTTTATTTGGAAGGAGCCAGAGGGATATGGCTTAGTTGTCAAAAGTGCTTATTATCCATAACCACTTCTAAGTCCAGCTCCAGGGGATTGAACAAACTCTTTTGGACTCTTAGGACACCTACACCTGCATATGCACATGTACACACACACACACACACACACACACACACACACACACACGTACACCTGTGCATACGTGCCTCTACACATAATTGAAAATAAATCTTGAAAGGAAAAAAGAAGAAATGACCATATTTTATTTTGTAAATTTTTTCAGGGGTAGTAAAACGAATCATTCCTGCAGTAGCTTCTACAAATGCAGTCATCGCAGGTAACATAAAAAAGACTTTCTCAGTTTGACTTTTACCCTTGATTTTTGACTTAATATGTAAATTAACATTTCTATAGTTACTTGTATTCTAAGAATTTGATATCTTCTTGGATGAGTTACCCCAACCAAATTTGCTACTGTATCCTCTGTATATCTTGTATTATTATGTCTTTTTTTAAAAATTTTTTTATTTTTTACATATATTACATGCCAAGCAGTTTCCCTTACCTCCACTCCTCCCAGCCTCCCCACCTCCCCATTTCATTATGTCTTACAAGGCATTATATCTCTTAGACAAAGTGCTCACAGTAAAGGGTTGTCTTAGTGTGTCTTTTTACTCATAGGTTTAGCTTTTCATTGATCTGGTGAACACAAAGGGAAAGGTTTATTGCTTGGATTATGTAAAACAAATGATAAAACTTGTCCTTTCCTATATTTTTAAAATTAAGTACTTTACAGTCTGCTTTCTCTATAAAAATATAGAAATCACAAATTTATCTGATTGATTGCTGACTTTCAAAGTATTTAATTTTTACTGAGTTAAAATACCTTTTTTTCTCTCTAGCTGTGTGTGCCACTGAGGTTTTTAAGATAGCCACAAGGTAATGAGTTTTATTTTTATCTTGAATATAACTCCATGTTACAACTTTGCTCAGTTAGATAAACTTGATCATTTTTTCATTACAGTGCATACATTCCCCTTAATAATTACTTGGTATTCAATGATGTAGATGGACTGTACACATACACATTTGAAGCAGAGAGAAAGGTTAGTAGTGCTAAGCTAATGGGAATGTTTTCCACTATTCAGCCTTTGCTCTTATATATTAATTATTAATTAGGAATTTAAAAGTCAATATTCATGTTCTGAGCTACTAAAGTTAATCATGTATTTTTTGTTGGCTAGTTTAAATAGATAGTGTATGGCAAAATAATTTAGAGGCTTTAAAGCAGAAAATATTTCCATTGGAAATATTCATGATTGTAAAACAATTTGATTTCCTTATCTTTGCTTAAAAAAAGACTGACATTAGTGTTTTTAAATTACTCTTTTATGTTTATAGGAAAATTGTCCTGCATGTAGCCAGCTTCCTCAAAACATTCAGTTTTCCCCATCAGCTAAACTACAAGAGGTTCTAGACTATCTGACCAATAATGCTTCCCTGTAAGTGTTCAGTTTTTATTATAAAAATACAATTATTATAAAAATTGTATTTTAAACTTTAAAATGAGCAAGAACTATTTCTTTAAATAAAACGATGTTTGCTACTTTATTTAGGCAAATGAAGTCTCCAGCTATCACAGCCACATTAGAGGGGAAGAACAGGACACTTTACTTACAGGTCAATAGTTTAATTTTTACATTTGTAAAGAAAATTGTATTTTTTCCTTAATATACTATAAATTAAAATAATATTGTTTTCCAGTCAGTAACATCTATTGAAGAACGGACAAGGCCCAATCTTTCCAAGACATTAAAAGGTATCTTAAGTAAATGTGTATATTAATAGTTTCCTTTTTTAGTAAAAGTAAATGTCTACGCTCTCTCTCTCTCTCTCTCTCTCTCTCTCTCTCTCTCTCTCTGTGTGTGTGTGTGTGTGTGTGTGTGTGTGTGTGTGTGTGTGTGTCTGTCTGTCTGTCTGTCTGTCTGTCTCCGTTTGTCTGTCCGTCTGTGTCTGTTTCTCCTCATTACCAGGGATCATAATCAGGTTCCACTTGACTTGCTAAGGAAATGCCTTATCCTCATCCCTTAGGGTTTGGAGATAGGATTTCTTATGGTTGCTTTAGCTGGTGTTGAACTTACTTGTAGTGCATGCTGTGTTTGAAATTAGATTTGCGCTTAATTAAATATGATTAAGTCATAATTAATCATATCTATTAAAATAATAGAATTAATGGCTCTTTTTATAGAAAAAAATGTAAAACTCCAAGAAATCAAGTTAAAAAAGAATTGGATTTTGAGATATATCCAAACTCTAAAACTATAATTTGTGTATATGTATAATATTATTGTTTTTGATTGTATATTTATTTTTGTTTGGGCTAATGACATTCTTTCCTGTTTTAGAATTGGGACTCGTTGATGGACAAGAACTGGCTGTTGCTGATGTCACCACACCACAGACTGTGCTCTTCAAACTTCATTTTACTTAATCTATGTATAATAGAAAATTCATAGAAATAATATACTCTGTGAATGTTAAGGAATCTAATTGAAGAGCAGGGAAGATGAGCAGAGGAGACACCAAAACAGGAAATGTAATTGATGTCATTTTTAGCATTCGTGTCACTAGAGTTTGACTTTTATATATACATATATATATATATATAAAAAAAAAATGAATGCCTCTTTTTTAACTTTATAAGTTTCTCTTGAAAATTGAACTTTGGGGTTGGGCTAGTAGCATTTTCATTAGTAATATGTAAAACGATGCCTGGAGAGAAAGATTATGAACAAATGTATTGGTTCTTTAAAGCAGGACAAATACTGTCTTTTGTGTGAGTTTGTTATTATGGTCAAAGAACATAATCCTCAGCTCGTATTTGAGCATCCACATGTATAGAAATGTATCCTTGAGTGGAAATGAGGAATTATGTTTTAAGAACATTAAATATTACAACCTGACATCTAGAGTATATCAGACATAGACTGTTTCTTCATTACTACTCATATAATTGTGGCTATCCAAATGTGTATTAATTATTGTAGAGTTTAACTTGTCCATAATAATTTGTAAACAGTATTACAGATTAATTCTTGTGCATGGAAATATTAAGTATTTTCATGTGTTTATTTGCAATGCCATAGAGGTCAGTGTGCACAAACTTAAACCAAGACAATGGGTATTCAAAGAAAATGAATGTTTAAACAGTTATCACTGATGCTTTTGCACTATTTATTAATAAAGTCATACATTGTCTACTTTTTATTGAAAATTTTAAAATATATTAATAATAGTAAATAGCTCCATAGTGAAATAGGAATAATTTTTAAATATTTAAGTTATTAACAGATTTTTATTGCACCTGAATTAAAATTTTACTATAGTAATTTCCATAATAAAGGCCCTCTACTAGGTTAACTGGCTTGAACATGATAAATGAAATGAAATGGGGTGAATAATTTTATAGTAAATGCCTGTTTTCTTTAAAAGTACTAAAATCAAAGTGAAGCATAAATGCTAAAAAGAAAAAAAGCTGTTGTAATATTTCTAATGTGGGAACAAATAGTACCTCTTCATTTCTTTTTTTTTTTTTTTTTTTTTTTTTAGTTTTCAGTGTTTGTTGTTTTTTCATTTTTTGTTGCACTTTTTTTATTCATAAGATTTGTGAATGTTAGTGGCTGAAGTGTGTCTTCTTTTTGGTGTGGGTATGATTCAGAACCTCCCACATATTTGTCAAGTGCTCTGCCGTTGAGCTATACCCTATTTTTTGTTCTCTCCAGCTCCATCTTGACAAATTTAGTTTAATTATAAAATGGCATGGAGGACTGGAGAGATAACTCAGTGGTTATAAGCACTGTCTGTTCTTCCAGAGGACCAGGGGTCCAATTCCTAGCTCACAACTTTCTGTAACTCCAGTTCTAGGGGAACCTACACACTCACACAGACAAATACGCACATAAAATAAATAGATAAATGTTCTTTAAAAAGCATTATGTGCTTAAAAAAAAAAGGATCACTAGGTAGTGATGGCTTCCGCTTTTAATCCCAGCATTTGGGAGGCAGAGGCAGGCCTTGTCTACAAGCAGGTTCTAGGACAGTCAGAGCTATTACACAAAGAAACCCTGTCTCAAAAAACAAGATATATAGTTAATTAAACCACATGGTACATTTATATGCTTTACCCAAAATGTTACAGAGACAACAGTTTTTCTTTGTGGTTGTTTTTGGGATCAGCCTTATACATTGCTAGGTCAGTATTCCATCACTAAACTGTATTCCCTATGAAAGTTTTTGTAGTTTTTTGTATGATAAGGTTTCATTGTGTAGTCTAAACAGGCTTTGAGCTTGTGACCCTCCTCCCACTGTCCCCTTCTGCTTTGTGTCACAAAGCAGACTTTTTTTGTTTTGTTTTGTTTCAGGACAGGGTCTCACTATGTAGCTCTAGCTTGTCTGGAACTCACTATGTAGACCGGGCTGGATTTGAAGTCACAGAGATTCACTGCCTCTGCCTCCCAACAGTTGAGCCTTTTTAAAGATGAAGATCCTTAACCTAAGTACCTTCTCCATGAAGATGCTGTAATGGTTTTTATAACAAGGCAACAACAGAACTTAGAAAATAACTTTGGGTGGTTTATTATGTCCCTTGTTTAGTGCTGTGCATTTAGAAGTATTGGAACAGTTCTCCTTACATACTCATCTAAACTGTTTGGAGAGAATTGTTACTTAGTACAACCTTGTATAAGTAACTCAAGTATTAGTACATGCTAAGACTGTTTTTCTTTGGGTTTGAAAACGTTTTTATGTTTTATAATGTACATGAGTAATGTACATTTTTATGTTTTATAATGCACATGAGTCAGAACCCTATGCTGTTTGGATCAGAGGCTTCTGGTAAGGATAGTGACAATGAAAAACAAAAGTAAGGGTAAAACACAGGGCTTGCAAAAATCTACTGAAGGAAGCAAAGCCTACGATACTCTTATCAGAGAAGTCAGAATCTGAAGACCAAAACATTAAAGGTACTGGTCACAATTCCGTCAGCTACCATGTTTGCCTCTTATGGCAACACATTCTATACATTTCTTTCCATCCAATGAAAATCACCTCCTTCCCCTCAAGATTTCTCCTCAGCTCTGACATTACCACAAGTCACTTTCCAGCTTGACTTGCAGGGACTCTGATGTGCCCTCCCTATTGTGACTTTTCCTGCTCTCTGGCTCCTTACCTTTTGTTTGTACTTCATCATCTAGCTCTGGTCAAGGACCAGTTTCCCTCTGACATTCAGCTGTTTTCCTTCATCCTCAGGCTTAGCTTTGTCTTCTCTGGTTTTCAATAATTTTCGATGTAGTTTTTCTGTGTCAACAACCCCCCCCTCCCCACTTCTGTTCTTCAGGGACTAGGCAGGTTGCTTTTCATATGCCAGGAGCTAGGACCTGCGTTTCAATAAGAACCTTCTAGCCACTAGCCTGCTACCTAGGGCTTGTGACACAGACAGACATGTAATGCAGTGGGATACAATTATTGAAATATAATTTGCTACCAATATATTGCTTTGTTTTTTTAAAGAAAAAGTTCCTTTATAGCATAGTTACTTGCAGTGTAAGGTAAATAAATACTCAGGTATGAGGGGCAGTTCTTAGAATTTCAAATATATGGAAAATTGTAGTGTGTGGAAATAATCAAAAGGAGTGGCCATTCTAGCTTAATATTACCATATCCATTCATTTTTTTGTCATGAGATGACACCTCGGTAAAAGAATTAGTGCCCTAATAGAGGTCTCAGAGTCCTTTGTCCTCTAAACCATGCCATACTAAGGCTATTCCAGCCATGAACCAGAATAGGGCCCTTGAGTCCTTAAGAATGTGATTTTGTTTTAGAATAGGGTCATTGCAGGTATAATCAAATAGGGTGTGATCATTCTCAAATATGGAGGCATTAATCTGATATGGTAAGCACCTCTATTAAAAGAGGAGAGAGACATAGGGAGGGAGATTTAAAAAAATGATGTATTTGTAACCAAGGAAAAGGATCACCTGCAAAGATGTGAAGCAATGAGATTCATCCATCAAAGTAGGATGCATTCTTCTGGAAACTCTCAGGGGGAGGGAGGACAGACCTGTTGAACAATTTCAGACTTCTGGCTCCAGACTCTGAAAATATGTGTAATTTTAAACCACCGTGTTGGTAACTGTTTGTTAGGACAGTCTTTGGGAATGCTTTTGGGAATTATATAATTTCTCCCTTCACTTTCCTCCCTCAATACTCTCTCATGGCCGGGCGTTGGTGGTGCATGCCTTTAATTCCAGCACTCAGAAGGCAGAGGCAGGTAGATCTCTGAGTTTGAGGCCAGCCTGGTCTATAGAGCGAGTTCCAGGACAGGCTCCAAAGCTACTGATAAATGCTGTCTCGAAAAATAAAAAACCCTCCCATATACCCCTCCTTGCTCTCTTCCAAATTAATGGCCTTTTTTTTTTCATTATTTGTTGTATACAAATATATGTATGTATATACATATTTTTAAATACAGTCTGATCAATCTGTATAATGTTGCTTGTGTATGGTTTCAGGACTGACCATTTGGTATTAGATAATTATAATTGGTGTGATCTTCCCTGAGGAAGACTATTTTTCCCATTCTTAGTATCCTTAGTAGCCTGTAGTTCTTTGTGTAGGATTGGATTCTCTTTTCACAAGGGACTGAAACTCTGGATGTCTAATTGAAATTTAGCTTTTAAATGTTGATATGATTTTTTTTTTCTTTAGCATTATTAGACCAAACCACTTCTGACTGGACAAGGAAGGCCATCGTCTTTAAATTTTCTTCCATGACGAAGTGTGAAAAAAGTGCATTCAGGCTATATCTTTTAAGTAGTGTACACAATATATACCAGTGGGTTATATTTTTATTGCTTCCCAAGTGTCTTAGTCCCTCCAAATTGCTATTACAGATCGCCATAAAGAGATTAGTTCACCTACAACAGAAACTTAGTTTTTACAGTTCCAAAGACCAAGAGGTCCAAGATCTACACAGCTCTTGTTCTGATGAGGGCATGCACATCTGGTTCATGGCTGGCATGGCCTCGGTACATGGTGCTTGAGAAGGCAGACACTTATCCTTTCTGGCGTCACCTCGTGACTCAGGAGGCTCCTAAAAATCCCACCTCTTGACCCAGGCGTATTCTGATGACGTCATTCAGATTACAGAACTCAGTTTTGAGGGAAGTCGTTTCATTTGTAAATGTTCCAGGATTTGGGGACAGTGCCCATACGTCAGGCAGGCAAAGCAAAGACAAGCAGGCCCAGTGAGAGCTGGTCAAGCATTTCTCGAGTGCCAGGAGAAATGTGAGATCTAACCGCCGTGTTCACTGCGAGGCACGTTCGCCTCCTGTCATTCCGGGAGGTCCAGGCTTCGGTGCAGACGGCGTGGGAGTGCAGAGAGCCGGCACAAACCTAAACATCCGGCCTCAGCAACCGTAACTAAGGGCTACCCTCCGCTCCCGGATGTGGCGTCACGGCACCGCCCCGTTCTTCCGGCTGGGCGGAACTCGGCTCCCGGATCTGGTAGTTGTGTACGTGGAAGGGCCGCGCATGCGCAGCGGTGCCGGGCTCAGCTGTGCGGGAGGCTGTGAGCTGCGGCGGCCGCGGGAGGCGGAGGGCCCGGGCCACCGCTGAGGCCGCCGGAGCCGGCCGGAGCCGGCGCTGACGAGGGGCCATGAGCTGGTTCAACGCCTCGCAGTTGTCCAGTTTCGCCAAGCAGGCCCTGTCTCAGGCCCAGAAGTCCATCGACAGGGTCCTGGACATCCAGGAGGAGGAGCCGAGCGCCTGGGCCGAGGCCATCCCGTACGGCGAGCCGGGTAAGCGGGTCCCGGGGAGTCGTGCCTGCTTGCCGTCAGACCCCAGCCCCGCGGCCCGCCTGCCTCGGCCTGGTGTGGGCCCCGCTGACCGCGGGTGTCAGCTCACAGTCTGGTCCTGGCCCCAGGCCCTTCCTGCAAGGGTCCTCGGCACAGCCGCCGATCCCCTAATTCCTGCGCGTCTTCCGCAGTTTGCGTCTTAGGTCCGAACTATGTAAATTCATGGAGTCAGGTAGCCCCGCGGGTAGCTTAATGATCACTTAATGCTTGGTAGCACAGACTTTACAAAAAGCTTCCTGGTCTTGAGAACAGCCGAGTCAGTACTGATCATACCCGTGTTCTACGGAAGAGCTAAACGAAACTCAGAATATATAAATAACTTGTTCCAGGTGAGACACAGAATGTACTGGGGACAGTACCCGGGGTCTGTGCGCTTGCTCCAAGAGTTTCCAAGTGTAGCTCCTTTTCTGCAGAACTAGGTCTTTTAGATTGGCTGAAATTGCTCTTTCGAGGGTCCAGTTACTTGTGTAAGTCTGAGGGGTTCTTGAGCGTTTTGAGTACAAACGGACCCGGGAGTACAAACTATTGGATGAAAAGAGATGTTGATCACTCTCTGGTTTCTGGTTTCTGGTTTTAGTTGTACATTGTTAAAGCCTCGGGGCCCAAGTTTGAACCATTGATATCTTAGTTTGTGTGTATGTAGGTATGTCATGATCTTACTTCTTTCAGTGTGTTGTATGATCTTGCTATTGAGTAGCTCACCTTGCTTTTTGTGGTTGGACTCCGGAGTTTGAGTTGGCTAAACTCGAGGTCAAATAAGTTTCAAATATAAAGATACTATTTTTCCCACACCCTGAAATCCAAGGCATGAATAGTGCTGTATAATTTATTTTTCTAAGGGCAGGTTATCTGGAATGGAGTCAAGTATTCATGAATGCTATTTCCTTGATCACCGGTTGTGGTTTGGATTACAGAACAACATAGGTCTGAAGAATGGAATAGTTTAGGTGAATGTGAGCTAACCACATTTTCCAAGAGGCAAATTTAAATCCTGGCATCCATGAAGATGATAACTAGCTAACTTGTAGACCTAACCTAGCTAGCAGACCTAATCTTGCTTTAAGCTTTGTTTTCTGTTTTTCATACATTGAACAAAAATACTGTCCCCAACTCAGTTTCCCCAAGTCATTCCAGGTAGTTTTGGAATCTTTATTGAAGGGTAGACTTTGTTAAAGGGCTTCTTAGTTTGTGTGTGTATGTGTTTTGTTTTGTTTTTTTTTAAAAGACATCTCAGGTTATTGTTTTTTTAAAGACATCTCAGGTTATTGTGTGCACTCTCAAGCAACTTCTGATTGCATACAATTTTAGTGACTTTTTTTGTCTAATTTTTAATTTTTGACAACAACTTTGAAGAAATTCTTGGGGTTTGAAGAGAGGGAGACTGGCCATTAAGTACATAAAAGTGAATTTATTCCCTAGACCTTAGTATTCACATCGGTTTAATTGTGATTTTCAAAAAAGAGTCTCCACTATCTCAGGTTCGTGGTTGAGTGTCATCTGTTTAGCTTATGATCGGGTTTTATTATCTAATGTTACAAGAATAAAATGATTGTGTGGCTAAATCGTGTTGTGACTACATGTGGCCTGTTAGTGAGGATTTGAACTGTTTTTGTGAGATGAGTTACATACCTGGGATGGGCTATAAAACCTGTATCACTACTTTAAATATATTCTCAGAGGGGAATGACATACTTGCTTTGGCTAGACAAAGCCAAGCCTGATTTTGTACTTGTTTATAGACCCTCTCAGGTCAACCCATATTGGTTTTATTCTGTTAGCCCCAAGTTTACCTGGAAACTAATTAGTGATGCTGTAAGCCAAGAGTTTAACTGCTCCAAGATATAGGATGTATTTCATAGGTTTTCTTTTCTCTCACATGAAACCTCTGATGATTGAAATATTAATGCTAGGTGTTTTCTTTAATTAATTAATTTCTTTTTGTCAAAGGAATAAGTCCACCTGTGAGTGGAGGATGGGATACTTCCACCTGGGGATTGAACTCAAGCACTGAACCTCAGAGTCCACCAACAGCCTCTCCTAAAGCAATTACAAAGCCAGTTCGAAGGACTGTAGTAGATGAATCTGAAAATTTCTTCAGTGCCTTTCTCTCTCCATCAGATGTCCAAACCATTCAGAAGAGTCCAGTGGTATCAAAACCTCCAGCCAAATCACAGCGGCCAGAAGGAGAAGTGAAAAGCAGTTTACATGAATCGTCATCCCCTGGCCAGTCCAGAACTTCTGAAACATCTGAGTCAGAAGTCAGAGAGACTGTATGTGTCCCAGGAGAAACTCCGGCTGTGGGTCCTCCTTCATCTGTACCTGAAGGCAAGCCTGGAGAAACTGCCAGTAAAGAGTCTGAGCTGAAGGTGCCCACTGTGCGACTGAAAGCTTCTGAAAATATAGTTCATGTAAACTCAGCAACAGAAGAGCCATCTCCCACATCCGCCCATTCTCTCACAGCAGAAACCAAGGAACAAAAACATGAAGACAGACAGAGCAATACACCTTCTCCTCCTGTTAGCTCCTTCTCATCGGGCACTTCTACCACCAGTGATATTGAAGTTTTAGATCATGAGAGTGTAATAAGTGAGAGCTCAGCTAGTTCAAGGCAAGAGACTTCAGATGCAAAGTCGAGTCTTCACCTCATGCAGACATCATTTCAGCTGCTCTCTGCATCTGCTTGTCCTGAATATGGCCGCTTAGATGAGTTCCAAAAGCTCAACGAGAGTTGCTGCTCATCGGATGCTTTTGAAAGAATAGACTCGTTTAGTGTTCAGTCTCTAGATAGCCGGAGTGTAAGTGAAATCAACTCAGATGACGAACTGCCAGGCAAGGGCTATGCTTTAGTGCCTATAGTAGTGAATCCTTCAACCCCAAAGACTAAAGTAGCAGAATCCACTGAAGAAAAAACTGAAGAGGAGGAAGGAAATGAAACGTTAATTGCACCTTCTGAAGAAGCAGAATTAGAGGAAAGTGGCCGAAGTGCTACTCCTGTTAATTGTGAACAGCCAGATATGTTGGCTTCTCCTACACCAGTAAATGAAGGGCATCTTGCCTCTGGACCAGCCACTGAGCAATGTGAAGGTGCTGAAAGTCAGCCAGAAGCACCGCCCGGGAAAGAAGATGTTTGCGAGGTAACTACAAAGTTTGGGTTTGAGGTGTGTCAGTGATGAAAACATTTCCTGGATGTGTGATGGTTTAAGAAAGTAGATCTCTGGTCATTTAATTGTAGCAATAAGGGCCTTAAAATGAATAGTTGTTTATATTAAATTATTTGAAATGACTGCAAAACAGCTATGGTAGAATAAGTAGGTATTATTAAAAAGCTCAACAGTTCCAATTTACATCTTTATTGTTAAATCCTTATCACTCTAAAATTCTTTTATGCACTGTACATCCTTATGTCAGTTTGCAAAGATACATGTATAATTCTCCTGACATAGATGTATAAAATCAACCCAAATGTTACTATCTTTTCCTTGTATCAAAATGTTTTCCATGTATATACCATTATGGGAAATTTGGATTTTGTCTAAATGAATACCTTATATGAATATTAGTGATGCTTTCCTGTGATTAATATTCTAATCTTGGTGTTTTCGTTAACATAACTAGTATACTTCTTACAGTGTTTTGGCTTGGTTTCTCCCTTATGTTTTTTTTTGTTTGTTTGTTTGTTTGTTTGTTTGTTTTTTTTTGATATCTGCTGTTAATATCTATCTTACATGAATAAGAAAAGGAAATGCCCAGGGAGCAAAAGTAAAACTTAGGAGTGACAAATGACTTCTCCCTAATACATACAAGAGAAAATGGTGTCGATTCTTTAATGTTAAATCAGAACTTTGGTTTTCTTCTGATTCTTAGAAATTAAATGGGAGCTGGCATCGTTCATAGGCTTCTGAAATGTATATATAACATACGTGGAGAAATGTAATGTGAGTGTTCAGTTTTGCCTTGCCTGCCATTTTTAGGAGCAGCAGATTCTGTTTCCTTGGTTTAATATTGTTCAGGAACACAGTGCTGTGCTATAGTTTTGAATGAGCGGTAGCAACCATGGAGTACATGCCGATACTTTGAATCCCTGAAAGCCAGCACTAGTTACTGTTCATATTTTCAGTGTCTTATGAAGGCCAGTGACTTTTAGTCTGTTCTGACTCAGACAAGACGTTTTTTTGAAATTGAGTAGGTACACTTTCTTCCTTTACAGATTAGTTTATCACTAGAATGAGATTCAAAGAATTACTTCTGTTTAGCTTTGTACCGATCGATATACCCTGGAAAATTCAAATGACTTGCTTGTAGGTTTTTCAAAGTTTTTTGTTTGTTTGTTTGTTTGTTTTAGTTTTTTGATACAGGGTTTCTCTATATTGCTTTGGAGCCTGTCCTGGAACGAGCTCTGTAGACCAGGCTGGCCTCCAACTCACAGAGATCTGCTTGCCTCAAAGGTGTGTGCCACTAGTGCCTGGCCAAAGTATTTTTTAAGCACAGTGGATAATAGTGTAAAAAATACATGTTTGAGTTAAAGAATAATAAGAATACAGAGGGATATCTAGCTACCACTAAACGAAGATCTGAAACACTACCAGACGTTTGACTTTTTTTCTAATTTTATTTATCTTCCTCAGAGGCTATGTACAAATAATTATCCTAGGTTTTTCTGTGAGAAACAAACTGCTTTAAGTGTTCTTATGCATAACACCTGGTATATTCACCTTGTGTTTCCTATAAGCTATACCTAGAAGTAGAATTTTCTGCACCCTCAGATAGGTAGCTGATGAGCTAGTATTGCCTCATTGCTTTGTGTACACTTCCACAGGTTATGTGCTTGGCTGCTTTTGCTCTCCTGACCTTAGCATTGTGATTTGCGAATGGCTTACACTTATAGCTCTTTACCTACATAATAAATGAACTTTTAAAGTCAAATAACTGACTTGTGTTTGTTCTCTTTTTTCCAGACACTTGCATTTCTGAATGAGAAACTGGAGAAGAGGGAGGCTCAGTTGTTGTCTCTTAGTAAAGAAAAAGCACTTCTAGAGGAAGCTTATGATAACCTGAAGGAGTAAGTATTGAAAGCACGCCAATGATTGCACACAGATGTGCAAGGCAGCAATACTTTGATGTTTTGAAATTAAAGTGTTCTACAATCTGGAGCAGGAGAGATGGCTTAGTGGTTAAGAACACTTGCTGCTTTTGTTGAGGACCTGTGTTTGGTTCCCAGCATCCTCATAACTCCAAGGGTGCCAGGGTCATATGTGGTATTTGTACATGTACATATGCAAACACTCAGTAAATAAATCTTTTCAAAATGTTTTGCAGTTTATAGTCACTGAAAATTGCATAGTGTTCCAGTTATTACCATATTTAAAGCTTTTTTTTTCTCAAATTATCTTTATCTTTGGCATTGAAAAATGTTTCATAAAAATACATTCATATATATATATATACATATATATATATATATTTATTTATTTTAATATTAGGCATTTAAAACATTTATTTAGTGAAAATTGAAATCCTGTAGTTAAAAATGTTAAATTGGTTTACTTTGAGATGACTGGGGAAGTGTATCAGAAAAGAGTCATTGAAACATTTGCTTTTGTCTTAGTTTTACACATCTAATATTGGTGACATTTTCATCAGTCTGTTTTGTTTGAGGTATTCTTAAAAATTAATTTATAGGGCTGAGGATAGGGCAGAACATTTTTCTGCCATGCACAGCCCTGGGTTCAATCTTGAGCAACACCAATAGATATATAAAGTAAATTTAGCAAGTAATTTTTCTTTGAAAAAGCAATTGGCTAGCTAGGCATTGTGGCACAGATCTGTAATCCCAGCAGAGAAGCAGAGGCAAGGGATGAGTTAGAGAGGTCACTTATACTATATTATAGGACCTTGTCTTAAAAACAAAACAGAATAAAAGGTACCAGACCTCACACAGTTCTATTTTAATAAGCTATATATTGGAGAAAATGCCGTCTGCATTTTGGGAACAGACCTCAGTACCTCTGGACTGTATAAATAGTATTTTCATTCTCGTGTTTTGTTTTGTGTTTTTCATTCTCTTGTATTTTGAATCTAGTGAAATGTTCAGAGTAAAAGAAGAAAGTAGTAGCATTTCTTCCCTGAAGGATGAATTTACCCAAAGAATTGCAGAAGCAGAAAAGAAAGTTCAACTAGCCTGCAAAGAGAGAGATGCTGCTAAGAAGGTAATTTAAATTAAACTCTGTAGAACTCCATGAATGAACTTACATTTTGCTACTAGAAAAAAATTAAATATCAAAAACATGTGTGTATATTATTAAGAAATTTTAGGTTTTTGTTTTATTAAAATTGGTAGATTTTGATACTTTAAAGAAATCTGGGGACTGGAGACTTGGCCCAGTAGACTTGAGGACCTGAATTTGGATCTCCAGAACCCATGTAAAAGCCAGACATAATGGCATGTGTCTTCACCCCAATGCTGGGGCCGAGGGCTGAGAGACAGGTGGATCTTTAAGAAGCTCATTAGCTAGCCAGCCTTGACAAATTGATGAGCTCCAGGTTCAGACCAAGACTCAGAAAATAATGTGGAGCAGTAATCAGGGAAGTCACCTGAAGTCTATTGTGTTCCATAGTTATGCACACAAATGTGCACATGCATGCACACGATTTTCTTTAAATGGTCATTTGTGTAATTTATGAATGAATCTGAATGAGTCATTGCAAGATATATAGCAAAGATCACTAAGATAACTAAACCAGATAATTCCATCAGAATGAAAAACAATGAAACTTAAATGGTGTTGTGTACATTTAAAAAAGTAATCATTAGTTCCATGAATTATTTTCCTATGACTTCAAACATTTATACTTCTTTAAGTATGAATTGAAAGTGTAGCTTATAGTTAATGGATAATGTCTCTCTTTTGGCATATGTTATATTGGCTTCTTCTGACTTTCTTCATCTTTAATGCTGTTGGCATTTAGGAGGCTAATTCTGCTACGGGGACTATTCTACTTGTTGTAGGACGCTTAGCATCCCTGGCTTCTCCATGTCAATGTAGTAGTGCCCTCCCTGCGTAGTTGTTGGGATTGCCAAATGCTCTTTAAGTCATGCCTATTCAGAAGCTGTTGTGGTGGTGCTCCCAATCTGGAGCACTTACAGCCTTCCATTGTTAACAGCTATGACTGTTAATTACTTTACAAGTCCTAGATTTTACTAATAAATTAGTGTATGCACTTAATTTTTGAGATTAGGTTGCTTTCCCACTTTATTACTATTTTTTTAAAAATCTCTGACATTATAATTTTGTGTGTGGGTGTGTATGTGTGTGTGGGCCTGTGCAGGTACACTTGCTTGGCACACTTACAAAGATCTGTGGATCCTGTACACTGAGTACAGGTCATCAGGCTTGGTGGCAAGTGCCTTTAACCACCAAGCCATCTCACAGGACCCCTGTCGTACTTCCTGACTAATAATGTCCATGGTAATTTATTATTTTCTGATTGATTTAATTAGCCAGCTCATCTCAGACACTGGCAGTAACTTGAGATACTTAACTAGCAACCCTCCTCCTGTCCTATACTGCTGTGTCATCCAGATGCAAAGCTTAACCTAGAGAGATGCTAAAGGAGAGTACAGGAAGTTATTTTACTCAATTTCCATATTAAAACTTGCTTATAGGACCGGGCATTGGTGGCACACACCTTTAATCCTAGCACTTGGCAGGCAGAGGCAGGTGGATTTCTGTGAATTTGAGGCCATCCTGGTCTATAAGAGCTAGTTCCAGGACAGGCTCCAAAACTGCACAGAGAAATCCTGTCTCAAAAGACAAAACAAAACAAAAACAAAAAACTTGCTTATATAACTGTAGGCTTTTATGTGGTATTCAAAGCTATTTCTTTGTCTTAGTTAACTAGGTAGGTGGATTGACTCAACTGTCAGATATATTATGGGAATGTGATTATGGGTGGCTTCTTCAAATGGGAAAGCTGGGAAAAACTTAACTGGAATGAAAATAATTCTTTATGATAATCACAGTTTTTTTTTTTTTTAATTAGGAAGTAAAAACCATAAAAGAAGAACTTGCCACTAGATTAAATAGTAGTCAGACTGCAGACCTCTTGAAGGAGAAAGAAGAACAGATTCAAGGGTTAATGGAAGAAGGTGGGTATTCTGCTGATTCTTAAAAATAGTGGAAGAGAAGGAAAAATACCATGTAATAGGTAGTACATGTTTTCCAATAACGACTAGTGAGCTGGGTGTGGTGGTCTGTTGTCCTAGCTACACAGGAGGTTGGAAGGTCTGTTGAGCCCAAGGGGTGAAGATAAACTTAGGTAACATAGCAGCAGTCTTCAGGAAAAAATGGAAAGAAGAGGAACATGAAGAAAAGGAGAGGGGGAATGGGAAATGAAAGCGAGGAAGGTGTGGACTTGATCACAGAAGTGGCTCATGACGGTGTATGGGACAATGGGGTAAGATGTATTGAAAGAAATAAATGCTGTGTAGCATTTTGCTAGGGAGGTTATTTTAAAAACTTTCCAAAAACAAGGCAGAATTTGTGCTTGAAATGAAAGAGCCCATCATTTAAACAAATATATCTGAAGGTTATAATTCAGGAACTATAAGGTCTCTGCATCCATGGTTTGAGTATGGTGAGCTATGGTTTTAGTATTTGATGACTTTCTTTTACTTGTTTGTATTTTGACTTTTAAAATTATTTATCTGTTTGTTTTGTTTCTTTAATCTTGGAGGTTTAGTTTTCAGTGTGTCTTTCTCTGCATTGTTAAGTACAGTTAAGAGCATATATTCCATGTGCAGCTTTCTTTATATGTCACTTTACTATTAAATGTGTTATATATCATTACTGATGGCTGTATAAAGTCCCTTATATGGGAATATTGTAATTATTTTAAGGTTTGTTAATGTTGGCTCTTCTATTTTTAAAATGTTCATATTACAAATATTGGATGAACATTTCTAACTTAAGTCATTGAATATAAATGTGTTTTAGAGCTTATGCAGAATTTGAGGACAATTTGGAAGCATTCACTTCACTTGAAATTAACATTTACCCCAACTTTTTTTTTTAACTTACCAAGAATTCTTTTGAATAGTGAGTATATTGTATATTATTTGATACAATACTAGATATGACTTACTTCCTGTCTTTTAAGAACCTAGTTTAGGTCAGAGGAGACACAATTACATAGACAATTTTAAAATACAGCTGTAAGATAGCTATGGTGGTACATACCTGTCCAGCATTGGGAGGTTGAGGTAGTAGGGTCCTGAGTTTGAAACTAAAGATCAAATGAAAACTGTTAGTATCTTGTTTCCTAGCATCCTTTTACATAATAATTTTAGTATTCATTGATAATTCCTGTCCAAGTAAATTTTAACACTGGAGCTTTTTTTTATAGCATTAAAAATTTATAGCATTAAAAAAAATGTATGTGTGCTACTGGCTAGATCAAAATCTCTATAAAGATTCTTAAACAGTCATTGTTTTTGGCATTTATGCTTTTTAATTTTTTTTTAATGACCACCAGGAGAAAAGCTTTCAAAGCAGCAGCTGCATAATTCTAACATCATTAAGAAATTAAGAACTAAAGAGAAAGATAATGAAAATGTTATTGCAAAGCTGAACAGAAAAGCTAAGGACCTGGAAGAGGAGTTACAGCATTTAAGACAGGTGACCAGTGGTCGGGTTTCTCTGTATATGCATTGTTCTTACTCCCTGTAATTGGCCATGGCTTGTGGAGCATTCAGACTGACTTAATGGGATTTTATGCAAGAAAAGGGTTTTATTTAGTCTTTAATAAATGAATAGCTAGTACGTTATCTAATATCCATGTGACCAGATACTTGACATGATGTGACCAACTTGAAGGAGAGGTTTCCTTAGACTCAGGTTTTCAGAGGACGAGATTCCATTGTAGTGGGAAGGTGTGACAGAGGACTTGGTGTGTGACACAAGTGTGTGGCAGCTGTTTGTTACATGGTGCCAACCAGGAAGTAGAAAGTGGTAAGGCTGCGAATGGGGCTGAGCTAACAACCCTGAAGGCCTGTTCTCCAGTGATCTGTTTCTTCCAGCTAAAGTCTCCATTGATTTCCAGAACACCACCAGCAGAGCACATGTTCAGTCACATGCCCTGGCGTGCCAATTTCCTATTCAACCTATAGCCAGTATTAAGAAATTCCTGGCATTATCTCATTTATTGAAAAGTGTTCTTGTCTGTTTTGATAACATAGGTCCTTGATGGCAAAGAAGAAGTTGAGAAACAACATAGAGAAAATATTAAAAAACTAAATTCTGTGGTAGAACGCCAGGAGAAAGATCTTGGCCGACTTCAGGTAGACATGGATGAACTTGAAGAAAAGAATCGAAGTACTCAGGCTGCCCTAGATAATGCATACAGGTACGAAGTATGCAGTGTGTTTTTAATCTGTTATCACAGTAGGAGGTTGAGGAAGTCCCTTTTCTTTATTTTTTAAAATTATTTTATATGCGTTGTATTTTTTAATTAATTAATTTTTATTAAATACAGTGTTCTGTCTGCATATACACCTGCATTTCAGAAGAGGGCATCAGACTTCATTATAGATGGTTGTGAGCCACCATGTTGTTGCTGGGAATTGAACTCAGGACCTCTGGAAGAGCAGACAGTGCTCTTAACCTCTGAGCTATCTCTCCAGCCTTATGTGTTGTATTTTGCCTGCATGCATATCTGTGTACCACATGCCCAAGGAGGCCAGATGAGGTGGTTGGTTCCTTAGAACTGGAGTTTCAGCAGTTGTCAGCTGCCATGTGGGCACTGGGAATTGGACTTGGGTCCTCCAGGAGAACGGTCAGTGTTCATAAATACTGAGACATTTCCAGCTAGTCTCTTTTCCATTATCTGATTGCTAGCAACATTTATACATTTATCTGTGAGCAAGTTTGTTATTAGACAAAGCAAGTGCAGCAGAGTCCTTATAATGGTTAGTGTTATTGTAAGGTATGCTTGCTGTTATTTTGAGATTTCTGGTACATTGCATTAGTGTGGGTGTTTACTTTTGCATTGTTCTGTTAATAAATGGAAAATTTCAATCTACTTTTGAAAGAGAACTTACTGATCTTCACAAAGCTAATGCTGCTAAGGACAGTGAGGTTCAGGAAGCTGCTTTGAGGCGTGAGATGAAGGCTAAGGAAGAACTCTCTGCCACACTGGAGAAGGCTCAGGAAGAAGCCCGTCAGCAGCAAGAGGCATTAGCACTTCAGGTAGGCAGTGGGTGGTGAAAGCCACCTTTATGTGTTAGTGCATGTTTCTGCAAAATGAAACATTTTACTACCAAATGTGAATCTGTTCTTACATGAGGTACATATGGTAGGCTTCTGTGATTATGTTACTGGCATTTTTAGAGTACTGGATTATACAAACCTTACTTGTATGTTTCTTAAATTGTCATTAGTGAAGCAGTTCTCAACCTGTGGGCCAAGACCTCTTTGGGGATTGAACAACCCTTTCACAGAGGTTGCTTAAGATCATGGGAAAACACAGATGTTTATATTATGACAGCAGCAACATTAAAGTTATGAAGTAGCAACGAAAATCATTTTATGGTTGGGGGTCACCACAACATGAGGAACTGTATCAAAGTGTCTGAACATTGGGAAGGTTGAGAACCACTGCCTTACTGTAATGCACATATCATGCCGTTATTGCTTGGTTTTCTGTGAGTTTCATACATATTTATAAGTATACAATGTGGGGGGCATGGCTCACTGGTAGAGCCTCTGCCTCCTAAATGTAGAGGGCCCAGCACTGCCAGAGGAAGGAGAATTTTATAAACTGGGTATCCTGTTGCCAGAATAATGTATATGCATATAATTAAAACATAAACATACAGTTTCAAGAGACTACATTATATTATATCATACAGTTGACTCTTGAACATGTTTGAACATTTCTGGCACACATTATTTTAAAAAATCATCAAATGTTGCTAGATGGTCATGATACTTGCTTTTACTCCCAGCATTCAGGAGGCAAAGACAGACAGATCTCTGAGTTTGAGGCCAACCTGGTCTGAGAAACCCTATCTTGAAAAGTCAAAAAAAGAAAAAAGAAAAGAAAATCATCAAATATAGAACATCTGAGCTACTTATACCATTTGGCTATCATTAATGCATTAATGCTGCTGCTGTACATACTCATTCCACTTTGTTTTTTTTTTTTTTTTTCTCTTTTCAGTACAAGGGGTCTGACCAGGGCCTTTTGTGTGCTAGACAAGTGCTTTCTTTCCTACAGAGCTCCAGCTACATTCCACACTAGGTCTTATGTATATGGATATCTAGTTTCCTCAGCACTGTTAAAAAACCAGAAACACAAAACTATTCTTAGCAACCTCAATGAACTTTAGGTTTTGTTTTACAATTTTAGTGGCTAAATTACTTATAGATGAAAGTATAACAAAATACAGTCAGACAGCATTTGCTTCTAAGTTGTTCCGACCACTTTGTCAGTGTTTGGCTTACCTTTTTAGTGTTTCAATTATAAATGCAGGAAGTACATATGCCTGCTTTTTAATAAATGCACTCAGGCACATTTGTGTCTCCTTCATTTTTCTTACATTAAAGACTATTACTTACACTGTTTTACAACTTTCTTTATGTACTTACTACACTGTTCTTATAGTTTTGGTTAAGAATCTTGGATTTAACGGTTGAGCCATCTCTCCAGACTATTCTGATGGTTGTGTAATAATAGAACGTAGAATTTTAGTTTTATGTCTCTTGGCTATGTAATTTTCAGCTATATTTGATGGGTTTGGATTGTTTTCAGTGTTTTGCTGTTGTAAATCATGCCATGTTCCATATACCCATGTATTTCTGCCACCCTGACAAGAAAATATAATATAAATTTGTGGGCTGGAGAGAGGGCTCAGCCGTTAGGAGTACATACTACTCTTACAGACTCAGGTTTGATTCCCAGATCACACATGGCAGTTTATAACTGCCCCTAACTCTAGTTTCAGGTGGTCCAGTGAGCTCTTCTGACTTCCATGGACTCTTGTACATATGTAGTCCACATGCATACACTTACACACAGACATATGCTAATTTTGAAAATTCTTTCAAATTAAAAATATATTACAATAATAAATAAAAATTGAGGGAGTAAAGAATAGAGTATGGGACTGTCATTCTTAAACCACCATGCTATATGAGGTTTGATCGTTTTGTATGTTACTTTGTTAACATTACCACCATCTAGTCTTTTTTCGTATAATTAATAGCCATAGGTAGTATAGTCTTTTCATTTAGGATGAATACATATTTTATGCATTGATTATAATTTTTAATGCTTATGTTCATGAAAACAAATTACAATACTGATGGCTATTAAAGTTCTGTTTTCATTTAGTTGTTGCCAGCCTTGCTAATGCTGCAAGAGCATAGCTGTGTGCTCCATAGAGTAAGTCTTCAGGACTACAATAACCAGTAGAGGCCTGACATTATTTTCTGATTATAAATATGATGCCATAGTAGGCAGTTACAAAGTGTGCAACTATGTGTGAGTGGCACCTTCTCCCTTGTTTTGTTCTGAAACAGTGTCTAGCCATAGTATTTGAATGACCTCTAACTCTCGTCTCAGCCTCTCCCTAATAGCTTTGACTGCAAGCACATACTATCACACTGCCAACACTTTTCTCCTTTAGTTTAGTTTATTGGTGTTCAGATAGGGCCTACTATGTAGCACAGACCTTTCTGGAACTCTCTACATCATAACCTAGGCTGGCCTGGAACTTGAAATGCTCATACTGAAATTATAGGTGTTGCCACCATACCTAGTTTAGTTTACTTGTTTATAGCTCATCTAGTTCTTAACACACCCTGTATTGTGGCAAATGTTTATGCATACATGATCTCCCTTCTATTGTATGAGAGGACTGTACATATCTCCATGCTTTTCTTTGGCAAGTAGATTGCTTTCATAAATAAATAGTGAATATATTTATAGCTCTGGCATTGTTTATGGAGTGGGATGTGAGTTCATTGTTTAGTGTGAAGTGTCATACATAAAAAGTCAACACAAATGTCCTCAGCAGGAAGTTACAGCCAGTGTTCTGACAATAAGAGTGTCCTTTGTCTTGCAGGTGGGGGACCTTAGGCTAGCACTGCAACGGGCAGAGCAAACAGCTGCCAGGAAAGAGGATTATTTACGCCATGAGATCAGTGAACTTCAGCAGGTATTGTCCCAGCTTTCCCAAGTGCAAGGTCAAGAGTGTGTCTTCTTGAAGTAACATGAGCATTCACTGAGCTAATGTCCCTGCACTGAAAGCATTCCTACTGTACATGCCATTGGATGGACTTTCATAGCTTATGGGAACCAGAGTAATCCCCTGAAAGAAAAGAAAAAGGGACATCTCTAATTTTGCCTTAAAGAAAGTAAGTTTATCATGATAGACTTGCTGTATATTCAATATCTATCTAGTAGATATAGATATACTTTTTTTTTTTTTTTTAAGTAAAAAGCTAATAACTTTCTCCTGGAAAAACTTTCTGAAGATTAGGTTTGCTGGTGTTTTTTAGTGTTTTTGTTTCTGTCAGTGGTAATAATGTGAACATTTTTTGATTTAGAGACTCCAAGAAGCAGAGAATCGAAATCAAGAACTGAGTCAAAGTGTTTCATCAACAACAAGACCGTTGCTCCGACAGATAGAAAATTTGCAGGCAACTCTAGGCTCTCAGACTTCATCATGGGAGATGCTTGAGAAGAATCTTTCTGATAGGCTTGGTAATTTCTTTAGTATTTTATGTTTGATGCAGGAGACTATTTGTCTTTTGTGTAGAAGTAGGATAGTGGTATGACATTGAGAGTCATCTGATCTCATGGTGACATTTGGTGTCTAACATATATAGATATTTTCCCCCTTTTTCATGTTTATATTAATACCTCAACATGACTCTTCCAAATTAACTTTCCTTACACAGTATCAGATACTGTACTGCTTGCCATTTTATTTATTGTGTATGTGTATGTGTGTGTTTGTGTTTGTATGTATGAAAATTCATGTGCACCTACTAAGTGCATGTGTGTGGAGACAAGAGGTTGGTATCTGAGTCTTCATCAATTGCTTCTCTCAGTTATATTTTCCCCTGAACCTGGAGGTGACTGATTTGGCCAGATTGGCTGGCTGGCGAGCTGCTTGCATCCTCCTGTGTCTGCCTGCCTAGCTGTGGGATTACACACACTCCTGCACTTGCCTTTTTTATGGTGCTGGGACTTTCACCTCGAGTCCTGTGTACTTGGCTAGCTATCTTCCTAGTCCTGGTTCTTTCACTTATTTTTATAGATGACTAGACAGATCTCTTCCTTGTCCTTCATCCATTGCTACATCTGACCCCTTTCTAGCTTGTCTACGAGAACGTAAGCAATAGGTATCAGATACAGTTCTAGATAGTGTAGAATTCCAGAAGCAGAGGCAAGTCTGAAGAGGATTAAGATGAAATCCTAAAAGAGAGATATGATGGAGTCTTAAGACTATATATTCTGCTTCCTTATAAACACTCCTTGAGCTAATTCTCGCTGCTCTTAATAAAGAAAGCAATGCCAAGGTGTTGTTCTGTAGTCATAGGCAGGTGGTATGTGTATATAACAGGTATCCAGAAGCTAACAGACTTATGAAAAATTCATTAATACCTTCTGGTTCCTAAAAATCCCATGTGTAGCTTGGGAGATTGTAACAGGAAAAATAAAAACCCAGAGACAGATGTTGGGATTCAAGCTGATGGTCAGATAAACAACCAGCTACTAGCTCTTACCTCCTCCTCAGACTGAAAGGGTGATCCTGACTCCACAAACCCTCAGAGTGCAATGCTCTCTTCACAGATCTTTAGAGACAATAGCTCTTCCTGCCTAGAAACTAAATCTCCACATGAGACCCTCTGCTTCTTTCTCTGCTTCTTCCTTTAGTAATTCCCTAGTGTTGGAATTAAAGGCATGTGATCTTCTGAGTTCTGGAATTAAAGGTGTGTACTACCACCCCCTAGCTCTGTGTCTAGCTAATATGGCTCCTGGAATTAAAGGTATATGTCACCACTGCCTGACCCTTATAGCTTGTGGTTAGCTTTGCATTCTGAACCCTCGATCAAGCTTTTTAAAATCATAAGTAATATCATCATAGGAGATACCATGTTCTAGTGACAAAGCATATGAGTGAGGGTCAGGAGATAAGGGTTGGTGTAGTATTGTGTTTGTATTCTCAGTCATCAGCAAGTCACTTACTTTACTCCAGACTCTGTCTTTGAGTGACTCCTTGTCAGTCATAGGGTGACAAACTAGATTCTTTGCTTTCAAGTGGTATTGAATGAACCATTGGAAGCCTTTGGGGATGCTGTTTTGTTGAGAGAGAAGCTCAGTAAATATGTACAGGGTTCCTCCAGGCTGCCCTAGTACAAACAGGTCCTCCTGAAATGCGCATAGAAATTATCACTCCAAAGTGTTGAGTTCAGTTCAGGGCAGCTTCCCTGTTCTGTTAATTTAACTTTGGGACATTGAAATTGGCTGTGAGGAATGACTGAATAGAGAGCATTACTCTATTCATATACCTTTAGTCTACACAAATAAAGTTTTTAAAAAGTTATCAATGTTTGGAATTTTTGTCTTTTGATTATTTTGTGTTAGTCTCTGGGATGTCTGTTTGTATAGTTTATTTAACTGATTGTTTGGGGAAGGATATCTTGGTTGGGTCCAGGTTTTGACTGTTATGGATAAAGCTGCTGTAAATGTCCCTGTTCAGGATTAAGTGTGGGTGTAAATTTTCATGTCTCTGGATGAAAGACCAAATATGTAGTTGCTGGGCCATGTGGACATTCTTGCTTAGCTTTCAGAGAAAATGCTGAACTGTTTTTACAGTGACTATTCCAGTGGCAGTAATCAAGTTGGTTCACAACCTTGATAGCATTTTAGGTTGTCCCTGGTTTGTTAATTTATTTGTTTCATCATTTATTTATTCATTTACCATTCAGAAATTCTTTTATCTCATCATTTTAGTTTTCATTTTCCCAGTGACAGCCGATGTTGAGCATCATTTTGTATGTTTATTTTCCACTTACCCACCTTCAAAATAAACCATCTATTCATAGTTTTTGCTTATTTTTTGACTCAACTGTATATATTTTTCACTTTTGAGAGTTCTGCTTATATTCTAAGCACTAAACCTACATGTGTGACTTGCATTTATTTTCTTTCAGTTTGTAGCTTGTCTTGTCTTTTTATTTGAAAACAAACAAACAAACAAACAAAAAGACAGGGTCTCATATAACCCAGGCTGACTTTAGACTCTCTAGGTAGCCAAGGATAGCCTTGAACTCCTGATTCTCCTGTCTTTATCACCTAGTCTTAGGATTATAGATGTGCACCACCACCCTTGGTTCATGTAGTGCTGGGGATGAATCCATGGTCTCATGCATGTTATACATGTAAACAACCAGCTAAGCTACATCCCTAGCCTGTTTGTCTTTTCATCCTCTTCACCTACAGCAAAAGTTTAACATTTTAATGGACTCCATTTATTGATCTGCCTTTCTGAACTCAAGTGAAAGCAATCTTTGCTGATCCTAGATTTTGAGTATTTTCTTTGGAGTCTGTCAACCGTGAGTTAATTTTCGTGTGTGATATTTTGCACCTTTTCTGTGGGTATTCGGTTGCTCTGGAGCTGTTTGTTGATTTCCTATACTGTTACACTCTGAGGTGAAAATGTTAACTTGTGCATTAACGAATGTTGGCTTGCTTCTCTCAGTTGGTAGTCCTGTCTTAGTCTGCAAATTTGAATCATTAGAAGTCTGAAGTCAGAACCAGCCTGGTGTCCAATCTTTCCCTGGCTTATGTGTGCATGACTTTTCTTCCTCCATAATCAGGTGAGTCACAGACTTTGTTGGCCGCAGCAGTTGAAAGAGAACGTGCAGCTACAGAAGAACTTCTTGCCAACAAAATCCAGATGTCTTCAGTGGAGTCACAGAATGCCCTCTTACGACAGGACAACAGCAGACTTCAGGCCCAGCTAGAGTCAGAGAAAAATAAACTAAGGAAAGTGGAAGATGAAAATAATCGGTGAGTATGTTTATGTGCTATTCTCTGTGGTTCCATGGCATTTTAAATCGCTGTTGGAAAGTATGTTTGTTGCGTTTTAGCTTCATTGCATTGAGAACTAAAAGTGAATACCTTGCAGTATTTAAAGTCAGGGTCATTAGTGACATGCATTAAACTAGTGCTAGGATCCATTGCACTTCTTGTGAAGTTATATACTATGTTCTATGTGTATTTATATTTTTATAGAGAAAGTATTTGTCCCATTAATGTGGTTTTTTTAAAGGAAGAGTCTAATGCCATCAGCTGAAAGGAAGGAAGGAATTGTGATTGCATGGAAATTGTTTTTATAGCAGTCTTACCTGATTTCTAAATAAGTATTTGGGTTCTTCTTAAACCACAATGTATAAAACCATTCACCGGTAACTATGTAAGGTTATAATGGGTGTGTTTTCACCCTTGACTTCCAAAGAAAATTTATTGTTAAGAAAGTAGTTAAGTAACAATGAAGTGCCTGGACTTAGATAAGCATTCCATAGAAACTCTGCCCTCTCTCCCTCCCTCCTGCCTTCCTTTCTTCCCTCCTTCCTTCCTTGCCACATTTGGACATGGAATGGTGGTTCTAAAATTACTGTTTAAATGTCTCATTTTAAATCTCAGAGTACTGGTAACAGAAAAATGGGGGGAAAGCAGAGCTTTTCACTTGTGCTGTAATAGTGGCCTGGGACAGTCGGTTGGAAAGTCTTTGATGCTAAGCTGCTGATAAAATGACTCTAAATATGTAACTGGAGTTTTACAAGTAGAGTTTTTAAATAGTGTGTACCATTACCTTCTTTGTTTTATTTCCCTTTGGTTTACTAGGTACCAGGTTGAATTAGAAAACCTAAAAGATGAGTATGTAAGAACACTTGAAGAGACAAGGAAAGAAAAGGTATTTCTCATTGTGTTGCTACCGCAAGGGCTTGCATGGAGATGGAAGGGGATGGCAGCAAACTGCTGAGGAGGCAAGATGGGTGACATAGAGCCTGTCTTTGGTGATAAAATGGTAGCTTGTATTTATACTCTGAGCTTTGCAGTTGACTCGTTATGGTGCCATAGACTAGTGTCTCAAAAACTAGCTAACTGTATCTCTCTCCATTAGACACTGTTGTGCAGTCAGTTAGAAATGGAAAAATTGAAAGTTGAACAAGAAAGGAAGAAAGCCATTTTCACTCAAGAAGCAGTTAAAGAAAAGGTACTTACTTGTTTGTTTTGAATTGATTTGTGTAGCTAAACTGTCAGGGTGACCACAGATTAGTCTGTAGTTTAGTTGTACTAATATGTTAAGTGTGTGTGTGTGTGTGTGTGTCTGTGTGTGTGTGTGTGTGTGTCTGTGTGTGTACCTCCCCCACTGTGTCTGAAATTAATATACTGGTAAGTTATGGCAGCATTGTCAGTGTTCCATGTAGAACAAATCTGAAGTCATTTGAGTGCATTCAAATTGGTCTGTGATTGGCTTTGAGTTATAGATACTTTTATACTTACAAATGAATTTTGTGGTTTCTCACAGAAACTAATGTAGCAAATGGCCCATAGGCAACTTCAGAATGGAATTGGCTTGTTCTATCTTTGTGATTAGTAAATATAGTGAGGCTGCCTTGTTTTTGCTTTTTTGATTTATTTTTTGCATGTGTATGTGTTTGGTAACCATGAATATGTGTATATGTGCAGGTGTGTCTGTGTCCACATGCATGTAGAGGTTCAAAGTTGACACTGGGTGTGTTCCTTGTTTTATTGAGGCAAGTCTCTTGCTGAGCCTGGAGCTAGCTGATTGTGGCTAGTCTAACTAGCTAGCTTGTCTTAGGAGTGCTGGGATTACAGGCAGCCACCACACTTGGCTGGCATTTCTGTGGGTTCTAGGGATCTGAACTCTGTTCTCCATGCTTTATTCACTAAAACACCTCCTTAGCTCCTATAGGTAATTTTTCAAAATGTGTTTCCTATACTTGACGTATTATAGCATACTGAAAGTTAGCATAATATGTTAAAATAGTACACAAAAATGGAAATTATTTTTTCAATGTATTTGTAGTTTTTTAATTTTAGTTTTATTTCATTTGTATGGATGTTTCTCTGCACATATGTCTATGTCTCACATGCATGCACTGTCCTTGGAGCCATGAGACTGCATCAGATTCCCTGAAACAAGTTACAGGAGTTGTGAGTCACTGTGTTCCAGCTTGGAATTGAGCCAGTGCTCATAACTGCTGAGCCATCTCTTCAGCCTCCAGTATTTTGTTGTTTTTGTTTTTAGTACACTAAAATAAAATGGATAAGTCAGAAATTTCAGCAAGTATGAGAGTAAATGACAATATGTTACATAGTAGTTAGCTTCTGCAGGCATTTCAACCAAAGCCTTCTCATTTCCTTAAAAAAAGTAAACCTGGCTAATTGTGTTACAATATAAATGGGCAATGCAGGCTTTTAATTTTTATTAAAATTTTTTTTTATTATGAGTGATTTATTTGTGTGTGTGTGTGTTTGTGTGTGCATGCATCCATGATGTATGTGTGGAGGTCAGAAGATAACATGCTAGAGTTGTTTCTCTTTTTACTGTATGAGTCCTAGGATTGAACTCAGGTTAGGCTTGGCAGCAAGCATCTTCCCCTGCTGAACCGTCTTGCCAGCTCAGCACTTAATTTTTAAATGCTTTTTATACTTCTAAGACTTACCTTTGAGAAATTGAATTTATAACATTTAATGGAGAAATTTAATGTCTTTGTTTTCATTAATTGTAGAAAATTTTCTTGCTTCCCTTATTTTTTGCTTCTCAGTCTTACAGACTTTTTTTCTCCCTAAGGACTACAAACCGTTTTCTGTTTCTAGTACTCCCACCATGTCACGCTCGAGCTCTATAAGTGGAGTAGATACAGCAGGGCTACAGACATCTTTCCTGTCTCAGGTAATGGCTTATTTCTTACATGTGCCTAGTTCTTACCTTGAGTAATGTAAGGGAACATGCAGCGTCAGGTTGACTATCACCATGACCTTGTTGGAGGAATTCATCAGAATATGGTGCTAATTGAAGTAAAGAAATGCAGATGATTTTCTGCTTTTGAGAAACTCATAGATGTTTCAAAGTCAGAATTAACGGGATCTTTGTTTGAACTTGATAATAGAATGTAACATGATAATTATCTGTGTGTGTTCTTCAACTGAATAGGATGAGTCTCATGACCAATCATTTGGGCCAATGTCTGCATCAGCCAGTGGAAGCAATCTTTATGAAGCTGTAAGGATGGGAGCAGGATCAAGTGTTATTGAAAATCTGCAGTCTCAACTAAAGCTGAGAGAAGGAGAAATTAGTCATTTACAGGTATTGGAAAAAATTAAGTATGTTGTAGAATCCTATGAGATACTGTGTTCTAGTAAGTAGTAACCTTCATTTCCACTTGAATTCTGAGCACATTGGAAAATAAGATGAATTGGTGACATATAAAACCAAGTGTATCACATATAGAAATGATATAAGCTAGAACCAAGTGAGCCTCCTAACTAACTGACTGCCAGAGTTAGGCAGATTTATCCACCCTGTCTTAGGAAATGCTGGGTGCCATGGTCTACCCAGAGAGGACGTAGGGGCATCTGAAAGCAGGGATAGCCCACTCCTTTCCAGTATCTTTTTCTCAACAAGAAAAAAGGAAGTGCTGAACCAGCATGCTTGCTTTATTTTTCCCATATGTCACAGGAAAAGTCTGTCTCATCTTCCTCACTGTTGTAAGGAATGAGTCCAATGAAAGAGACCTGCACATAGAATAACAACGCAATAGGAGGGAGCTGTAAGAATTATTGCTTATAGAGTGAGAATTAGTATTTTTTTTTATCTTTTGACATTAAACTTACAACTCAAAGTGAATTCCTATTTTTATTTGAGTAATTATGAAGTGGGTTGATGTATATTGAGAGCATAGTGCAGTGTTGTGTGCTTGAGAGTCCTGTTTAGTTTCTCGGTAGTGGTGAAAGCTCTTAGCGATACAACCTACATAGTTGGGAGGGACAGCATTAAAGTGTGTTTTCATTCCTCTGGCTTTTTCCAGTAACTTAGAATAATGGAAACATGTTGTTTTCTTAGATTAGAGAAAAATATGGTTGCATTTTTCAGACAAATCATTGTATTTTCTTCACTTTTTTCTTGTATAGTGAGCCCTATAAATAAATAACTTCTACAGAAACTTGGGATTTTCTTCCCACTGATCAGCATTATATGTTGACATATGCTTTTCTTCAAAAGTGATAGACTAGATATTTTTGTTAGTGGGAATATTAAACAGGATATGTTTGTATTGAAACCATTTTACTGTTATGTTTTTCAGCTAGAAATTAGCAATCTAGAAAAAACTCGATCCATAATGTCTGAAGAGCTAGTTAAATTAACAAATCAGAATGATGAACTAGAGGAGAAAGTGAAAGAGATACCCAAGCTTCGAGTTCAGCTCCGAGTAAGTATTCTTCATTTAATGTTACATCTAAGATATTTTAAACCAGTTATTAAACTTATTAGCTTATATGAAATGGCTATGTATGATGTAGTAATTTCTTTAGGGAGCCAGTAGTTGGATAAAGAATGTTAAAGATGAATTTCTATTGCTTGTGCTATTACATATCTAGTGTTTTCACAAACTGTTTAGTACTAATTTAAGAAAACAAGATTTTGTTTGGCCAATAGTTATTAAAGGTATATTGCATGCTTTGTAGTATTTGACTCAGTGTTTGTTTTATCTTATTATTGTGACATAATTGAATATTAGGGCAGACACTTGTCTTGTGGGATAAAGGCCAAGCAATACCAAAATTAATCGCGAAGACAAAAATCTCACAAGGTACTTAAAATAATGAGAAGGAGGCTGATTAAGTTATATTTGAAGAGAATTATAGATTTAATGGAGAAATATGGTTGGGGTGTGTGTGCGTATGTATACGTATGTGAACACATGTTTGCGTATGTGCTGGGATGTGTGCTAGGGGACCATGAGACTAAGACGGTGTCCTGCTTTATCCCTCTTCGCCCTGTTGGTCCCTTAGACAGGAGTCTCACTGAGCCTGAAGCTTGCTGGTTTTTTTTGGGTAGCCTGGCTGACTGGCCACCAGCTCCAGTGAGCCTCCTCCCAGATCTGGGGTTACAGGGCCACATGGCTTTTTATGTGAATGCTGGGTTAGAATGAGGTCTTCATGCTTGCTCAGTAAGTGCTCTTGCCCACTGAGCCGTCTCCTCAGCCCTCCATTGTGGTTTCCAAGGAAGTTCCTCTTTTTGGCTCTGTATTCCCATTAGATAGACTGGGTATAACTTTAATTTTTTAAAAGGTAAGTTTAATATTTTTAAAATTAATATTTTTGGTCAACTTGTAATTTTTTTTTCTATTGACTTGTGTAACAACTGTAGATGTTTGTATGGTCATTAACAGATTATTAACAAATTTTTTAGGACTTGGATCAAAGATATAACACCATTTTGCAGATGTATGGAGAAAAGGCAGAAGAAGCAGAGGAACTTCGCCTGGATCTTGAAGATGTAAAAAATATGTATAAAACTCAAATAGATGAACTTCTAAGACAAAGGCTCAGTTAACTTGTGAAATCCATATTCCCATCAAACTGAATGTAAACACTTAATATATAAATGCAGACTTCCAATAAATTCTTTTATAGAGTTAGAAAATGGGATTTGCTGTAGAGTGTAAAAAACTTTTTAAAAAATTCTTTTATAGTATGTAGTTATATTTGCAGTTAAATTATTTTGTGCAATATTTGAATTTTATTTTTGAAACTATTCTTTAAATTTTTTTAAAGCATTTCTTTTTGTGCCTTGAATAGCACAGAGATTTATTACTTTATCCACATAACAGTATGGCTAGGAAAGGAGATTGCTGTTCTCATTGTGGATATATAATTAATTGTATTATAGCTATAATTTATATGTGTTTGTATATATTGAGAGACTTAAAGAGTAATGTTAATATTGAAACTTTGAAATCTTTCACACTGAAGTTGTTCAACATATTTCTTGAAAATGTTTTCAGCATTCAAGTAAAAAAGGTGATTAAATTTTTGTGACTACTAAATTATAAACTAATATTTTCCTTTAAAAGCAGAAGTCATACTGACATGTCTAAAATTTAAAGAGTAATCTAAGCTTAAAAAATATTTCTGTTTTTGAAAATTTATTCCATGTGGCTTTCACAATGAAGTGTGAACAAATGTAGATCCTTTTTGGTACTTATCTAGAGAAAGCTCTAAACAGTCAATATTAGCTAAAATAGTCAATTTACTTTTTAAAAACTACTTGTTTAATTTTATACAGTTGTATTTTGGGACATTAAAAATGAATGTCTTAACACAGAATCTCCATAGCAAAATGGAAAAGTTACAGGAGTACATTTAAATTGAAGATTTTATAATTTTGTGAGTTCAATATTTTTTCCTTGAAGCCTCAACAAACAAAAATAACAAAAAAGTAGTGTAGAATAACTTTAGAACATAGTTATTATGCCCTCTTCCAAATATTACATTGTTTAAAAGTTAATCAAGTTGTATTTTAGACCTGTAAAATACTTTGATTTTATTACTGAAAATTATTTAACTGCTTTCATCATAGCTCCTCTTTATCTGTTCTTTTGTGGTTCTAGTTAAAGTTAACAATAAGCCAAAAATACATGGAAATTCTAGAAATTAGAGTTTATAAGTACAAAATGTATGCTGTTCAGAGTAGCCAGCTGGAATCTCACTGTTGGACCACATTTGTCCAGTACGTTCACACCCCTTGTTTAGTCACTGATATGTCAGCTATTGGGTCTACTGTCATAGTGTGGACACTGTGTTCTCTAATGACCCAAAAGTGAAAATGTCAAAGGTTAGCCAGAAATTCTTCCCTTTAACAGAAGGATGAAAGTCACTGTTGGCCGTCTTGCTGGAGGTGGGTAGCTTCCACTGTTTTAGGCATTGAGAAGGTAGGATTTCAAGTAAAGGCTAAGTTTTAGTTACATTTTAAACAGTACTTCAGAACACCGCTGTGAGTAGCCATCTTGCAGAATGGAGACTTTGGGAGGTGATTCAAGTGACCTTGTTTTTTTGTTCCTTGTTTTTCATCCACACAGTGCTGTTGTCATTGGGTCTCTCTGACTTGTAGCATGAATAAATGTCCTGTTGGTGAAAGTCACAGTCATAAAATTAAGTTTCTATATGCTAGTGGTAGGAAACCTCCTCTTAACTATCCTCCAGCTTTGAAATATGTTTAACCCGGGCAGTGGTGGTGCAGGCCTTTAATCTCAGGACTGGGGAGGCAGAGGCATGTGGATCTCTGAGTTCAAGGCCAGCCTGGTCTACAGATGGAGTTCCAGGACAACTTGGGCTACATAGTGAGATCCTGTCTCAAGAAAAACAGCAGCAACAACAACAAAGTCAACTTTTAATATTTGGGACATGATGACAAGTCTGACAGCAATAAAAATATAGAGTTAAAGACAGGAAACCTCAATTTCAAAATTCTTGACAAGCATTTGAAACTGGTAGTTTGGGAACTGTAAATACTTTTTAAACAAATAGTTTAAAATGTAGCAGAGAAAAGACTTTGAAATTAAAATTTTCAATATTAAACTCTAAATGTTACAATATCAACATTATTTTTCTTGGTCCTTATTAATAAAATCAGCTACACTTAAATCTTAAAGTGTTTTCAACTTCTTTATTTATAAAATGATATACAACCATTTATATCTATCACATGGTCTGCTTCATCTATAAATTAATAGCTAATAGTAAAACTGCTTTTAAGTTGCCAAGTATATACTTAGATCTTTCAATACTCAAGTTGATAAGGAGAACTGAATAATTTTTTTTTTGTAAATAATCCAGTAGGTGGCAGAATACCTATTAAATATTGGTTACTCTTTCATTAAATTTATTTGCTTATATATCATTGAAAATTCTCTACTCAAAGGGTAGTAGAATATTCTGGTGCATAAAATAGTTTGCAATTATATGCTTCCATTCTTGAGAAACAAGGAAGATCCTTGGAATTAAGAATGATAGAGGGAGGCATGGCACTTGGTATCAGAAGCTGGGTGGGGAGGCCGCAGCTACTAGGCCTCTCTTGAGAGCACTGAATAGCATTTAGCATGTAGAATGTACCAATTACATGGTATTACAATTCAAAATATTCTTAAGTATGGATGATTTCTGACTTAGAAGAATTTGAGGTTTTTTGTTTTGTCTTCCCCCCCAAGAAAGGATCTCACTAACTTTGGAACTTGTCCTGGCACTTGTTCTATAGACCAGGCTGGCCTCAAATTCATAGAGATCCGCCTACCTCTGCCTCCCATCTGGATTAAAGGTGTGCGCCACCACCGCCCATCTGGAATTTTAGTTTTTGTTGTTAAGTAAATGAAAAGAATATTCACGAAGTATTTTCCCTCATCCCTCAATTATTTAATAAATTGAAAGTTTTATTTGAATGCTTATTAAAAAGCACATGATTTATAATATTTAAAAGAAAGCCCCCCAAGATTATTTTACTGTTGTTTGTTTAATATTATATACATCTATATTCTAGGGTATCATCTCTCATTTTCATTACAAAAAAGCTGATCGAAATTTTCCTTATTCTTGGTTTCCTTATTCTTTAGTGTCAGTTTGAAACAACAACAAAAAATCAGCTACATACATTGTAAAGGGCTAAAAATATTTAAAATAATAGACTGACAAATGAAAGTTAATGTAAATAAGCATGGATCTGGTTTAAATAAAGATTTGAAAGTCTGCTAATGTATTTCATCTTAATATAATTCAGAGAGGTGCTTCTTTGTACATAGAACTGTGTGCTAAGACACGCAGCATCAGAGCTACCATATTCCTTCCTTTTAGTAAACATCTAAAATAATTCTCTAATCTGTGAGGTAGTATATTCGTGTGTGTGTGTGTGTGTGTGTGTGTGTGTGTGTGTGTGTGTGTGTGTGTTGTACCTCTCAGGTAAGTGAGAGTATCCTTTTCCATGGAGTAATATGTAGTGTAGAGAGATATGGATTCCTTTTTGCACTTGCTTAGTTCTATATTTGGTTCTCTCCATCAGTCAGCAAGTACACTGAACCATCTTTGTGGTCCATGAACTAACCCTTGAACTGAGCTAAAAAACAATATTACAATTTTATTATTTGGGGTTTGTTTCAGTAACTGAAAGCTAACACAGCACAGCTAGCTTATTCACTCAATTTTCTGTTGGTGGCATTTGAGTTTATATTAATATTAGCTTAAAGAGAGCCAAAACTTAAGATCTTATATTTTGAAGAAATCGGGAATGGCTAAATTACAGTAATACAGACTCAATCCCATTTTTAAAATACCATAACTTGTTTCTTACACATTTCAGTGACTGCTCAGTGTGATGGCGTTTAGAAGAGCACCGGGCAGATGGCACCAGTTTGAATAGTTTTCCTTTGCAATTAGACTAAGCTGTGTTTAGAAACCTTTCACCTATGGCACTTACTTTTTTAATCGTATATTATTGTACTTCAAAATAAGCTCATTTAAAGTTGGTTTAAAATGACTATACTCTTTTGTTTTTCATTGACTAGCTGGACAGTTGCATTTCCTGACATAACAAAAACAGGTTGGCAGCAGATATGCTGAAAAAAAAAAAGATCTCTGCTGTGGTAAAATACACAAAGCTTGCAGGTTAAGTTGTCTTTACCAAAGCAAGGTAAAAATCATACTTACTAGTGTGAGTTAGTAGTAGTTAAGAGCACAATAGATTGAGTTCAAGGCCTAGTACCCACTTGGCAGCCCTCCTGGAGCTGGGTAGAGGTAAGCTGAAACTGCAAGGTACAGGGAACAGAAAAGAGTGGGAGGTATACATGCAAATAGTCATGATCACATCAGCAAGCAATCAATAGAAATAATCATGAAATAGCAAAATCACAAAAATTAAACTTGGGCAGTTCATGGACAGGTAAAAACTCCCGTGGAATCTACAGTGTCTTCACTACCAACCATTTGAGAATCAGGGCAGCAACTTCTGCCTGGAATGAAAAAGTAAAATTGGAGTCCTAGGTGGCATGTAAGGCCCATGGACCGCCTGCGTACTCTCAGGTGCTGGTGGCCTGCAAGCACCTGGAGGAGCCGCCAGGAACTTGTAGTCAGGTCTCCCGCATTTGGGGAGAAGCATGCGTGTATATCCTACTTTTGGAGAGATGGAAATAGGTATCCTTGGTCCGGGGGTGGGGGTGGGGAGAGAGGAATGTAGGCGGGTGTCCCGCGTCTGGGGTGAATTCAGGCGGACGTCCCACGTGGGTTAGTTTGCGGATCCTTGGCTGTCTTGACTGCCTTAGGCTAAGCTTGGCTGATGGATGGTCAACAGTGTCCTCCAGACAATCAGGCCACAAAGTGTGGCCCGTGTCTCTCGGGTCCGCCCTGGAGTCCCAGGCCAAGGTGTCGCGGCTGCTCCCTGGCGCCCCCTGGCCCGGGTTGGGCGCCCGAGGTTTCCGGTGCATAGCTGCCGGCGGTGACGCCTTGCTGCTCCGGAGCAGCCGCCGCTTCTCCACAACCCAGCTGCAGGTGGGCCCCCGCGTCGTTCTCGCCTGCTCCCCGCCCGCGCCTGCACCCCCGCGGCCCCGCAGCCGGATGCTGGATCCTCGATCCGCGTCCGCGGCCTTCAGTTCGTCCCCCGGAGGCTTCTGGTGGCTGCGGGCAAGGGCGATGCCTGGCCAGGCCTGTCCTCATCCCCAGATCCCCAGGCTAGGGCGGAGTAACTCTCCAGATTTTCCCCGCACACCTGGAATCCAAGCTCCTGCCTGGACAGCTCGGTCTCCAAGCAGCCCGAGCCGGGGCGCAAGAGGCTGATTCCTCCACATCAGGAAGGGCTTGACTTTCCGCAGACAGCGGGGAGACAGCCACCTCGGCGGCGCCTCAGGCAGCCAAGCCCTGTCTGAGCACTGGCTGCTCACCTTCCTTGGCACTTGAGTCTTTGAGTCCCAGGTGCACTTAACTTTCGATCTGACCACTTCTGGCTGTTGCCAAGCATTGCCCAAAGCCACTCATGCGGTCATCCCTGGTAACCCCAGGTCTCATCTTTCACAGCGTTCAGATTTTTACCTTTTTCCTCTTCTCCTTTTAGGCCTGTGGAAATTCAATCAAGCCATGCACGAGTGAAGCGTGCTTGGCCGTTTTGTGCAAAAGGACGCAGTAGCCTCCCCTACTAAAGCTTCCATTTGCTGGAACTGGGCATCCACCCATCCCTGCCAAGTTTTGTGAGAGGACTCAACTCCAGAAAGGCTTTCTGCCAGGCCCTGAGGTTGTACTTTCATGCTCCACAGCCACCATCACCCAGCGCATGCAAGTGGGTACGTGCCCTCCCTTGCAAAAGCCAACTGTCTGATCTGCCTCTTTAGATTTTTTCCCATGGCCAAGGGTTACTTTTCTCCATGATGACTGAGTTTAGTTAACCAGTGGAGCTCATGTGGATTTGGATAACCGAAATTCAGGACTTAGTCATAGCTGTGACTTTATGAGCAAAAAGGTGAGTCCAAGGGCTGGGTGGGTGGCCTGCTGTGATCCTGGGGTTGGCACCGGCCCAGGTAGCCCTGGGAATCAGAGAGCAGGATTACTGCAATGAGAACTGGGAACAGACTGGTCCTAGGAATGTCTTCTCTGCTAATTATCCAGTTGTTCTATACTGAGTGATGTCGGTGTGGGATGGGCTACCTTCCTCCTGCTCTCCACTAACTTCTGTTTGCTGTGTGAGTTAGTGTGTCCAGGCCCCTTTCCCTGCCCCGGACTTTGTTTTGAGAGATTTGGTATTCGTTCACTAAGGAAGAGTAAGCATCCTGAGCCAGGGCCTCTGGCTAGGGGGTTTTTGGCTAAATTATTTTCCCTTTTAGTTGTTCCTTTACATTAAAATACCAGATGAGTAAGGTGTCTTGTGGCTTGTTTTTGCAGTAATGAGCTTCATTTCTTTCAGGTTTCAAGCTATCCAAAACATCAACAGCTTCTGGGTGATCCCAAGGATTAAAGAGTTAAGTATTTTTCTTATTAAGTAGTTATTATTTTATCAATATGCATATATAAATTTTATGAACTTGCTAGTAATTTGCTGTTAGATAAAAGTTCCAACAAAAAATCCTAATTTGAGTTTACAAGGGATAGCAGCATACTCTTCAGGGCTCCCAAAGTAAGAGACCTCTTTGGTTACTGCTCAAGCTGGCAAAGGACTTGTCCCCAGGATCAACACTGTTCTGACTTTACCACCCCAGAGCCCTGGAACTTGAACAGAGCAGCTTGTGTGTAATGGTGAAGTTGTGTTGTTTTTATATCCTTGTAAAGCGTCTACTTTACTGTGGAGCACCTTGGGTGTGCTCAGTTACCTTATAGAAGAGACACTTAGAGAAAAAGAAGCCTGGCTGCCAGTAGAAGAGGCAGAAAGGTGTGAGTTTGTCAGGGATATAGAGGAAGAACTCACTCGAGAGATGTCTTTTTCCCTAGGGAGGTGAGCAGAAATCCAGGAAATTCTTGACCATTGTCATTTTTCACAATGGTAATACTTTGTTCAGTTTGTTCAGACCCATATGGAGAGATTTTTTTTTTTAAATGAATTCTTTCCTTCTGAAATCTGATGATGGCTAGTTTGTGAGAGAAACTGATAGTACACAGTTGATGGGGGGGGGGGGAACCCACAAATGTTATCTAATAAAGGTGTGGCTTGGAGAGATGCAGGGTAGCTGAGCCTTGTTAACAGACTTAATGATGAAATACAGATGCCTAGGCTTCTGTGGCATGGGAAGTGGTTCAGGCTAGGGATGGTTTGAGCTGCAAGGTTGTAGCCATCTATCTGTAGCCCACTTTCCTGGGCACTCAAGGGGATGTGAGGGAGAGATAGGCCTGTGTCTGGGTCCACTGTTTACTAATGTATACAGATGCATTTTTTGGGGGGTGAACCCTCTAAATAATCAACTCTTGGGATATATTTCCCATACTTGTATACCTTGTCCCTAACACGGTGCTTGTATATTGCAAGTACTCAATAAACATTTGGTGTACAAAGAAACACCACTTGGTGACATAGTAAAGTATATAGCTTAGCCATTTGGTGCTTAACTTACTTATTTACTGTGTGGACCTGGAGATTAAACCCAGGGTCTTGTGCATGCTAGCAAGCACTCTACCACTCTATCACTAACCTATATGCCCCTCCCTTAAAGAAGGATTTAAACATTTTAAAATAAGGTACTATTTCAAATTTATTCTTTGTGAATTTCACACATGCATATAATAAACTTCAAATATATTTGCTCCCAACAGCCTTCCAACTTCATGTCCTAAAAGGTGATATAGACCTGGCTGGCTTTGAACTCATAGAGATCTATCTGCCTCTGCTCATGCACTGTGCTTAACTGTGTGTGCCACCACTCCGGTCTAAAGAGGCTTCCTTAGTCACACCTATCTGTGACTGCCATCACCATTGGCCATGATGTTTTCAATTGTATCTCTAGGTCTGCAGGTTGCTATGTTAATGCTGCTTGCCTTTGGAGTATTGCTTCATGAAGTCCCACTGAGTGGCCAGGATGAGGCTCATTCTGAGGCTGACAGTGTGCCAAGCAAAGCCCTGTATGACTACTCCAGCCTCCGCCTCCCTGAGAAGCACATTCCCTTCTTCTTGCACAATAACAAGCATATTGCCTCTGTCTGCAAGGAGGATTCCCATTGTCCATATAAGGTAGGTCTTTTTTCTCCTCATTCATGTTCTCCTGTTAAGCATGCTATCTTTAGGGTGTCTTTTATCTACATCTTTTTGTTTTTGTTTTTGTTTTTCAAGACAGGATTTCTCTGTGTAACAGCCCTAGCTGTCCTGGGTCTAGCTCTGTAGACCAGGCTGGCCTTGAACTCACAGAGATCCGCCTGCCTCTGTCTCCTGAGTGCTGGGATTAAAGGCATGCTCCACCATCGCCTGGCATTTCTAGGTTAATTTTTGAGGTAGCATACAAAGCAGCATGCCTCATGATGGCATTTTCATGCATATGTTTTCTCGAATTCATATCTTGCTCTCTCTCATACAAGGACACAATTTAGTCTGGCTTTTTATTCTGTTTCATAACTCATAGCTAAAACTTTGTTTTACACTTTCTCCATGAGTCAATCACTGTTTTCATTTCATGTAATATTACCTAAGGGATGGAAATTAGCTCAAAACCATATCCCACTCACAAAAAAGGGAATTCAGCCTTAAAACCTCTGTGAAAATTAACAGGTAGCTAAAGCTATCTGCATATTCTGAAAAAATAACTGCAGGAGATTTTGGGAGGAAAAGAACTTTTTGTCAAAGGAAAGAAAGTCACACCTCTCCTTTGGGCACTTAGGAGGCTTCTTAGCACTTCATTTCAGTAGTCACACCTCAGCTTTGGCTCCAAACAAGTCAGGCTGTGAGCTTGGAAAGTGCTCCAACAGAGCCCATTAAGATGTCTCCGGAACTTTAGAGATCAAAGCTAGGCATTGTAAGACACTTCCTTTCCCATGGTGCTGGCACAGGAAGCACCCGGAGTCTGACCAGTGTGGTTCTCGGGTCTTGCAGAATAGTCCTGGCCTCCTGGCTGGTCTGGATTGAGGTGTGGAGTCGCTGAGCCATCCTTTTCATAGAATATTTTGGTAACAAATTCCAAAGGATGTGTGTGTTTTCTTTCTTCTCCTCCTTCTAGTGACTGATATAGAATCAGGTTGCTTTCTGAGAAAGATAGAAGACAGTCCCTTAAGAAACCTCAGGAAATCCTAATTTAGGATGTCTTTGTCAGTCTAACTAGAGCCTGGGCATTGGTTATGGAGGAGTGAGCAAGGACAATTGTGAAGACTGGAGCCTGCCCATCTCACAATGTTGCATGAATATATATACATACGTACGTACATACATACATACATATATATATATATATATATATATATATATATATATAAATGTAAATGTGAAAATTCTGCCAAGAAAGGTCTAAGAGTCTCCTCTAACCATCAGAAGCTGGGAAAATTCTAAAGGTATACATTTTATATTCTAGAAACATCTAGAAAATCTCAACTACTGCTGGGGTTATGAGAAATCCTGCAAACCAGAGTTTCGATTTGGCTACCCTGTTTGCAGCTATGTGGACATGGGATGGTAAGTCTCCTTACAGAATCCCTGCCTCCTGTCCAAGTCTGTGTTCTTTGAAGTTCATGTTGATGCCCTAAGTCCCAGCTAGACTCTCTGGCACATAATAATTCCTGAAGATGTTAATTTACTTATCCAGGTCACGAATTCAAACCCTCTCACAATGAAATATCCGTTATTTTTTTCTGTCAGAGGGAGAAACCACATTGACTATAGAACCCCCCTCCCTGTGTGTGCCAAAAGATGAATAGGAAGTTTCTTTAGATTCTGAAAGAATATCTATCTATGCTCAAGAAAAGCCAAATATAATTAGTAATTCTAAGTACATGGATAATTAGTTGGGCAAAGACCACATGGTAAATAACACTTTATTTTCTTTGGTTCTAGATGACCCTAACTTCATAGATTTCTGTTGTGTCTTTGTGGATACCTTGTTTGGTATCTTTATGTACCTGGTGATAATTTTGGGGGGAACTGTGATGGCACATGTTAAAAAATAAGGTATAAATAGACTTCTATTAACTCAATCATTAGAAAGAAAATCCAAAGTTAGAAAAAAGAAAGTAGGTGGGGGGTGAGGGGTAGAAAGATTACTTAGCGGTGAAGAGCACTTGTTGCTCTTTGTAGAGATGCTGGGTTCAGTTCCCAGCACCTACATGATGTTCACAGCCACCCATAACTCCAGTTTCAGGGCATCTGATGCCTTCTTCTGACCTCTGTACCGCCAGGCATGCACATGTGGGCACATACATATATACATACATACAGGCAGACTGCTAATGTGCATAAAATAAAGTTTAAATAAAAAGGAAAAAAAGTCATAAGATCTCTTTCTTTGCAAATAGGACAGACACTCTGGAGTCAGCTGCGGACATGTTCTGGAAGCAAGCTGACTTTGGATATGCCCGAGAGCGGCTGGAGGAGTTACGCACGCTCTGCCAGCCAGAGAGAACAGTGAGTGTCCAGCTGCTTGAGTAAGCTTGCTTAGTTTACTGTTTATTATGTGTTTTATTATTTAGCTTATAATGTAAAAACAAGATGGCCCAATAATATAGCTTCTCTGTGTAGCCCAGGCTGGCCCCAGACCCATAGTCTTTCTGGTTCATCCTTGGTACCAGACTTAGAGGTGGAAACTAGAGGTAGACTTGTTATAGTCAAAGCTAAACTCATTCCACTCATTGTCTATAGAACAAACACAGACAAGTACTAGTGGAAAGTAGAGACAGGAGATTTATTCTGTGTGGTCACATTGGGAAAGGAAGGGGGAAAAGTGGTATTGTGACTCTCTCAGTGACGCTCGCCCACGCATGCATGCACGCACACATAGACCATCCTCAGGGTACTACATGAGCTTGAAGTTTAAGTAGATGGAGACAGGCATGTGCCATAAAGCAGTCCAGTAACAGTTTGGCCCTGCCTGCCACTGACCCATTGTTGCCTTGAGCTCAGTCTTTCCTGCAGGGTGGTCTGACAAGTGAAAACTACTGTGGGAAATCTCTTTCTAGGAGAAAGTTGCTGCCCCTGCATCCTCTCACTCCCAACCCTCCTTCTCTCTACCCTTCTTCCCCCCTGCTTCCCTTACCACTTTTTCTTGCCACCCTCTCTGTCTCCCAATCCCTCCCTCCTACCCTTGACTGGCACCAGGTTTCAGTCCTTTCCTTCTTGACATGAAATTCCTGAGGAAATTCCAGTTCCTTGGGGATCATTGTTTCAGTCATCTTCGAGGCACAATAAGAGAATGGGTGTCTTCATCCCTGGCAGGATGGTGGTGGCACCACCATACTCAGGTCAGAGTTGTGTTCAGTGTTCCCAAAGTGTTTCCCCTGAAAAGGCCCAGATTGCTGTATTTTGAGGCAATTAAAATATTTTTAGGTTTAGACTTCCCCCAACATGAGCCAAAGAAGAAAAATTGACAAGTGTCACCTTTACAGATTATTTGTCAGTTAGGGGCAGGTACTATGGCTGGACCATTACTGATCTTTATTTGTTCAGTTTGGTGTAGTTATTACAGCAGGGCAGATAGACAGAGGCCACTTTTCTAGAATGACAAACAGGGCCCTCAGAGAAGGTAAGCAACTTCTCCAAGGCTACATAACGATCCTGTAGAATTACACAACTATACACTTAGAATTGAAAGGCACATCTGTGTGGTGTGTGTGTGTGTGTGTGTGTGTGCACGCACGCGCACACGCTTCTCATGAATCCATGTCACACTCAGCATAGCCAGGCAGTAGCTTTAAGTAGTAGATATGAATGTAGGTCTTTGACTAAAGAGTTCAGATCCTGATTCTTGGGCAAGGTCCTCAACCTGAAAGAAGTTTATTTTTCAGCCTTAAAGCCATGTTCACGTTGCAGTGTGCAATAGGGATAAAGTGAACTTTTGTCTATAAGAAGTCTCAGCACAGGTTCTGGCTGAGGACCTGAGTTGTAACCCCTGGAATCCACAAAAAATAACCTGGATATGGCCATGCATATATCTCTAACCCTAGCATTGTGGGGTGCAGAGACAGGAGGATTGCTGGGAGCTTGCTGGATGCCAGCCTCACTCCAGGTTTAGTGAGAGTCCTGTCTCATGGGTATAGAGTAACAGCGCAGGGCATGTTGTGTCCTCTTCTGGCCTCTCTGTACATGCATGTATCATACACACACTAAAACTGAACATATGCTCTATTGGAGGGTGTCATCTTCAGACCTGTGTCAGTTGTACCAAAGGGAATAAATGCTATAGTTGGGAGTCATAGCCACAGGGACCTATAATAGACATTTTGTTTCAGCGTATTTGGCTTCAGTCTGGCTGCTCCTTCAGAGATGTTTCATGGTAGCTTGTGCAGAGCTTTCTTGGACATCCATTTACCTTGGCGTGTACTATGCTATCAGCAGGTGACCCCTCTCATTTGCTCTTTTGGATACAAAGAACTGTAGATTAAAGAGTGGAGACTGGAGAACCCAGATCAAGGTGCCAGCCCTCTTCCAGACTGCAGACAGCTGCCTGTCCTTAGGTCACTATGGTGTGTAAAGAGGAAGGGCACTCTCTGTGGTCTCCTTTAGAAGGACCCTGTAGTGACTTCCTATTGCTGTAACCAAGATAACTGACGGGAAGCAAGTCAGTTTATTCTGGCTCACAGTGTAAGGAGATCCAGTCCATCACAGCTGGGAAGGGTTGGGTGCAGAAGCAAGAGGCACATGATCACATTGCATCAGCTTTCAGGAAGCAGAGAGGGGATGTGGACAGGGCTATCAAGTCTCCAGGAGTGTTCCCAGAGACCCAGGGCTCCAGCAAGGCTTCATCTCCTAGAGGCTCCACAGTTTTCCCAAACAGCACTGAGTCTGAGGGAGACATTTAATATTCAAATCAGAGCAGGTACAAATATTTATGAAGACTCCTCCTCATAATCTCAAAAAGCTCCGTCACCTACTACTGTCACAGTAGTATGACAGATGGTTGATTCATCTTCACATTTTTTTATTTAGTGTGCATATTCATGGTGTGTGGAGGTCAGGAGACATCCTACAGAAGTTGATTCTCTACTTCGGCCACGACAATTTTTTCTTCTTTCTCTAGGAAACAGCTCAGGTCATCAGGCTTTGGCTGCAAGCCCTTTTCCCCCTCGAGCCGTCCTACCATGCAAGAGTTAGGGCTTCAATATGTACTTCTCAGGGATGCAAGCATTCAGTTCATTTGTGATCTTTTAACTGACTGGATTCACAAACACTAAACAGGGCAAGCTTCAGACTGCCCTTTCACTAGACATGTTAAGGAAAACAATTAAGTGGTATAAATGATGCCCAGAGCAGAAGTTCTTGAGGCAACCCTCTCTTTCAGCATGTAGTAGTTTATTTGAAGGAGAGACAGTCTGTGGCTGTGGACTTTTCATCAGTTAGAACAGCTTACCCTTTCCTTGCTGTTGACAGAGTCCCCAACATTTATGGGACAGTTTGCAGAAGTGCCTCTCATTCAAATTTGGCAAAAGTCCTGCCCAGACTTGCACTTGTCTTGTACATGTGCAGCTTCATTGTTTCCTTTGACTCCCCCTTAGAAAAGGCTTTCTTCAGTACTTAGGAGTCTGGGGGATTGTTCTTTTTGGGTGAGTGGGGCTGGGTGGGGACTGAAGTGAATCACATATGTAGTTCTTGGCTTTAAAACTCGAGGGCTGAGGAGGTGGCTTAGCAGGTACAGGTACTTGCTTCTAAGCCTGACACCTGAGTTCAGTCCCTGGTTTCCATGTGGCAGAAGGAGAGAATGGCCTCCTGCAATTGCCCTCTTGCCTCCATGTGTGTACAGAGGCACGTGTATACATGCATAAAATAAACAAATGTAACTAAAATTATTTTTTGAATGAAGCAGTGTGTGGTGACATTTGTCTGTGTTCCTGGTACTTGGGGGCTGAAATGGGAGGAAGATCCTGAGTCTAAGGCTAGCCTGAGCTATAGAGTGAGACCCTGCTTTTCATATATATATATATGTGTGTGTGTGTGTGTGTGTGTGTGTGTGTGTGTGTGTGTGTGTATTATATATGTGAGTATATACATATACTACTTAGATACATATGAAGTGATAAACTAGAGCATTTGGGAAATTGCCATAGTAAGGTAAAACATACAGAGACATATAGATGTACTCCTGACCGGACTGCTGGAAAGGAGAAAACTCAGAAATAGTGGAGAGGTCCCTCTGCAGGGAGGTGACACAGAGCACCATCAGCATGGGCAGCACAGTGAGGCCTCACAGTGCTAATCCTGTCCCCAGCTGACTGTCCTCATCTGGATCATGTTTCAGAGTGACTCGAGTCTGGTTTGTTCCCGGTACCTTCAGTACTGCAGAGCTACTGGTCTGTATCTGGACTTAAGAAACGTCAAGAGGAACCATGACAGGTACTTACTTATGTGGTGTGGTCACTGGTAAAGCTGAAGGCTTTCTGAAATGCTCCCAGGTGCAGGGCTATGTCTTGGGTTTGTTTTGTAGAAAAATGGTTGAAGGGTTAGGGAATAGGTGAGGAATGGGTGACCCAGGCCCTTTACCTAACTGTCGCACTGCTGACTCATGGGTGTACTGGGTTCCTTGCGGTCCTTTATGCAGCACATGCTTATAAGTTATGGTCCAAAGAAGGGCGTGGGGATGTGGCTGTGGCAGGGGTGTGCTTGTACTGCATGCACCAGACATGGTGGCATGTGCTTGCAATCCTGGCATTCGGAAGGTGGAGGCAGGAGGATCAAGAAGTTCATGGTCTCTTTGGCTACAAAAGGAGTTTAAGGTTACCGTGGGTTACAAGGAGATTGTCTCTAAATAAAGCAAAATAAATCCAGTGGCTGGAGAGATGGCTCAGCTGTTAGGAACATTAGCTGTTCCAGCAGAAGATCTGGGTTTGATTCGATTCCCAGCACCCATGCAGTGGTTCACACCATCTCTTATCTCTGGTTCCAGGGCACCACGCATGTACATGGTGCATAGACATGTATGCAGGCAAAACATCCTTATACACAAAATAAAAATAAATAAATCTTTTTTTTTAACCTGATGAAAATTTTGTTAAGAAATTAGTTCCAACCCAGCAACTTGAGTCATAAGAAATATCCCAGCTCAACTTTCTTTTTATTCACTAGATTCAAGGAAGATTTTCTTCAGGGTGGTGGAGTTGGAGGACACTGTAAGCTGGACAGTCATGCACTGATGTCTGAAGGTCAACGCAAAAGCCCTCTGCAGTCTTGGTAACACGATTTTGTTCTCTAAAAATATGTCTCTAAAGTATTTGTGTTTGTTTTTGGCATTTTTAGGTTTTGGGAGGCACTCTAATATGGAAAAAGTTACTTAATTTGTACAGGCATGAGCTTCTGAGAAATGGCAGGGTCAGATGAATCTCTCAGTTTAATTGGAACTAAATATTGGTTTACAAAAATTTAAAAAGCAGCTATAGAGTTTGCTGTTTGTAAATGAAAGAAAACTTATTTGACACGAAATATTATTAACTCACAATTTCTGTCTGTGTTTTGGGAAGCACATTTTATAAAGCATACTACCCCTCCTCTAAGAGCTTGCTTGGCTAATGAAAACTCGAGCTCACCTATGTAACTATTGTTCAGGTCAGAAAACAGAGCATTTGAGGCACTAGGCACTCTCCTACCTTCCTCTCTCTGAGGCCAGATGCTGCCCCAACTTTTACCATCATTAATGAGATTTTGTGCTTTAAAACTTTTTAGTTTTTAACCATTTTAGACTCATGGAGATTTAAACATCATTCAGTCGTTCCTATTGTACTATTGCTCCAGCTTCCTGGAATGAGAATGTCTCATTTAACCACAGAACAGTTACCAAAGCCAGGAAATTGTCATTGATCTAGTCTTATTAACCACATATATGTGGGCTTATTCTGTGCTTTTCTCCAAATGTGTATATTACAACATTTATATCCCTTGTCTAGGGACATGTGACCACCACCCTAGTTAGGATGCGGAATCCTCTGTCATCCACAAATGTTCACTATGATTATATGGGCTACTCTTATATAAAGTTAAAGTCTCTGGTCATTTGCTATGAAAATATTCTGGGGAATTAGCAGATTGTTGCAAATAGATGCTTCTTCTATCCTACAAGGCATTTTCAATCCTAGTTCATTTTGATATCTTATTCTATATTACAGTTCCTGAGGGTATAATTGTTTTATTTATTGCCGGGTAACACATTATCCTAACATATACTCTAGGGCATTGTTATATTTATGATTTATTGCTGTTACAGATTACCCTGAAGTAAAGCAGATGACATTTAGTATTTCACCCTGTTCTGATGTCAGAGGGGGCAGATCAGCAGGGACTCGTAAGGCTGTAGTCAATCTGTTGGGTGGGGCTATCACCATCTCTAGGCCCAATTAGACCTGGAAACTTAACTTCCAAGCTCACCCAGGCTGTTCTCAGAGCCTGGGATTCTGTCTGGCTACAGACCCAAGGATTCAGTTTTCACTCTATGGGTCTCTTAATAGTGCTACTCAGAAACATCATGGTAGGCAGCTTCCTCCAGAGCATGTCTTCCTAAAGATGGAAGCTGCAATGTTGTGTAGCGTAACTTCAGCAGTGACAAACTACTGTGTTCTGTTGGATTGAAGTAAGCCATTGAACTATGACCATATTTGGGGCGGGGGCATTAATTTCCATTTCTTTTCTTTCTTTTTTTAATAACTTATTTACTTATTTATTTTATGTGCATTGGTATTAAGGTGTCAGATCCCCTGACAGACAGGTGTGAGCTACCATGTGGATGCTGGGAATTGAACCAGGGTCCTCTGGAAGAACAGCCAGTGCTCTTAAATGCTGAGCCATCATCTCTCTAGCCCTTCTTTCTTCTTTAAAATAATATTCTTTTGTACGCTGAGGTTTTCATAGGGGTCACCTACCAGCTCTGTCCCATCAGCTCTAGAGACTTAGTATTAATAATTATAAATGCTCGGCCAATAACTTAGGCTTGTTTTTAGCTATCGCTTATAATGTAAATTAACCCATTTCTGTTAATCTGTGTGCTACCCCAAGGCTTGTTTACCTCATGTGTGTACTTCCCATCCTGCTCGTTTTGTGTCTCATGGCATCAACTCTAACTCTGCCCTTCTTCTCCCCAGCGCTCCCTCTGCCAGGAAAAATTCTGCCTAGCCATCTGCCAATCAACTTTTAATTAACAATGAGAGCAACACATCTTCTCAGTGTACAGAAGGGTTATTTCATAGCATTGTCTTTATAATAACCCAGTATGACCTGGAATTTGTGATCCTCCTGCCTCAGCTTCCTGAGTGCTGGGAGAAGTACTAAGGAACTCTTGTGGCCAGTGAAACAGCTTAGTGGGTTAAGTCTTGCTGCTCAAGCATTAGAACCTGTGTTCTCATCCTCAGGATCCACATAAAACAGTCCAGGCACAGTGGCACTCATCTGTATCCATGATGTCTCACTGTCTGGGCAGTCTTGCTGAGCTTGCAAGGTTCAGGTTCCAAGAGAGACCCTGACTAAAAATAATAGGATGGAGAGTGATTGAGGAAGACACTCTGGCATCACCCTCCCCTCTACATGATGCAAGGAGAGCTCATTGGTATACAAGAAAGGAAGGAAGGATGTGGGGAGAGAGGGAGAGAAGCAGTGAGGGCAGAAGGGAGAGAAAGACTCACGAACAGTGTTTACACCACCACTGCGTTTTCACATTGTGTTCTGAGTGATTCTGCTCAATGTTTCACTTAAGCTGCAATCTCACAGGGGGCTGCTGGTGACCTTCAGTTCGCTTTAGACATTCATCTTCACATGCTGGTGTCTGTCCTTCGTTTGTATGAAAATTGTACCCATGGCTTCCACAGATGTTTCCCAGTCTTCAGGGAAGCTTTCCCATCTTCTGTCTTTCTGAGGCTCTAGATTGTTTTGGAATATGATCTTCCTCAGAATCCAGGAAGTCTACTGTGCAAATTTCTATGGCCCACACGTCTTCTCATTTCAGCCCCCAAATAACAGGACACTTTGTTGAATCTCTATTGATACATCTTTTTCATGTTGTGGTGGCTTCCCAATTGTCTTACGAGTCTTACACGAGTTAGCCTGAATTTCGAAAGCATTTTTGTTGCTTTCTCAACATTAAAGTTGACATTAGAGTCTATAATGTCAGCAAATTAGGGAAGGTTTTACACAGGACTGCTTAATACTAGAAATAAGACCTGCCTCATGGGCAGGTGCAAGTTATGCTGTTGCAACAGGATGTTTGGAAGAGTCACTTTCAAACTGTGTCACAATTCACAATTCCAGGTTTGCTGAACTACAAAGCTATACTCAGCTCAATTTCAGACCTATAGAAGATGCTAAATGTGATCTCGTTGTAGAAAAACCAACATACTTCATGAAATTAGATGCAGGTAAGAAGTCCTTTTGTATGTTACTTGTGTATTGATTGGTGCAGTGCATCTATTTTTTTTTTTAAAGAAAAAGATGTTTTATTTTATGTGTATGGGTATTTTGTCTGCCTGTGTCTGTGTTCCACATCCATGCAGTGCCAGTGGAGGCCAGAGGGCGTTGGATCCTAGGTAGCAGCGATTTAGATCATTGTGATCTACTATTTCAGTGTTAGGAACTGGCCCAGGTCCTCAGCTAGAGCGGCCTGTGCTCTCAACCACCTGCTGTCTCTTCAGGCCCTCATCTGTTAACAAGCAGACATGCTTGTACCTGTTTTTTGTCAATTTGCAGTATGATAAACACTGGCTCTTCTTCTTCTATCATAGATGAACTAGTTTCAACTTCCTGTTACCTTAACGCCTTTGGCATTCCAGAAAAAAACCATCACATAAATGTGAAATGATTCCATCAAAATCAAGATGAAAGTGGCCTGTATATACCTTTTGTAATTAAATTTACCCTGTCTGGTTTCTCTAATCACTTTCATTAAATTTATGTTTTAGTGTGTGTGTGTGTGTGTGTGTGTGTGTGTGTGTGTGTGTGTGTGTGTGTAAGTGGGAAAGAATGCCAGTCCCTTCCCATGGTCAACTTTCTGTAACCAAATGAACGTAAAACTCTTTTGGAAGTTACCACTGCAGTATATTCTTGAAAAAAAAAAATCGGAATTATTTTCCCATCATGCCTCCAGTGCTAAGTCTTGGCCTGCAAGCATAACTTTAACTCCGGCAATTAGCAGCCCTGGGAAGGAGAGACACAGTGCATGTTATATTATCCCTCTCATTATGAGAGATGGAGATTGTAGGGCTATATCCTATCAAAATTCATGAGTGGCCCGGCCTACAGTGAAATATAGAGAGCCCTCTGTCAGGAATACTTGAGAATTACCATAATTTATTGATCATAGTTTTAATGTGCTCTGCCATCTGAAGTCGTAACTCTTATATTATAAAGTGTTAGATTCAGGAACCAGACAAGTTTAGCTTTTTGAAATAAAAGCGAATTTAAAATGCTTTGTTCAAGGTTCTGACTTTTAAAAAATATGCAGATGAAAGAGTGGCAATGGAGACATAGTGATCTTCCTGTAAAGGAGTGTGTGTGAAGCATGAAATTTATGCAGATCATATGCAATGAAATATGTATGCAGACTGTGTACAATAGAATGTGTAAAGTGGGGATGAATGGGCCAAGATAGATGTGTACCGTTTCTTTCCTATATTTGTTACTCATCTTTTCTTCTAACTTACACCATCATCTAATTTTCTTTTGTTCCTAACTCTTACTTTGGGGCAAGGAACATTATAGCAGAACTTAACCCCAGCCTCACTTCTCCAGCTTGAAGCAAGCCTGTGTTTACTTCCTCATTTTAAATCCTCGTGACACCAGACACTGTCATGCGTACGTATTGCATTCCAGAGTAAATGTTAGGGATCCCTAAATGTTATGGGACAGCTATGGAAAGCTGTAGTGCACATGAGGGAAAGGGGGCATTCACTAAGTGAAGCTTTCCCTGTTCATTTGAAAATAGTCTCTTTGCTAAGATTTTTCTGAGTCACGAAATTGTTCCTTCCAGGAATGGCAAGATGTCTAAATGGGTAAAGGTACTTGTCACCAAGTATGACAATCTCAGTGTGATCCCTGGGACACAAATAGTGAAAGGAGAGAACCAACTCCTGCAAGTTGCCCTCTGACTCCACACACACTGTGCTGTATGTATGTGCACACACATAAGTAGATAAATGTAATCAGAGAGAGAAGGTATCCCTTGTAACTGTTCATCTGAGGAAACTGTTTCCAGACTGGCAGCTCTACTCCTCTTGCTCCCCGGCACTCTGTTATAATTTACTGTGGGAATGAAGTCAGGGTCTTTCATGGTTTCTGCCCTTGAGAGTCACTGATTTTCATTTGAAGGCTGGTTTCACTTCATAATTTCATTTGGAAATGTGTGTTTTGCTATTTCACAGGAAGTCATCCACTTATATTTGTACAATTTCCAGGCTGACTCCTGGGTCTCATATACGTAAATCAAAAGTGTGCCATTTATTTCTTTTTCCTATTCCTTCCTTCCTTCCTTCCTTCCTTCCTTCCTTCCTTCCTTCCTGCCTGCCTGCCTGCCTGCCTGCCTCCTTCCTTCCTTCCTTCCTTCCTTCCTTCCTTCCTTCCTGCCTGCCTGCCTGCCTGCCTCCTTCCTTCCTTCCTTCCTTCCTTCCTTCCTTCCTTCCTGCCTGCCTGCCTCCTTCCTTCCTTCCTGCCTGCCTGCCTCCTTCCTTCCTTCCTTCCTTCTTGCCTGCCTGCCTCCTTCTTTCCTTCCTTCCTTCCGTCCTTCCCTCCTTCCTTTCTCTTTCCTCCCTGCCTCTCTTCCTCCCTCCCTCTCCCCGTTTCCTCTTTCCTTCTCTTCTTCCTCCTCCCTCTCTTGTTCATTGTTTGTTGAAACAGGGTTTCTCTGTGTAGTCCTAGCTGTCCTGGAACTTGCTTCATAGACCAGGCTGCACTTGAACTCACAGACCCACCTGCCTCTGCCTCCAGAGTTTTGGGAATAAAGTCATGTGCCACTACTGCCTGGCCATTCTTTCTTTCTTGCATTTATTTTTTAGTGTGAATGTACTCATGCACAAGCACTTTACTGAATTTGTTGGGTTTAGAGGACAACTTGCAGTCATTGGTCCTCTCCTAACATGTGGGGGCCAGGATTTGGACTCAGGTCATCAGGCTGGGTGGCGATTGCTGGCCCTTGTTTTGTGTCTTTCTGATGGCTGGCATGGGAATTAAAAATAGGGACAGCTATGGCTGCTTCTGTACTTTGACCTACTAAGCTCCTGTCCATCTTCATGAAGGTCTCCAGTTCTAGGAGATCCGATGTCCTCTTCTGGCCTCCAAGGATACCAGGCATGCATGTGGTACACAGACATACTTGGGGCAGAACCCCCATATACAAAAAACTTTTAAGAAGAATTATATAAGAAGTGATTAAATAAGAAAAAAACAGACAAGAATTGTTAGTTTTTGTTAGTGTTTGTGATTATTGCCTGTGCTTCTGTGTACAGGTGTCATTTGGCTGATTTAAAACAAACAAAATGAATAATTGGAAGGAATGATTAGTCATCGTGGCTGGATAGCTGCGTTAAATAGACCTATGTGGTTTCCCACCCTGGGAACTTAATGCTCTCTTATGACCTGAGATGTAGGAGAAAATGCATTCCTGATTTCAAAAGTATCAATTTTAAAAGTAAGATTTTGAGCTTGAAACTTCTTCAAGTTGACAAGTACCTGTGTCTAGCCCATATTTAGGAGAAGCAAGTTCCCTCATTGATTTTAAGGAGAAATAAACAGAACTGCAAGCAGCTGGAACGGAATACAAAAGTTGCTCTGTTGTGCGCTGCACGCTTGTTTAACGTGGCCCCCTCTTTCCCAACACCAGGTGTTAACATGTACCACCACTTCTGTGATTTCCTCAACCTCTACATCACTCAGCACGTGAACAATTCTTTCAGTACAGACGTGTACATCGTGATGTGGGACACCGTAAGTCAGCGGCTGCTCTCTCTTGCTCTACCAGCTGTCTAGCTTGTCACTGTGCACCTCTGACCTTGTGAGACAGAGGTTTCTAAGATGCATGTTTAAAAATTATGCCATGGGCTCACACATGTATAGATGTGTTCAAATGTGTTTCTGTGGGCCCCTGACGTATACGGACGTGCGCACACTAGCAGGCACATGAGGATGTGCTGTCCTTCGTTGCTGTTATTGTTCTGTTGGATTTCAATTTCATCTAAGGCAGGGTCTCATGTAGCCCAGGCTGACCCTGAATGGACTATGTCGCTGAAGGTGAACCTTTGCTCCTTGTGCATTCCAGTTCGCTCAGATTACAAGTATGGTGCTGGGCATTGAACTGGGGACTTCCTTCATGCTAAGTAAACGCTCTACCACCTGAGCCACATCCCGTCCCATAGATATGTGTGATCCTAAGTGCTTTGAATTTCAGAGTGGAGAAGTGGGATTTCCTTCCCTTTGGCGTATATGGAGTTCCCAAATGTCCGCTTCAGTGCTCCTCTGAGACATAAAGCCTCTGTGACTCAAAGTGGTAGCGCTTCTGTTAACATTGCCCTTTGAACTGCCCCTCCCCCAGAGCCTCAAACATGCTCAGCAAAAGCATGCACTCCACCACGGAGCTCCCCCAGCCCTATCTTTTGCTTAATAGCAGTTTTCCGGCCACAGCCAGCTTCATGCTAACTGGCCTGCTTTTTAGCTCAAGACCTAGGGTGACTCTTACACATGCATCTAAATGGGAAGCAATGTTGTCTGGGAGCAGCTGGCATGCACCTCCTGCGTTTTCAGAAAGCAGAGCGCACCAGCTAATCCATAAACAGTTCTGCAGACAAGGAGAAAGCATTTGCAGGCCCGACTTCGTAGACAGTAAGCTTACAGTATGGTTGTCGCCATAGCTGTCTCTCAGAGCTCTGGGCTGGCTCCAAGTCCTTGGGAAACTGGTTCTGCATTTTTGGCATGCTTTTGCTTTCTTTATCTCTTGCCCTACATACACTTCCATTTCCGTCTTGAGTCCAGTTTTATTGTCCCTTCAGTTTCATTTATTGGCAGTGTTTCTGTGAGCAAAGGGAACAGTGCCCTTCCCTTTCCTTCTTTTTGCTTAAGTGGGCCATATTGCTCAGTAAAACATCTCTCAGAAATTCTGCAAGACTTTAAAAAGAAATCACTTAAAAAAAAATCACATCGTCGCAATGTGGAATTTGGATGAGGATTTTTATTAGTGTATTTTATAGATGGGTGGAGCCAAAGATTCTAGTTGTATAGTCCTCTGAAGAACTTATGAGGTAAAGAGAAGCTTGTCACATACATTCTAGAAACCTTTTCATACCATCTTGCATGTCTGTTTGCATCCTCCTTAAGTGGACTGAGTTAAAGCCAGCTAGCTTCTAGGTGTCCTTCCTGTGTATGTTTGCATGGTCACCATGTCTGCCAACAAGACACATGGTTTTCAGGCAGTATGACTGTCTTTCTGTACAGATAAGTGGCATGTATGTAGGTGAGCAGTGTGGTTGGCTTCTCTGTGTTACCTGTCCTTTTCTGGTCCTCTAGCTTTTGCCTTATAAATCTCTCCTCTAGGAGGACTTTTCTGTCTCACCAGCCAGTTCCCCAACAACTATACTGAAACTTATTATTAATTATAAATGATCAGCTAATAGCTCAGGCTTGTTGCTAGCTAACTCTTACATTTTAAATTAACCTGTATTTCCTATCTATGCTATGTCACATGGCCCAGTGACTGCAAGTTCATCTCCTGCTTCCTCTGCATCTCTTCAAGACTCTTAAGACTTCTCTTCTCCTTCTTTGTGATCTTTTTTGTCTGCAAGTCCCACCTAACCTCTATCTGTCCAGTTATTGGCCAGTCAGCTTCTTTATTAAATCAATCACAGTGATATACATTCACACAGTATAAAGGAATAGTCCACACTTCTCTCTTAGTCAAAGAAATCCTAACTTCCCAGTCAAGTTCTTCATGAGTAGCTCTGTCTGCTTGGTACAGAATGCAGTGCATAAAAGCCTGTAGATTGCCTGGGGACAGTACTATATGACTGCATTGTCCACAGTTGAGCTTTTGTTAGCCAAGTCTTAAGTCAGTGGTTCTCAACCTGTGGTTCATGACCCTTTGAGGGTCAAATGACCCTTTCCCAGGGGTCACCTAAGACCATCGGAAAACACAGATATTTACATTATGATTCATAACAGAAATTACAGTAATGAAGAAGCAATGAAAATAATTTATGGTTGGAGGTCACCACAACATGAGAGTCCCAGCATTAGGAAGGTTAAGCACCAATGCCTTAAGTTAACCAATGCTGATACTGCCACACTTACTGCCAAGGACCTTGGCCATTAAGATGTTACTTCACAGAGCTCAGTGCTGTGACTGTCCCCTTGAGGTACTCAGCTCCTGGGCAAAGCCATCAGCCTACTAAATCATAGAAGGCCACTCCTTTTCTGGTGTTGAGGATTTGGAAGATCTTTGCTATTCCCTTTTAATTATAGAAATAATAACCCATTATTATGAGGTCAAACAATGTGGAGGCATGTGAGGTTTTCTTTTCCTTTAAAGACATCTTTTCCCTCTGTGATTTCATCATCCCCCTAGGGTGGAAATAGTTAGCTTAGATATATGTCCCTTCAAGACTTTTTAATCTGAGTAAATGTAAATATATCCTTAAGCCAGAATTTATCAGGACTTGTACAAAGAACTTTATGCATATCATTTATATAAAGATTTACTTATATCATCATACAAAAGATGCCCTGAGATTACAAGGGCATCTTTCCATGTCCTTTTTTGAGTGGTGACATATTTCTTCATTTGATGGATTTCCTGCATGTATTCATCTCTCTTCACCCCACACTTCATTTGTTTCTGATTCTGAGCTGTCTACTGGATGCTATAAACACCTTAGCCATATGCAGTATCCTTCCCTGTATCTATGGGGGATTACTGCCAAGGTCCACTCTGGACACCCAAATCCTTGGATGCTCAAGTCCTCTGTGTTAATTAGTATAGAATTGCATGTGACCACACACATCCTACTGGATGCTCTGAAACTACCTCTAGGTTATATACCCCAGTGCATGCAAACAGTCGTTATACTGGAGTGGCAACAAAGACACAGTTATTTTCTGAATAGTTTTGATCAGTATGAATGAACCATCAGGTCTAGAGGGCTCACTGTGTCCTTCTCTTCACATGCTCACCCTCATTACTCCTGTGAGCAGAGTCCTAAAAGTATTGCTGTGTGTGTGTGTTGGGGGGGGGGTGGCGTCTGGGCATGTTCAAATTTGAGACCTGCATGGGAGAATTTTGTTTTTCTTTCCTTTTTTTCCCTTGAGAAAATACCCACATATTCTTTCATGTGAAGTGAGAAATCACTTCTCCCTCAACTGTGCTGGGTAATTTGAATTTGTTTCTACATGTGGTTATTCTCAAATAATTCACAAGTTCTCTAGGAAGGGGCCACCCCAGAATCACTCTATTTTATTTTTAAAATTCCTTTCTGATGTGCCTTATTTTATCTCAAGAAACTGTAAGTTTATTTCTTTGAATTATTTATATTGAGCATCAACAGGAGAGTTTGATTATAGATGGTTGAGGGTCTTTATTGGACTGTTGCTGGAGAAACACCAAGGGAAAGCATTTTTGAACATGAAGTCTGAAACTACAGACCGTGTTTGACCACAGCCCTGTAACTCACTAGCTCTACAATTTAGGCAAACTATTTGAATTTCTATACAGTTTCCTCATGTATAAAATGAGGTTGAGGACATCAGCTTGCCCATTAGAGTTGTAGGGGTGTTTGTTGAATTAATAATCTATGTGCCTAGAACATGTATATTACCTGGGACATGAGAAGCATCCCAGATATTGTTAGGGTTATATGTTGTATCATGTGATGTTACTAGTGACATTATTAATGTGAATGGGGTAGTGTCACATTATTCATTATTCAATGGGGGAGAATTTTCATATAGTGTTTAAGCTTTCAAGCCATTTTCTTGCTTTGTATTTATTTCCAAACACAATCTACTTAGTGTGATGGACTTCGCTCACTGAGCACATTATTGTGTGTACAAATGGTGTCATATGTGTGTCTTAAGCATCTTCTTGTAACACTAACTTGTTTCCACCTTCAGAGCTCTTATGGATACGGTGACCTATTCTCTGATACCTGGAAAGCATTTACTGATTATGACATCATACATTTGAAAACCTATGATTCCAAAAAGGTACTGGAAATCTATTGAAATGTTTTTAAGTAACTGTCAGGCTCAAGTGACTCATAGAATAAATATTTAATTTGAATTTCTCTTGGCTGTTACCATTGATTTCTGACTTCTTTTTTTTTAATTGTAGCTAGAATTCTTGGAAATAAACCTTCAAACCTTCTTTCTATACAATTTCCAAAAATATGAATTTTATTTTCTTTGTCATAGTTTGCTAGTTAGACCATTTTGGTACAGGATGGAGAAGAGTTAGAATTTACTTTCTAAAATGAGGACTGCTGTTTTGGCATGAAGGGTGCACACCTACTGTGCTGTCCTGCTAAGGGTGCACACCTACTGTGCTGTCCTGCTAAGGGTGCACACCTACTGTGCTGTCTTCTAAACTGTCTTGCTTCTTAGGTGTGTTTTAAAGAAGCTGTGTTTTCTTTGCTGCCCCGCATGCGGTATGGACTGTTCTATAACACACCGCTGGTAAGCATCTAAGATAACCTTCCTATGTTTTTAGAGATCTTCTGAAATCCCGGTGTAGGAGTATTTGCTATAACATGATCTGGTGCTTTTGTTTTAGATCTCTGGCTGTCAGAATACTGGGTTATTCAGGGCCTTCTCCCAGCATGTGCTGCATAGGCTGAACATTACTCAAGAGGGACCCAAGGTAATGGATATGTTATGGGTTCTGAGTAGGCTTTATTATTCATCTCTAATCAGTGCCACCTTTGGAGAGAAGCATAACCAGGAGGCAGTGTTTGCTATGATAATGTTGCCTGTTCTGTAGTCCTCTGAATTCAGGAGTCAGCAGCCACTGAAGATAAGCTAAAGGGTACTGTAAGAATATGCTTTATTCTCCTTGTCTGTGTTTATTTCTTTGCCCATATCTCTCTACCTTCTCCCAATTGACTCCTGTAATCCCTGCTAAAAACAATCTACCCTACTGACCAACAACCTAAGTAATAGTGTAATGAAGAGGGTTTTGCCTTCTATGGCTAAAGTGGATACACTTATGTGTCTTCATAATTGACATATGATTGAGCACATTTCTAGAGTGCAGTGTTATATTTTGACATAGCTTAATTATCAAAGCATTTCTGTTACCTCAAGCATCAACCATGTCTTTGTTGTGGGAGTAGTCCAAATCTTTTCTCCTTGCTTTATGGAAATAGACAATACACTGTTGTTATGCCCAGTAACTCTCCAGTGACATTGACAGCAGACCTTGGTCCCCCAATATCTGTAATGTGTCTCTAGTAATTATCCTGTCTGTTTTCTCCCCTGGCATTCTTCCCAGTGTCCACCACTCACTAGTCTACTCTCTACTTCTCTGGTATCCTCCAGAGAATATTGTATACAGCTATGAGATCAGCTCTTTTAACGTCTGCCTCTGAGGGAGAGCATGCAGTATTTGTTTTCTGTACTTGACTTATGTTAACATAATGCCTCCCATTTCCTTCTGTGCTCCAATAAATGACATATTTTTTTTCCATTTGTATCATTGAGTAATACTCCTAAGATAATGGTTAATGAGTCAGGCTAATATTCACCATCCTCTAAATATGTCCTCAGTGAGTTTTACCTCTCTGGTAAATTACATTTGAGATTTGGGGTTCTTTTTGGTCTGAACACATGCCATATTATTCCAACTTTTCATTTTCATCATAGGATGGGAAAATTCGAGTTACCATTCTTGCACGCAGTACAGAATACCGGAAAATACTGAACCAAAACGAGGTTAGTACTTTGGTATGAACTTTTATCACAATGACTCTGCCTCCCCTGGCTCATGAACTATGCTTTTTCATATTGCATTATAAGTTTTTATTTGAAACTGTTGGTTTCTAGAGATACCTAATGGTCTATGCCTATTGCAAGTACTATCTTTAGCTTCTCCAAACTCCCACCCCATCCAGATCTGCTTTATCGTAAATGTACACCCACACCAGCTCTATGTAGAATACAGGCAAAACCAAAGCCAAACAAAACTGTGAGTCCTTCCTGGGCTGCAACAGGAGGCTGAACATTCTCCCTCCAGGCAAACTAGTAACAACATGCAAGCATGCCTTTTCGGAGATGACTGATGTCACTTGGTATTTCTGTAGCATCCGGCAGCACATACAATTAGAAGAGATTCCATCCATTTGAATGGCTGACTGTCTCGGAAACTGCTCCTGGGCATCCAATTCATTTATTTCAGCAGAGCAGGATCATAGATTGCGTTCCGCCTCATACTGGACAGATAATCAAGAAAGCCTGGACCTAAGACTGTTTTTCTACTGTCTCAGCCGATAGATGCAAGAGGAGGTTGAGTATACCTATGAGCCCAGACCATCAGGAAATGGCAGGGCAGGGCAGGAATAGCATCAAGTTTGGGGAAAGGCACAGTGCCAGCACCTGCTGTGGTGCTGGCCTGACACTTTCAGACTCTATGGGCAAACTGTACAAATGTTTTGAGGTGAGATTAGCAATTCAGGTCCCAATGTCATGGCCAAGAGACCCAGCATGCTGCTCTTCCTCCAAGATAGGTTATGGGTTCCAAAGCATATGCATGACAAGGGCAACAGTACTTTGGCTACACTGATTAGTGATTAGTGAACAGAGAATAAGCCTCGGGTGTGTGTAGCCCAGGCTGACCTTGTACTCACTGTGTAGGCATGGCTGGTCTTGAACTCCCAATTCTACTGCCTCAGCCTCATGAGTGCTAGGAGTACAAGCAGTCTGGTTACCTCAAACTTGCCCTAGTGTAGCGTTTGTTGAGGTAATCATGAGTGGTCGGAAATTAGACAATGATAACCCTCTAGGACTCTCAGACACATGGAATTCCTTTGATGCGAGTCCACCTCATTAAATGACTGAATCTCATGCTACCTAATTAGTTTTTTTCTTGGGAGGGGGGCATGCCTGTTTATAGAGGAAAACTTCTGTCTAGTGACTGCATGTGTGTTGTGCAGTTGTGCATACATGTGTATAAAATGGAGTGACTAGTTAGATTGCATTCAGCAATCCATATGCACTGCTGAAGAACAGAGGTTGGGTAGTGAGAAGAGCATGATTTGGTTCCCTCCATTTCTCTGTCCCGCCCCTGCTTCTGTGCCATGGATAGAACCAAGAGCCTTTTTCATGGGCAAACTCCCATCACTGCTGCTTCCTGGCCACATCAATGCTTTCTGTAACCTTTGATGTTGCTGTTGTTGTGTAGGACCTGGTAGGGATGCAAACCGTCAGTGTCAGGTTACAGTGCTGTGAGGGACATGCAGGATCATGATGCTGCTTTGATAAGCACTTACTCACACTCTGTAGCTTTCTGTCTGTCAGAATAATAGCCAAATGTGATTTTAGAATTATACAGAAATAGCAAGTTTGTTTTCTGCTGCTACTTCAGCATTTCTGGAGGATGGGGCCCAAACTCCTTATGGTTTGTTTGGAATGAGCCATTGTCTGGAAAGAGCCATTTCAGCATAGTTTTGGAGTATTGTGTCCTCTCAGGCCTTGAAGGACCCAGTAGCTCTGAAATTATGGAGAAATAGAGTAATGAAGTCAAGAGATAGGGTCAACATTTGAATTCAAATGAGCTCTAAAATAATAGATATAAGTGATGTCTAATGCAAACAAAATAAACTCTGGGAGTTGAGTAGATGGCTCAGTGGGTAAAATACTTGCCATACAAACAAGCATGAAAACCTGAGTTTGATCCTCAGAACCCATATACAAGATCCAGGCTTAGGGACTAGAGAGATGGCTCACTGGGTTAGAGGTCTGGTTGTGAAAGCAAGATAACCTGTTTAAGTTGCCAACACTGATGTAAAAGCCAGGAATGGCTGCGTGTGCGTATAACCCCAGTATTGGGGAACAGCAACATGCAGATGCCAGGAGCTCACTTGTCAGCCAGCTGAGCCAAAACAGTGAGCTTCAAGTTCAATGAAAGATCCTGCTAGAAAAATGGCTATGCAGGCCTGCTATGCAGACGTGAGTACCTGAGTCTGGATTCCTAGAACCAGTGTACAAAAGCCAAGATTGGTAGCATCCTCCACCATGGCACCAAGAGGTGGCGTGGGCGGCAGACAGGTGGATGCCCAAAGCTCACAGACTGAATTGGCGAGCTTCTGGTTCAGGGAGAACATCTGTCTCAGAAAATATAATTGAAGAGTCATGAAGAAACAACACCGGGTGTTGCTTCTGTGTCTTCAAACACATAACACACCTGCACACACAGGTTCACACATCCTCACTGACATATCTCACACACACACACACACACACACACACACACACACACAGTGAGAGAGAGAGAGAGAGAGAGAGAGAGAGAGAGAGAGAGAGAGAGAGAGAGAGAGAGAGAGAGAGAGAGCAGGTGTGCCTGGCTCCAGGGCAAATGAAGTGAAGTTGTCCTCTGTACACACAGGCACTATATGAACTCAGAAAACACAAACAAAACAGATTTTAATTAAAAACTTTAGGATTCACAAAGGAAAGCAGAAAAAAAATAATTCTACATGTGCTTCTTTTTTCCAGCTAGCAAATGCACTGAAAACAGTATCCACATTTGAAGTCCGGATTGTTGATTACAAGTACAGGTGAGTCTCCACCCGGGAAGATACTCTCTCCCCCAGATTGAGCCACTCACTGGTGGGGACAGAGCATTTCTGTAGTGGGCACTCTGCCCTTGTAGAGCAAGAAGTGACACTCAGACACTATCATTAAGCAAAACATGGTGACAGAGGCCACAAGTTCAGGGGGCACTGTTGAGCTTCCTGAGGTCTCCTGTTCAAGTTCAATTGTATTTTTCTGGAGAAATAATGAACCCGGATTTTCACTTGAAATACCTGATTTGTTTTTTAAAGATTTTACTTATTTATTATGTATAAAGTGTTCTGCCTGCATGCTAGAAGAGGGCACCAGATCTCATTACAGATGATTGTGAGCCACCATGTGGTGGCTGGGACTTGAACTCAGGACCTCTAGAAGAACAGCCAGTGCTCTTAATCTCTGAGCTATCTCTCCAGCTCCTGAAATATCTGAATTTTTAAAAAGTTAGCAGCTACTATTAAATCTTAACATGCACACACAGATATACATATATCCACATATATAGATGTGTGCATATGCACATCTATATGGCCTAATTTACCCTGTTAGCTAACGGATTTCAACTTTGAAGGCCATGAATTATAAAAGAAAACATAAAAGGCCTAAACTGCTGTGTAGTAATTCCTGTTGGTTTGAGAACAGTCACTGTAGTGGGAGTACATCCTCCAGGCAGAAAAAGTCTAGCAGTGTAAGCAAGATTAAAAGGGGCTGGAGAGATAGTCCGTGTGCGCACATAGACCCTGCAGAGGGTACCTACCATAGGTGCACTTCCTGCAGCTACATAGGCCTGGGAGTGAGGCTGCACCTCCTGCAGCTCCGACTTGCTAAGGGAATGAATCCTTAAGGATATGAGGATGAGCTAGCCACCGGGCTTCTAAGATGAGATCCAGGTGTGGCAGACACTGCCTCCTGTGCCAGGGACCTCAGACACAGAATGGAGAAATCCGTCGGACAGTGCCTTCGTGTGAAGGCTCTCTATTATGTCACACTGGCTTTCTCTCACCTTACACCTGCAGCCATGCTCTGAGGATGTAATACTCCTCTGTTTCACACAGTACACTGTGTTGTGGTGGCTTCTTCCATAGGCATGTGAGGACATAAGTGTGTGGCCAAGACTGAGACCTGGCATCAACCTGAAGGAGCCAGAGAGGCACCTCTGGTGCTGGGCCATTGCTTGTCTGAGCACTTTCCAAGTGAAGCAAGGAAAATCAATCAATACCTTGTCAGTCTATGGTGGTCATTTAACAAGTGGTTAACATTGGCATCTGTGACTGCCAGTCCGCGGTGATCCTCCAGCTGGCAAGTCCAAGGGATTTACCTGTTTTTACCTGAGCAAATGCATCTTAGCTTCCTTTTTTATTGCTGTGATTAGAAACAAAACAAAACAAAACAAAAAAAAAAAAAAAAAAAACCAAACCAAACAAAAAACCCTTCACAAAACAACCTAAGAGAGGTTTATTTGGCTCATATTTCCAGGCTTCAGTCCACCATTTCAGGGAGTTCAGGTGTAGGAACCTGGAGTAGCTAGTCACATTATTACATTCACAGTCTCAGAGCAGTGAGATTATACCTGCATGCCAGTACACAGCCTGGTCTCCCTTTTCATTTAGTCTTGGGCCTGGCCATGAAGTGGCATCACCCATATTCAGGCTGGGTCTTTCCACTACAATTAACCAATTAAGAAAACCCTTCACAATATACCTATAGGCCAACCTAATTTAGACAGTTCTTTATGGAGACACCCTTTCTGTGTGATTCTGCAATGGGTCAAATTAGTCAGAATTAACTATCATACTGTCCTTACTTTAGCACTAGTTCACATTCCTGGGCAAACAGACACCTTTCCCTGGTGTCAAACACACAGAAAGATTGTCTGCCTTTTCCGTTTCTTCGTTTTGTTTTTGGATGTTTCAAAAAGCTGATTTAAGAAAGACTTCACCTTTCCTTCTTAGAGCTTTAGCATGCTCCACTTGGGATACAGTGGGCCTGGCAGTACTTATTCTTCCGTGACTATTCAGTGCTCCCTACACACCCCCATATTCTAGCCCTCATGCCTAGCCTCACTTCAGTACATTTCAGTGGACTGATTTCCAGTGGACACATTTGCATCTGCTGGTGTTACAGGCATAGAGCAGAATGTGCCTGGCTCTGAGAAGGAGGGTAGGAAGGGAGGCGGGGGATGAGGTATGCAGTGACCTTTTATGGGTCATTGACACGTGCCTGCCTCTCCCAGTTATGTAATCAGCTTTTGAAAACATACTCCCTTTGCAGAATGAAGCACACATAGGCTGGTGGATACCAGTGTCTCCTCTGCTGTTGCCTTTCCAATGTTCATCTCTGGACCTATGCCCCCCCCACACACACACACACATGGTTTTCTATCCTCACACTCCGCTGGTATCTTGACTTTAAAGAACAACTGTCAAATTTTAGTGCTCTTTAAAGACAAGCAATGGATTGTTGCATCTGAGATCATCTTAGGTATGTGGTATCTAGTAACTCACGTCACATAATTTATTCTCTTTTTTTTACATTATTGTTTTCTTTTATGTGGATGGGTGCTTTGACTGCATACATGTATGCCTGAGTACTGCATGTGTGCTGTGACTGAGGGAGGCAGGAGAGTGTTTTGAATCCCCTGGAACAAGAGTTACTGATGGTTGCTGGGAATTGAACTCAGACCCTCTGGAAGAGCAGCCAGTGCTCTGAACTGCTGAACCATCTCTCCAGTCCCTGTTCTCATTTTTTAGAAGTTCCTTTATTGTTTAACAGGAGTAATTTCCAGCTTGGGATATTCTGCTGTCTCTTTAGTACTTGCTTCTTTCCCTTTCCACGAAGAAGCAAGAGTGGGTCTTCCTGCTAGGAGCCCTGCTCTGCAGTTTTATATGCCTACCTTTGAATGGTACCTTTTATTTCAATTAGACCTATTTGCTAATTGTGTTTATATCATGTGTCATGATTTTATTAATGTTCCCTTGAAAGACAGAGTTTGTATGGGGATATATTGTTTATGATCTAATAAAGCTTGCCTGGAGATCAGAATGCAAAGCTAGCCACAGCCATAAAAGCTGGACAGTGGTGGCACACACCTTTAATTCCAGGACTCAGGAGATAGATGCAGATGGATTTCTGTGAGTTCAAGGCCACCCTGGGCTACATAAGAGAAACAGAGCTTATGCCTTTAATCCCAGCACTAGAGAGAGCATAAAGAGCTCAGTACAGTCGGAGCAGTGTGAGTCTGAGCATTGGTAGAGGTGAGTACTCTCTAGTGGCTGGCTTCTTTGCTTTTCTCATATTCAGCTTGAATCCCAATATCTGTCTCTGGGTTTTTATCATTTGTGCTACAAGTTTGTGCTTAAAGTATGTGTTTAGTTGTCAGACAATGAATGAAGTTATTAAATACTGGAGTGCTTGAAGTTGTCATAACAGCACAGATGTGGAATGTGACACAAGTGTATAAATACTGTCACTGTGGATCATGAACTAACTAACCCTTTGTCTCACCTGTCTTGTATTGTCCCACATTGCAGAGAACTCGGGTTTTTGGATCAGTTGAGAATCACACACAACACGGACATATTTATTGGCATGCATGGAGCTGGCCTTACCCATTTACTTTTCCTTCCAGACTGGGCTGCTGTATTCGAGCTGTGAGTACAGGTGGCAGCTTTCCCTGCAGAGCTTATGAGCCACCTAAGAGTATTAGGCCTAATACCCTGCCATCATGGTGGTATCTGAAAGATCTGATGTCTGCCATACTCATAGGAAGCAGGCACTCCCTCCTTCCCTGTAGCCTCAGTATGGTTCATAGGACCTGAGTCTGTAGTTTCCCCAGGCAGAGTTCGCTACTGTTTGCCTCTAGCCCTGTGAGTACTTCCCTCCCTGTGACAGTATAATTACCATGCCAAAAGAGAACAGGGTGGTGATGGCAGGGATAGCAGAGGCACCATCTCCAAAGGTGGGTTGTTTACCCAGCACTTATGAGGCAGAGGCAGGGAGGAGGATGAATCCTTAAGGAGACTATTGAAGAGAAGGTTGTTACAAACTTCCAGTACTCTGCATGACATTCTCAAGTGGCTAGTGAGGTAGAAGGGGATTGGGAATTCTGTCTTAATTCATTTGTTCTAGAGGAAGAGAGGGGAGGATGGAAGAAAAGAGAAAGGGAGGGGATTGTAAGTGAGATACTGGAGCCCAGCAGATCTGGGTGGGATTTCGCCTCCTTCATTAAGCAGATGTTTTCACCTTGAATGTGTTGCCTCCCTAACTTCATTTTCCTTGTATGTGAAGATTCTGTCTTACAAGATAATCTCCAGTTCATAGGCAGTGGGACCTATTGAATAAGGTGCCCACTCTTCCACCTTACTCTGTTTTTTAAAAATTATGACAAGGTTCTGAGAATAATGCTTTGGAGCCTGTCCTGGAACTCGCCCTGTAGAACAGGCTGGCCTCGAATTCACAGAAATGAGCTTGCCTCTGCCTCCTGAGTGCTGGGGTTAAAGGTGTGTGCCACCAACGCCTGGCATGAGAATACTAATTAAAATTGTTTTTGCAGTGCTGGGGACCACCCCAGGACCTTATGCGTGCTACCACAAACCACAGACCTATGTCTCCTTACCCTGAGCATGTTTGTAAAATTATCTCACTCTTGTTTGTTATTTATAAAACCTGTAGTAAGACCATATTTAGGAGATGGATTCCCCCCCCCCCATATTGTTATACATTGGGCAACCTCCTGGACAAAAGCCTCATGTCGTGACACCCTTGTGTCCTTAGGTACAACTGTGAAGATGAGCGCTGTTACTTAGACCTAGCCAGGCTGAGAGGTGTCCACTACATCACTTGGCAGAAGCCCAGCAAAGTATTTCCTCAAGATAAGGTAGTATTCAGTCAAATGGTTTGGATTCCAGTTATTAAAATGAGAGCCATCACTTGGGTCTCAAAGATACACTGTTCTTCTCTTGGATACTGAGGTGTTTTTTTATATTTGCAAATTGGAGAAATCTTCCATATTGTTAAAACAGCTTACATCAGATTATGTATAGCAGCTGCCAGCAAACTGTAGTTCTTCTATGAATGCTGCAAATCTGGCCCACCCCTTGTTTTTGTAAATAAAGTTTTATTGGGATCAGCCCGATTTGTCTGCATATTGTCTAGGCTTGCTTGTGCATTTCCTTGGCAGAGAAATGCCATCTGTGACTAAGAACAGATGGTTGACAGTGCTGAAAATATTATTGGGACCTCTGTGGGGAAAGCTTGCCAGCCTCGTTGAATAGCATAAGTTAAAATAGTTGCATTAGCCAAAGCAAAATGATTTCATTTCTGTAGAAGAGACACACCCTCAGTGACTTTGGGATTTTGTTCTGGTTTGTCTCTGCAGGGGCACCATCCAACGCTGGGCGAACACCCAAAGTTTACCAATTACTCCTTTGATGTAGAAGAATTCATGTACCTTGTCCTTCAGGCTGCAGAGCACGTACTGCAGCATCCGCAGTGGCCATTTAAGAAGAAACACGATGAACTGTAGAAATGTTGAGTTTGTTTACATGAAGAGAGTGTTTAAACACTTTCACTTCCAGACTCACAATCAGAGGAGTCGAACAATCTGTCAGAGCTTACTGTAAGATGAAAACAACTTCTGACTTTTTTGAATATAACTCAGGCTGGCCTTGAACTAAGAACCCTCTTGAACCTCCTGAGTGCTGGGATTGCAGGTGTGTGCCACTATGCCTGTCTACAAACTTCTTCTATATGGAAACATACTTTCAGGATATTTTGTCTTCAAGTCTTCCATGTGTTTGTTGTGCCATTGCTGTTTACCAATAGCAATTGTATTTTTGCACTGAATAAAGTTACTTTTATAGTTCATAGTTGGGCAGGTGCCCATTGGTATAGCAGAGCTTTCCTGTTGGGATACCAAAGTTGTCAAGTTAAGCAGCTTTAGAATTTGTATGTGTTTTGGTTGACTATAATGTGATTGTAATTCCAGAATGTTCCACCTTGTTGTTTATATGCTTGGATGAATTCAAAACTGGTTTTATATTTGCCACTATCTGTTCATAATTATGGTTGTAGGGTCTGGAGACATGGCTTAGTTTAGAATGCTGGCCTTGCATGTAAGGGGCCCTGGATTCAATCCCTACCGACACAATGCTCACACACATGCACGTTCACACACCAGCATAAGTCTGTGATTCTCAGGACCAAGCTATAGGACTGAGCTACAGACCAGTATTTAGTCAGCTCCAGGTTGTGTGCATGACCTGAGTCAGTCATGCCATTGTATTAATTTGTTTTCACATAGCTCACTTCCATCATGTTCTCCCCAAATGTAATAGCAGTGTTGTTAATGAGGACCCATCAGAACACTCTGCAGTATCATCTTGGCAGACCCATCAGCCATGAGAACATTCGTAAGCACATATAACTATGTGCATCTACCTCTGGCAGGATGAAAGCAACTCTAATATTTGTAAAAGCAGCCAGGTGGCCACATGAAGAGACCCTTTACCTATTAAAAAAGAAGAAAGACCATTTAAAAAAAAAAAAACCAGTAGAGCTGTGAATTACCCAATCAAAACAAGCCCTAAGGAAGGGGCACTGATTAAGCGGGATGTCTGAACAGCAGGCTTGTCCTTGAACGGCTTCGTATCTCACTGCTGATGAGCATCCAGCTTTGTAGTCAGAAACCGTGGGTTTGTTCCACTGGTCAGTGTAATGCTTGCATCCTGGAACATTTGAGTTGGCTGGCACAGACACTACTTTTAGTTTTCACAGTGGACAAAACAAATCACAGCCAAGGGTTTTACTTTTAAATTTTAGAGAAGTGACTCCCCCCACCACCACCACCACACACCAAACAAAATATTGGTAACTGTGCCTCCTCAGGAGTTTGCTGCCATTTGCTTTCAGGGCTTGGTAACTGAGTAGTAGCCTTTATTTACTAAAACATTGTTAAAGAAAAAGGTGGCCAGCTGTAGGTGAGACCTCTGCTTGGGTTCTAAGATTGTAACACTGGGAACTGTTAACTGGCAGGGTTGCTGCTGTTCTTTGTGCAGAGTACTTTGTGAGCGAGTGTAGAAGTGGGAGGTGTTGTACAGGGAAGGGAGGGACTGTAGGAGCATGCTGCCTGAGTCCTCAAAGGCCCAGGGAAGCCATTTGAATTTTCATCCTCTTACCTCATTTCAGCAGCACAGAGACCTGTGATTCCACAGACTACCAGGGACTTCAGGACTGAGAGCAGTTTCCTAGTAAAACTATATTTGAAGATTTTGCACTTAGACAGAAAATACTCTATATAAATAAAGAAGTCGTTTAAAATTTTAATTATGGGACTAACTTTTATCAGTTTTTTGTGGGAGCAGAAGATCTTCAAATTGTTGTAAAATTGTAAATGTAGACACGGCTCTTTTTATTAAGTCTGTAAGGAGATGCGTGGCTTTGGAATAAAGATTTCTATATTTCATTTAAATATCCAAACATCTGCAGGGTTTTCAGTGTCTGGATGTCACATCATTTGCTTTAAAAAAAAAAAATCTAATAGCTTGTATGTGATTTTAAAAAGTAATTAGGTCACTGATGAAGGATTTGGTGTAATCAAAATTATCTTACATTTATTTAGCAGTTGTTTTATCTGATGAGTCCACAAATGTGACCCTGAACAAACCTTACCAAAATTAAGGGAGGATGATGGCTCCTGCTGTCAAGAGGAAGTCAGATGCTAATGAGTGATGTCCCTGAAGGTTCCAGGTCTTGTCATTCCACAGCCCATTTTCCCTTGCTTCCTGCTTGCTCATGCAGTCAACACTGAGCCAGGCACTACTGTGTACCAGTTACAGTTGTAGTCTCTAAGAAGACAGCTTAGGACCAAGGAACTTAGGTTGTGGTAGAGAAGGTGGGAATTAAGCAATATTGATATAGAAAAACACAGTGTTCCAGACCCTGGTACTGTTGTATAGAAAGTCAAAGTAAGACAGGGGTTTGGAGTCTGGATGTAAGTGGAGTCTTCATGCTTAAGTATAGGGTTCTTATTGAGGAGGTGAAAATTGAATCTAGAATTCTAGAAGGAGGTTGGTTGACATCTGACAAAGAGCATAACAAGAATACAGAACAGTGCAAAAGTCCTGGGTCAGAGCATATGTGTTAAGTTTGAGGAATAGTTGGTGTGATATCGTCGTCAGAAGTTACTTAAAGGATAATGGCATGTGTAGATGGCAAGGCTCTTGTCTTCATTCTGAATGGATCTATATAAAGGAGTAAAGACCTGGCTTTCCCTTGTTCAGGGTGACTCTTGCTGTTATTCTTAGAGCAGGTAGCTGACAGTTGTCTTAGGTCACCTTCTCTGGATAACAGGCTCTGGGATGAAGGGTTACAAGCTGATGGTTTATTGCCGGTGGATTGTCATGGTCACCACAGGTGAGGAAGCATGGGGTCCAGAAAAGGTCAGGGACTGGGCTGGGGAGAGATCACCTGGAGTTCAGTAGGTCTTGGTGGCATTGTAGAACACAGGATCTTTCAGACAACTCCCAGTGGAGGCAGAAGGTGTCGCCATCCAGGCTGGAGCCGTAGAGGTAGAGAACAGGGGAACATTGATCAGGGTAGTTCCCTGCAGCTGGGGACAGATCATGCTGCTGGGATCCCTCAGCCTTCCCCACACAGGGAGGCTGAGAGCCTGTCTGCAGGGAAAGACAATGTTCACAGTGTACCTTCCACTGCCTGGGAGGGCGGTGTGTGGGCTGGCTCCATTCTCCCATCAACTTCCTCCAAATGAAGTTTGACTTTAGAGTCTTCATTACATGCAGATTTCATTTTTATTTGTTTAAAAAAAAAAACACCATGAACTTCAGAATGTAGACTGTCAAGGTAAGGATAGTTCTTATTTTAGGGTGTAATTATCATTTCGAGTGTAGGGACCACATTTGGGCCAATACTCTGTTGAGTATTACTAGTTAATTTGCCATTCCTACACTTTCTAAAGCCTGAAAGACCATTCTCTTATATGTTTAAACAGAGCAGAGGGGTAAGAAATGTGCCCAAAGCCACTAGCCAGTAGCAGACAGTTGGATGTAGAGGTTTCTTTGTGAAGGATTACCTAGGGAAGCTTACATGGAAGGGAGGTAAGGAGGGAGGGATGAAGGAAAAGTTAAAGGGGAACATAGGGAATGGAAAAAAAAAATGTCCTAAGGTTTCTTACAATTACCAAGTGGTTTTCTTGGAAGAATAGATATTCCAGAGCAAATAGAAAGATGCTTTTCTACTGGAAGCATGTCAATCAGTTCAGGTGTGACTGTTGCATTAGCCACTTTTCTCATGTCTGTCAACATACCCTACAAAGGCCATGTAAGGAAGGAACGAAGAAAATATTTATTTTGGCTCAGTGTTCAAGGGCACATCCACCATGGCTGGGAAGTCAGCCTCAAGGGTCAAAGGCAGCTGGTTGCGTTGTATCCCAGTCATGGTGAGGGCTGGTGCTCCTTGCTTGGCTTGCTTTCTCAGGATCCTAAGTCTGTGGAAGGATGATGCCCAGTTTCAGGATGGGTCATCATAGCTCAGTTGAACCTGCCTAGAAACACCCTCATAGACACAACCATGGGTGTGTTTTTATGGTTATTCAAAATCCAGACATGGTAACGATGGTGAACCATCAGAACTGTCCCAGAGTGGAGCCAATTATTTAAAACAACCTTCTGGGTGGTAGGGAAGTAACTCAGTTGGTAGAGGGTTTGTCTCAGGTGTGGCGATGCACACCTATAATGTAAGCATTAAGAAGTTGTCGGCAAGAGGCTCAAGAAGTTTACAGTCAGCTTCAGCTACTGAATTTGAGCCTACATGAGACTCTTCTAAAAATAATCATCACTATCAACAAAACATGCCAACCTCCCTCGAGCATGGGACTTTAGGCAAAAAATGCAATCACCAATCTTAGCCAAAAAAATAGAGGCTGACTTGAGAAATTTGCTGATTTTTGTTTTTACTCTCTGTGGGCCAGTGTACCTAGTGGCCACGAGGTGGCAGTCAAGTCCTTCCAAATGGCCTCTAGGGCCAGTACTGGTTGAGAGACTCTCCCCTCTAGGGCCTGGGAGGAAAGTCTGACTCCCACCTCAGGGTGGTGGTGGTGGTGGCTTCCATCTCTTAAGTGAGGGAACCTGCAATCATTGGGACGGCTTTCAGGATGACTGGGAATGGTGTGTGTGTGTGTGGGGGGGAGGTGCCTTCACTTCTGCCAGCACCTGCATGCTGGTAATATCTCCTCATCTTGTGAAGGGGCAAATGACAAAAGCCATTGGACAGTCTGCACCCTAGGAAGCTTAGGAGTTTGACTGGAATCTGAGCTCTGTTGAAAGACTGAATGTAACCTGTTAATATTTTCTACCTCGAAGCTAATTTTTTCTTTTTTAAGATTTGGTTATTTATTATGTATACAGTGTTCTACTTGCATGTATGCCTGTATGCCAGAAGAGGGCACCAGATCTCATTTAGAATGTGGGGAGCCACTCTGTGGTTGCGGGGAATTGAACTCAGAACCTCTGAAAGAACAGCTAGTGCTCGTAACCTCCGAGTCATCTCTCTAGCTCCAAAGCTAAATCCTTTCGTTGGCCTTACCACGGGCCTCACTGCTATTACTTTGTGAGAACAAAACTCCAGCCAGAAACCCAAAGATTATAGAACATTAAGGAATGCTGTTTAGTGAGGTGGGGTGCCAATACTGAGCCCACACAGGTATGACCTAGTGCAGTGCTCTTCAAGTGTGTGTGCTAGTTATTTGTGTTATTGCTGTGACAAAATATTCCACAACAGCAAATTAAGGAAGAAAGGGCCTGTTTTGTGTGACAGTTTGAGGATACACTTTCTCATAGCAGGGAAGGGAAAAACATGAGGTGGCTGCTGGTCTCCCTTTTATTAAGTTTGGGGCTCTACCCACATTCAGGGCAGCTCCCTCCTCAGATAAACATTTCTGGAAATGCCCTTGTAGATGTATCTACACGAGTTTCTGTGGTGTCCTAAATCCCATCAAACTGACAAGGACCTGTGGTGACCCTTACAAAATGTTTTCTTCATTTAATCTTCTCAACTTTGTGGTGATACTTTGTTTATAACAAATAAACCTTGCCCAAAGATCGGAATGCAGAGCTAACCCACTAGTTAGCCACACACCTAAGCCACTAGTTAGCTACACACCTAAGCCACTAGTTAGCCACAGAGGACAGGCAGTGGTGGCCACATGTTTAACCCCAGCACTTGGGAGACAGAGGCAAATGGATCTCTGAGTTCTGGGCCCTTGGGCTACATGAGAATGAATCAGTCTAAAAGAGAAACACATCTTTAATTCCCAGCACTAAAGAGAATATAAGGCAGGAGCTCAGTGCAATCTTGGAGAGCAGCTGAGAGTTTTGTTGGAGAGCATTGCAGTCTGTAATCACTTTGAGGACAGGATCTCACCCCCCCCCCATCACCCTCCCAACCTTGGTCCTACCTTGGTAGAGGTAAGAACTCTTTAGTGGCTTGGCTGTTTTGCTTTTCTGATCTTCAGTTTGAACACCAATATCTGTCTCTAGGTTTTTATTATTTGTGCTACACAATTTTGTTCTCCAGATTGGGGGATTGAAAGACACGATAATGGTCTTCCATGGTGTTTGCTCATATCTGATTTTGCTTTGAACCATACTCACATTATAGTTTTGTTTTCTATCTGATTCCAAGATGCACTTCAGGAGTATTATTTATCCACCAATAATGTGGATACATAAACCAGAAGGTATCAAGCTTCTAGAAGATGAGCCACTTTGTGATCTTGGTTGTCCAACCCTGTGGAGCTTTTGATTAAAAACAAAAACAAAACCTATTTCTAATTATGTATGTTCTCATTTACTTTCTGTTGCTGTGGGAGAAATAAAATAAAATACCCACAATCAAAGCAACTTGGGGAAGATAGGGTCCAGTCTATTTGGCTTATACTTCCAGATCACAATCCATCATGGAAATTAATCAGGGCAGGAACTCAGAGACAAGAACCAGGGAGGAACTGTGCTTGTGGGCTCACTCTCTGATTCATGCTCAACTAGCTTTTTCTTAATCTTTTCCATATATATGTGTGTGTGTGTGTGTGTGTGTGTGTGTGTGTGTGTATTCATTATTTTTTTCTTATTTTACATATCGATCCCAGTTCTCTCTCCCTCCCATGCCACCATGCCCCCCAGTTCCCCCTCTGATACCTCCCTACTCCACAGGGAGGGTTATGCCTTCCAGGAGGGGTCATCAAAATCTGTCAAGTCATTTGGAGTAGGGCCTAGGCCCTCCCTCCTATCTCTAGGTTAAGATAGCATCCCTCCATGGGGAATGTGCTCCCAAAGCCCTTTCTTGCACCAGGGATACATCCTGGTTCCACTGTCAGAGGTCCCTTAGACTGCCCAGGCCTTCTAACTGAGGCCCATGTTCAGGGGGTCTGAATCGGTCCAATGCTGGTTTCCCAGCTATC